GATCTACCTCATGCTCGTGGCTGATCTCACTACTACGCCATGCTCATGGCTCTCGTGACCTTCAGGATTGTAGCCACATCTTTCCAACCAACCATCTCTCCCCTCGCCTTCTCCCTGTCCCCCCTCCTCCATCCCCAACCCCCCCCACAGGTGGATCTACGACCACTACTACGCCATGCTCATGGCCCTCGTGAGCCTCGAGTGCTGTGGGGCAGGTCCCAATCAAATTCCCCCACATCCCCCATCCGCTCATGCCCCCCCACAGGTGGATCTACCATCACTACTACGCCATGCTCATGGCGCTCGTGACCCACATCATGCTCTGGGGCGGATCTATACAACCAACCACATATCCCCACCTTCCCCCACATTCTCTCCTCCCCTGCTTCCCCCCAGGTGGATCTACCATCACTACTACGCCATGCTCATGGCGCTCGTGAGCCTCGAGTGCTGTGGGGCAGGTCCCAGTCAAATTCCCCCGCATCCCTCCCTCTCGTTCTTCCCAGGTGGATCTACCATCATGACTACGCCATGCTCATGGCTCTCGTGATCCCATTCACCACTGTTTATCAACAAACCCTTCCTCCTCCACCCTCACCCCCCTCGTTCCTCTCAGGTGGATCTACCACCACTACTACGCCATGCTCATGGCCCTCGTGAGCCTCACGTGGGGCATTGAGGGGCCGGACTGTGCCATGAAACAGGTAAGGGGAGGCGGCTGACATGTAATGGCAGGGAGAGAGGTGCGGTCGAAAGGTGAGTATGAAGGGTGAGCATGTGTGTTGAGCCTCATGTGGGGCACGGAGGGGCCGGACTGTGCCATGAAACAGGTGCGAGGGGGATAAGATGCGGTGCTGAGGGGTTGAAAGGTGAAGTTGAAGGGTGCAGTTGAAAGGTGAGCATGGAGGGTGAGCCTCACGAGGGGCATCGAGGGGCCGGACTGTGCCATGAAGCAGGTGAGGGGAAGGTGAGGTGTGGTGCTGAGGGCTTGATATAGTTGAATGGTGAGCATGAGAAGTGAGCATGGGGCGCGAGCCTCACGTATGTGGACAGTCTTTCAAGGCGTTGCCATGCTGCTGCAGAACCTACCTCTGTTGCCCCCATCATCCAGTATACCTTGTTCCATTCCCTCCTCCCCCTCCCCTCCCCCCCCCCCCCCCCCCCCTCTCTCAACGAGAAGCAAGGCATCATGCTCTTCCTCATGTGGGCCGTCATTCAAGGTGTCGCCATGCTGCTGCAGAACCGCTACCAGCGACGCCGCCTCTACACCAGAATAGCACTGGGGAAGGTGGGTGGGGCGTTGCTGGTGCAAGGTGGGTATAACAGGGGGGCAAGGTGTGAACAGCGCTCAATTCATATCTTTCCCCATGGGGGCAATTTTTGCTGCTCTGCATTCTTATTCTCCTGTGTGCATGATGATACTTTCCATGCATGTATGGATGTATGGCTGCATGGTGTATGGGTGCATGGGTGCATGGGTGCATGGGTGCATGGCTTCATGCATGGTGCATGGGTGTATGGTGTATGGTGTATGGTGTATGGTGTATGGTGCATGGTGCATGGTGCATGGTGCATGGTGCATGGTGCATGGTGCATGGTGCATGGTGCATGGTGCATGGTGCATGGTGCATGGTGCATGGTGCATGGTGCATGGTGCATGGTGCATAATGCATGGGTGCATGGTTTTATGAATGCATGGTTACATGAATGCATGGTGCAACAGGCAGGGCAGATGGATGTGGTGTGGGGGGAGACAGCAGGCATGAAGGGGCAGCTCGTGCTGCTCTACCCGCTCCTCTTCATACTCCAGGTGAGCCCCCCTTTCTCTTGCTCTCGCTCTCTCTCTCGAACGGTTCGTTGTATCAATATCGCCAAGGTACACACTGCATCAGCTCATGCTGCCCTACCCACTGCTCTTCATTCTCCATGTGAGTGGGTTGCAGTGAGTTGCTTTTCTTTCGCATTCTATCCCACCTGTCTCTCGCCCTATTACTCGCATTCGTCCTCGGCAGTTCTTCCAGCTGCGTGCGGCTGCTGTGTTCAGTTACTATACCACACCTGACCGCTTTGCAATCCCTCCCACCTGACTCGCATTCCTCCTCTGCAGTTCTTCCAGCTCTACATCGGCGTGCGCCTGCTGTGTGCAGTCACTAACCACACCTAACCGCATTGCAATCCCTCTCACCGGTCTCGCATTCCTCCTCCGCAGTTCTTCCAGCTCTATATCGGCGTGCGCCTGCTCCGCACATCACTCTACGAGATGTTCGAGTGGCAGGTATGGCTGGTGGATAGTGCTCAGGAAAGGACGGGTGGGATGGGGAGGGAAGCGGGGTGGCATGGGTAAGGGCAGTGGGGTAGGATGGGGAGGGAAGTGGGGTGGCATGGGTAAGGGCAGTGGGGTAGGATGGGGAGGGAAGTGGGGTGGCATGGGTAAGGGCAGGGTGGTGGAGGGTTGGAGAGTGTTCGGGAGGGAGATGACGGGAAAGGTCTGTGAACTCAACGAGTGTGGTCACGTGAGGTAGGTATTGACTGGGAAGAGGGGAAGGGAATGGCCTTCAGATTCGAAGACACTGGTGTGTTTACATTCTACCCTGGTGTTTGTTCGTCTTCTCTTAGGCTTAGTGCAATTAGTTTTTTTTTTCCCCCTTCCCTCTCCTTCCCTTTCCCCCTCTCCCCACCACTCAACATCTGCTTGACAGATTTTTGCCTGTGGCATTCTCCTTATAGTCATGGCAGTTGGTAATTTCACCAACACTGTAGCTACAGTGGCCACAAAGCTTACCATCAAAGCCAAGATGCGCAAGAAGGGCGGAGGAGCCAAGTCCCAAGATGCCAGCAAGGCATCGGCATCTCCTCACAAAGCTGAGTAGTCTCTTGAAATTGCTGTAGATCAATATGACATAGGATGTAGGAATTCTTAGATGTATGAGGTAACATTGCAGCTTGGCCAAAATGTAGAGCTTCAATCGAGTCGAAAATCCTTTGCAACAATAACCACCTGGAACCTGTCCTGCGGTTCGAAAGCAGTGCACCCCAGGCTGCCACGTCTGATAAATGTGTATCCAGTTTGTCTGCCATACCTGTCAGTGTGTGCACCAAACGCCAAAGCTGGACATTTTTCGAGCCGCAGTCTGTCGTTCACGTGTTCGAGTCGCGCGTGGGGAGCTTCTAATCCAGTATGGCAGCACGCCATTGGCTGGTTCGCATGTTTCGACTCATCCAAACCGCCGCCAGCAACACAGTCAGGTGTTTTCTCTGATGCACCTCTGTTGGCCCTTTTGCCCAACTTCCACCTGCCCCAGGCAACTGCAAACCGCCAAATCGAACATGGCAGGAGCAACAATGTTGCACACTGCTCATCGTTACACTGGATCCGCATCCCTTCACTCATCAACCACTGCCAGCGAAACTCTTCTTTGTGCCGCGTGTGGTCCCCATCCTCGCTTGTAACATGTTATCGATCCCGACCCGAACCACACTGATCTTGGTTAGGACGGGACGGGAAAGGACAGGAGATGTCGTGGAACGGGAAATTCCTTTCTCCATCCGTACCTTTCTCCTTGCTGCTGGTGCCCCGCAAGGCTGCGCGAAAGCTTTTCAACAGTCCCTCTGCTAGCCTTCCCGCCGACATTCTTCTTCCGTCCCGTTGATCTTTCGCGTTGAACGCATGCCACGCGATAAACGGGTTGAAGCACTCCCTCTTTAGCAATACAAGCATTATCCACTTTTACTGTGTAGTGTCAATCCCGTTTCAGCTCAGTACAGTCCCATTGGTCCTCATTAGAGCCTAGCCGAGTCGCAGACTCGCAAAATATAGTGTAGCCTTTTTATTACCGTCATACACCTTGTTATATCCGTTTAATTCTGTTCACGCACTCGTCCATTCCGTATCAGCAACTCGTCGAGGGCCGCTATGGCACGTAGAAGCAATAGTCCGCTTTCCGCGCCGCTTCTCGCGCTGCTGCTGCTTTCGTCCTTCGTTCACCTGTCCCTCGCCATCACCTGCGACTCGGATCAAAACATGGTAAGCCCTCCCCCCTCCTGTTCCTCCCCCCTCCTCTTCCTCCCCCCTCCTCTTCCTCCCCCCTCCTCTTCCTCCCCCCTCCTCTTCTCTTCCTCCCCCTTCCTCTTCCTCCCCCCTCCTCTTCCTTTCCCCTCCCCCTCCATGCCTCCTCTACTATCTCGCACAGTCGGACCAAAACTTGGTGCGTCCTTCTGCTCTTTCTTTCCCTCTCGCGCGGTTGACTTTTGAGTCGACTCAAAAGTCAACGAAAACTTGGTGCGTCCTTCTGCTCTTCCTTTCCCTCCTCTTCATTTCCCTCTCGCGCGGTCGTCGTTAACTGTGCGCCGCCCTTCTCCCCTTCCGTTCCCCCCCCCTCCGCCAGTGGTACTGCGCGTCGGGCGACCAGTGCGTGAGCGGCGACCAGCTGTGCGACGGCACTGCGGATTGCGACGACGAGAGCGACGAGCTGCCGTGGGAATGCGGCGGATACGAGGACGGCTGTCCCGATGGCATGGTAAGGAAGCGGGTGAATGGGGGAGGGGGTGGGGGTAAGAGGGGAAGGAAAGGGGGGTGGGGCAAGGCTGGAGGGGGGTGGGGGGGAGGGGGGGGGAGGATGGGGTGAGGAAGCGCGAGTGAGTGGTGTGAGTGTGAGCGGGCTCAAACCCTTCTTATTTCCCCCTCTCCTATCCTTTTCTCCTTCCCTTGTGCAGATGCCCTGCCCGCTTACAACCATCGCCAACGGCCCTTGGTGCTTCGACCCTGCAGCAGTGTGTGACCACATTCATCCTCTCCTCCTCTCTTGTCCTTTTCCCCTTGGGACCTTCCCTTCTACAGGTGCCCTGTCCGCTTACAAACATCGCCAACAATCCTTGGTGCTTCGACCCTGCAGCAGCATGCGACGCCACGGCTGACTGCCCCTACGGCGCTGACGAGTGGCGGGGCTTTTGCGTCGACCTTAACAGCTCTTTCCCTTCTCCTTTCTTCTTCTTCTCTGCAGATGTCTTGTCCTCTCACCTCCATCGCGAATGCTCCTTGGTGCTTCGACCCTGCAGCAGCATGCGACGGCAATGCTGACTGCCCATACGGAGCTGACGAGTGGCCGGGCTTCTGTGTCAACCTTACCAGCTCCTCCGACTGCCCCTTGTCTCCGAACCAAGTGCTTTGCCCCGGTAAACAAGCCTGCGTGACAGGTATGGTATGCGACGGCGTGGCGAACTGCGCTGCGGTGGCGGCCGAAGGGGGAGGAACAGTTGTTCCGGACGAGGATCAGGATTTCTGCTCGGTGTACGAGTGTTCAGAGGGGTACTGGAAGTGTTCCGATGGGGTGCAGTGCATAGGTGAAACGCTCAAGTGTAACGGCAAGGCGGATTGTAAGGATGGGAGCGATGAGCAGGGCTGTAGTGTGTCTTCTGGGAGCGGTGGCGGTGGCAGTACGACTCCGCCTCCAGTTGTAACGCCTCCCCCTCAAGATGTAACGACCCCTCCTAAAGATGCAACTGGTGGAGGGACTACTGGGGGGACGTCTGGCGGGACATCTGGAGATGAAACGAGTGGAGACGGGTCGGGAGATGAAACGGGAGATGAAACCAGCAGGGACGGTGGGGAAGAGGGAACGGGGGATGAAACCAGTGGAGATGAAACTGAGGGTGGTGATGGGACTGCTGACGGAACCGGTGGAGATGAAACTGACACGAGTGGTACGGTGGACGAAGCCGAAGGGGGGAACACAGTTGGTGCGGGAGAGGGAGGACAAGGGGGAACCGGAGGGGGAGGGGGAGGAAAAGGCCAGGGGAAAGGAGCAGACAAAGCACCACCATCTCAAGACCACCCTCCTGCCAAGAAGATTCTGCCTGTCATCCCTCCTGTTCCAGGGTCACTCGGAAAGGCTCTTGGCGACGCTAGCAGCTCAGTCAACGATGCAGCCCAGAATGCAGCTAAGAAGGTCGGAGAGGTTACATCAGTAATGAAGAAGCTTATAGCGGAGCGCAACGTGAAGAAGGACGGGAAGAAGCCCATGCCGCCGGGTTCAGGGTCGAATGGGAATGCTGGGGCTGGAGCAGGCGGTGCTTCAGGTGGTTCTTCAGGTGGAAATGCAGGTGGGGCTGGTGCTGACTCGGCAAACGCCACACCTGAACCTAGCTCTACTCCCAAAACCCCTAGTACCACTGGGGGAACAGGAGGCAGCAGCAGCGGCAGCAGCAGCGGCGGCAGCAGCAGCAGCAGTGGCACTGTGAAGGCTCCACTGGTGGGGGCTTTGGTGGGGGAGGTGGTATCTAAGGCAGGAAAACAGTTAGATGCGGCGAGGAATGCGGTGAATGCAGCAAGTAAGAAAGCGGTGGAGCTGGGGAGGAAAGGGAAGTCAGGTGGGGGATCGGCAGGAGGAGGGGTTATGAAACCTGTTCAGGGGCCTAAGGGGGCTATTCAGGGTGCTTCTCAGGTGAAGAAGTTGCAGCAGAAGGTTGCTGCTGGTTCAGGTGCTGCTTCAGGTGTCGTCTTAAGTGGGAAGGGCAAAATGAGCAAGCTGAGTAAGGAGAAGAAGGGAAAGAAGAAGGATGGGAAGGGTGGGTTGACAGTGAAGGCGGGACAGAAGCAGAAGGCAAAGAAGAACCACCAGCGATCAAGGAAAGGTTGAGTGTACTAGAGCAGATGGGTACTAGTACAGGTGTGAATAGTTGCTCTCATGGTGCATGGTACTAAGACAGATTGACATGATGATAAACTAAAATTGTAACATATGCTAGTGTATTAACTAATGCAATTTGTGGATTATAAAGATAGGACAACGTATATGCAACATGGACCAGTACAAAAAACGAATACCTGCCCATATTACAGCGAGCTCAAACAGTGATGCCCACCTGAGAAAACCACCTGAGTTTGTGTCTGCGGTTCGATAAACGCAAATGCCACGCAGGACAGCCACCACACCAACCACACAACCAGAAAACCTCCCGTCCTATGTCAGAAAAATGTACACATCTTCTCGCTTGACGGACATTGGGTGACACCTCTAACTTCTAGAACGTCAACGCACCCTAGAAGGTGCCATCACACAATGATGTGGTGGTCCATCCATGTTATAAACTGGTATATGAACGGGGTATTCAACGTTAACGGAGGTCTCTTGTCCCGTTGCTTGTTGCTTTGCCCGCAACTTTCAAAAGTTCGTTTCATGTTACCAACCCAATAAATCTGAGCACTGTTGAATGTTTGCACAGGTGGGAAAATCAAGAAAACAGGTGTACACTGTCTAAAAGCTACGAATGTGGGAGGCAGTCGGTGGTCTGGTCGAGCTAGAGACATCGGCTCGTCAACAACACCCTACAGAGCCGTTTAGCTGTGAATCGCCTGAGCATCTGGAGATTCGCCTGAAGCAAGGCGCGCAACAGAGTGGAACAATATACTGTGTACCTGGTTAGAATCTCAAGCAAGGAGTCAGGAGTTGGTTGGATTCAGCACGTCAAGCCTAGTGGGCTGATTTTCCTTCGCTCTTGTTCGTAAAACTTTAACTCCACCGCCACGTCAACTGACGTTTGTCCGCAATTCTACAGTTCTATCACCAAACCACCTAACCAAACCGACACATCGTATTCTCTACGCCACCGACCAGAACTATTTTCGCATTCACTGCGCCGTGATTTGCTGCCCGGAAAACCATACTTGCCGAGGCTCTGGTCCCTAAAAACCAAACCTGTATGCACTGTACGTATCCAGCTAACGTTCCTAGCCTCGAATGCTTATCGAGTGTTTTTTACCGCACAGTGCAGCCGTACACCAATGGACCAGAATCTGTCACTATTCACGATTCGAAGCGCTTATCAGGGCGTGCGGTTCCTGAAGCTTCGAGCTGAGGAGCGCGTATCAAAACGACTGCTGAAGGGGGGATAGGCGGAACGAATCGGCGCGAGGGCGCAAGGTCGCGTGAGAACAAAGCCAGCCGTCGAGAAATGCATCGGACCGGATTGAGCGGCGATGTCCGTCATTATGGGAGCAAAGAATGCCACTGCGAGCAAGTGATGCCCCTGATGTTTCACCCGAGGGGCATCTCGGCCCAAATGCCCAGCGCGCGGCATTGCGCCAGTGGCCCGCCGGCGCCGAGAAGTGCGCCTGAACCCGATAAGAGCAGTTCTCTCGCCTCTCACTGTCGTAGCAGCGAGGAGTCCGCGATGAGTCGCGAGGATGTGTGAGGAATGCCGACGATGAGACGATAAATAGATAACACGTCCTCGCAGGCTATGTCAGTCGCGAATTCTCGAGACAGCGATAGGAGTCGGAGCGAGAGCGAGAGGAGCACGAGAGAGCGAGATCCCTCGGGGGACCCGGGCGAGGGAACGGGAGGCTCGCCGATCCTAGCGGTGCTTCGCCGCGTGCTCCGCCGCGTGCTCCGCCGCCTGACTGAGCAGCGGTGCTCAGTTGAATCCACGCCTCGCGCCCCACTGCGCCTCAAACTTCGCCCTCACTGCTCCACTACGTGTCCGTGCGCGCACCTCCGCCAATCATCCGACAATCCTCAATCCACGCAGCAACTTCGTCGCAGCGCGCCGATAGCTGGTTGTCGAAATTTGCAGAATCTGAATTCTGTGTCTCATAGACGGGCGTGATGGCGGCGACTCGACGCGGCGCGGCGTCTGCGGCAGTTGCGGCGGTGCAAGGCGGCGATGCCGCGGCGCGGAGCCGAGCTCTCTGTGTCGCCGTGCTCTTGCTGCTGCTGCCGTCGCTCGTTCAGGTACGCTCGTGAGCGGGTGCGCGCGTGGGCGGGTGCGCGCGTGAGCGTGCGCGCTTGCGCGTGGCGCGGAGTCGAGTTCTCTGTGTTGCCGTGCTCTTGCTGCTGCTGCCGTCGCTCGTTCAGGTACGCTCGTGAGTGAGAGCCTCTGAGTGGGGGGGCGGGTGAGGGAGGGGGATGTGGGAGGGAGTGTGGGGAAGCTGATATTAGCCTCCATACTTTCCTCGTGCGTTCCGTCAATGCTCGTCGTAAGAATTCTCAAGCTCCTCTCTCTCCGTCCACCTCTCTCACTTCCCGCTCCTCCCTTAGTCCACCACGGCAGAGCGAGCAGCAGCAGCTGCAGTGTCTGCAGCAGTAGCAACAAGACCTTCCAGTCTTGTGCGGCGTTTGTGTCCTCACATTCCTCTTCTCTTCTGCCCTGCCTTCCCCTCCCGCTCCTCCTGCCCTTCTTAACGTATCAATCGATATGGCAGTGCGCGCAGCTGTCGTGGCTGAAGCAGCAAGACCTCCCAGTCTCGTGCGCTCAGAACGACGATTCGGTGAGTCACCGGCTGCTCAGCCGTCTCGTGTCATCCGTGCCGTCTCGTGTCATCCCTGCCGTCTCGTGTCATCCCTGCCGTCTCGTGTCATCCGTGCCGTCTCGTGTCATCCCTGCCGTCTCGCGTCAAATTCTGCCGTCTCATGCCGTACCTGCAATCTCATTATCGCCGTCCTTGCGACTCCCTCTCTTGCTTTCTCTCACCGCCCCTCCCTCTCCCCCGTCCCTCTTCTCCCTCATCCCGGGATCGAGGCGTGAGCAGCGATCACCTATGCGACCTCGCTGTCCCGTTACCGTGACCTTACATTCTCCCCCCTTCTTCTTCCCCTCCGCCCTCTCCGCGCGTCTCCCCCTCCGTCAGTGGTACTGCGCGTCGTGGGACCAGTGCGTGAGCAGCGACCAGCTATGCGACGGAGCTGCGGATTGTAACGACGAGAGCGACGAGCTGCCGTGGGAGTGCGGGGGATACGAGGACGGCTGTCCGCCTGACATGGTAAGTATGGCTTGCAGGGCCTTGAGAGATTGGCTGGTGATTTGAGGAGGACTGTTCGACTGAGGGTTGTGAAGGGAGCTGCGTGTGTGGGGCCATCGGCGTTGAGTGTGTGAAGATCTTCCTCAGCTTCCCTTCTTATCTCCTTTTTCATCCTCTCCCCTTCTCTAATCTCAGATGGCTTCTCCAGTCACAACCATATATCCGACAAGCTATGGTGCATCGACCCTGCTGCAGCGTGTGACGGGGCTCTTTCCTTTCCCTTTCATCACTCAATTCCCTCCACTTCCATCCACCCCCTTACTCTCATTTCAGATCGCCTGTCCAGTCACAACCATATCGGACAAGCTATGGTGCATCGACCCATCGTTAGCATGTGACGGCTCTACCGATTGCCCTTTCGGTGCCGACGAGTGGCCTGGCTTCTGTGTCGACTTCAACAGCAAAGCCACCTGCCAAGATTATCCGAACCAAGTGCTCTGCCCCGACGGCCAGACCTGCGGTTCAGGCATGGTGTGTGATGGCATGGCTGATTGTCCCTCGGTGTCGAGTGGACCGGACACAGGAGGAGGAGCAGGAGGAGGAGGAGGGTTGGGGGGAGGAGCGAGTGGGGGGTTGTTTCCTTCGGATGAGGACCAGGATTTCTGTACGGTGTACGAGTGTCCGGATGGGTACTGGAAGTGTGGCAACTTGGTACAGTGCATAGCTGAAACGCTCAAGTGTAACGGCGTGCAGGATTGCAGCGATGGGAGCGATGAAACGGACTGCAGTAACTCGGGTGGTAGCGACACCAGTGGCTCGGGTGGGGGTGACAGTGGCAGTACGGATTCTTCTCAAGATGACACGACCTCTTCTGGAGTTGACTCGTCTGGAGATGACACCAGTGGAGGAGGTACAACTGCACCCTCGGACGGATCATCTGGAGATGTAACGGGAACTGGAACGGGTGGAACTGTAACGGGAGGGACAGTCACTGCTACCACACCTGAACCTCCCACAACCAAGCAGGTTCCTCCTCAGGTGATTCCTGGAGCTGGTTCAGTAAGCAAGGCGATTGGCAACGCACAGGGTGCTGTTAACCAAGCAGCTAATGGCGCAGCAAAGGCCATTGGAGCGGTAGCGAAGAAGCTTATAAAGGGGGGGAGTGCGAGAAAGAAGAAGGTGAACCCAGGGGCAGTAGTGCCGGGGACAGGAGGAGCTTCAGCGAGTGGAGCCACAGGTGCTACCTCAGGTGATACCTCAGGTGCTACCCCAGGTGATAACTCAGGTGATACCGCAGGGGATACCACAGGTGGCACCGCAGGTGACGGTGCAGGTGATTCGTCAGGCGATGCTTCAGCTAATGGTTCTGGTGATGCTTCAGGTGATTCTTCAGGTGGAAACAGCGGAACTGCAACTGGCACAGGAACCTCCTTGGTTGGTGCTCAGAGTAGCCCAACAGGTAGCAGAGGCAGTAAGAAGGGTGGTTCCAAAGGAGGGACTGCGTTTACCACTCGCACTACCCCAGAACCGAATCTCACTCCTTCCGACCCCTCAGCTGGTTCAAGTGGAGGCAAGAAGGGAGGAAATGCAGCCTGGAGTGGACAGGATGGGGGTGGCAGCAAATCAAAGAGGAAAAAGAAGAATCGGGAGGGATTCTGGGCGTGGCTGAAGAAAAAAGCGAATGAAGCAAAGACGACGGTGCAGGCTGCAGCAGAGAAAGGTAAGAAGCAGGGTGCGGCACAGCTGAAGAATGTGCAGCAGAAAGGGGGGGCGAAGAAAATGCAGGGAAAGGCTGCAGCCCAGGCGAAGCAGGTGCAAGCGAAGGTCGCACAGAAGACGAAGCAGGGGCAGCAGAACAGGAAGGTGCAGGCAAAGAAGGGCTAGCGGGAAATGGAAGCAGGGCATCTGTGAATTAGGAATGGCAGCCTGTGTGACTTACTTTTGCCACCAATTGGAGTTATCATGTTGTGACATACTATTACCGTACATTCTATTATATTATATTGGTTTACTATCTCGCACAAGTTCCCAGAAATCTCTCAGGGTACATTCCGCTGTGGACATGCGTCCCAATCGATGTGTCCCAATCGATTCTACCGCACTGCATCTTATTACACCGAATTACACCCTAGTTTCAAAATTTTCGCTTCTCTGGTTTAGTGCGGTTCGGAGCGGTACACCCGATTGGGACACATCGATTGGGACGCATGTCCACAGCGGAATGTACCCTGAGATACAGCTACTGTTTTAATGTTTTGGTCAGACTTCCTGTTCGGTCTTCTCGCTCTTTCCTCCACCTCCATCTCGCTACAAAGGCTTGTACGGTACGTTACTTGTGTCTTCATACTCATTCTGGATACCATATGAGTCACAGTAAAATTGCAAAGCAATTCTGCAAATGTCATCAGCACTTCATCAAAATGCTCCGGGTACAGCAAAACGCCAATATAAGTTATTAGTTCCGCAAATAAACATCTACATGCCAAACATTTGATTATTGCGAATGCATTAGCACGTAGCCGGACACCCTACAGCGTTAATTGGAGTGTGGCGTGACACAGTCTCTCGTCATCTCATTCACCAGCTCCCTCCGCCTTGCTATAATATGATCCGTCCACTCATTAGTGCGTGCATCCACCACCTTCCCATACATACACGCGAGCTCCCGCTTATACAAATCATACACAAACGTAGCGTTCCGCCTCTTGTGCTTAATCGCCGGCCAGTCATACCAATCCATTACATACTGCCAGATCTGCCGCTGCTCGTATTTCAGCACGTCTCCGCACCGATCGAGAGCGCCCTTGGGAAACGCGTGGCATAGTGCCTCGTGTGCGTAGTACCCTGCGAGGGCTACGTAGATTTTGACGACGCGGGGGGCGGTGTCGCTGTTGTTGGTGGCCTCTCGGAAGGGCTGTGAGTAGGACATGTGCACGCCGACACGCGGGATGGGCACGTGGTTGGTCCACTCTAAAGCCCAGTGCACCTGAGGGTTGGTTGGGGAGAAGGTGGGAGGTGAGGAGGCGAGGAGGCGAGGCAAGCTAAGTGAGCAGAGTAGACATGAGCACGCCCACACGGGGGATGGGCACGTGGTTGGTCCACTCTAAAGCCCAGTGGACCTGCGGGTCGGGGGAAAACGAAGGAGAAGAGGGAGGTAGGGTGGTAAGCGGAGTAGAGTAGGACATGTGCACACCCACACATGGGATGGGCACGTGGTTGGTCCACTCTAGCGCCCAGTGCACCTGTGAGCGAATGAGGAGCGGGGGTTGCAGGTGAGGAGTTGAGGAGGTGAGGGAAGCACAGTGAGCAGAGTACGGATTGCGATGCCAAGCTCTAGCAAGGGATGGCATGGTATGTTAGGGAATGGTACTGCGAGGCATGGCATGACATAACATGGTATGATATGGACCAAGCACTTTCCACGTAACCACAAGAGAACGCTAGACTTACATCACACAAAATCATCCCACATGCCTGCCTGCTCACCTCGTCCCATCCCTGCCTGCTCACCTCGTCCTGTGTGAAGGCCCACATGAAATTTCCCAAAGTCGTGTGGGCGATCTGCGTTCTGCTCAGAACAAGCATGGAATGGAAGGAAACACAGCCAGCACATGATAAGCATGAGCATGGGCAGAGCACAACATCTCGAACACAGGTGTGCATATGTGTGCGTGTGGTGTGCACAGTTGTGCATTGTGGTTTGTTCAACATGACTCCTTAGAATACGTCTTGCTGTAATGCATATGCCTCTCCTGCTTATGCACCTCCGTCCCATCAATTTCTCAACCTCTTAGCTGCTGCTCAAACTCACCAAGTACAGCAACCCAGCGAACTCATTTGGGCTCTCGAACTAGGGTCCGTGTCTCGCAATTTGGTATCAGGCGGCATTAAAAGACCACGCAAACTTGCCATCGCGGATGCGCGTGACGAGATCTTGAAACTTGGGCAGCACGTCTCTTGGGAAGGGCAGCTGCACCATGAAGTTGGCGAAGCAGCAAGCTAGGGCGCCGCCAGCAGTACCTTCAGCCCAATCACCACTAAAACCTCGACATGTGCCTTGCATCTGCTGGCTCTTACCTCTCAAATTTCGGCTTGTGCTTGGCAAAGTTCAAGAATGCAGCATCGAAGATGGGGAATTTGCCGTCACGGATACGTCACATGGTCTCAAAACTTGGGCAGAACGTCACCTCGGAACTTTTCTTTGTCTCAGATCTCACCTCTCAAACTTTGGGCCGTTATTGAGAATCCTCAAAAACCAGCTTGGGCAGCACGTCACCTCAAAACTTTTCTGTCTCAGATCTCACCTTTCGAACTTGGGCCCGTGTCTCGCAAAGTTGAGAAACGCCGCATCGAAGCTGGGGAATTTGCCGTCGCGGATGCGCGTCACGTGGTCGCGGAACTTGGGCAGCACGTCCCTTGGGAAGACGAAGGGCAGCTGCACCATGAAGTTGGCGAAGTAGTAGCTCTTGCCCACGAAGTAGTGCGTTGACGGCACCCAGTGGTTCATCTGCTTCTGCCGGCTGCCTATCACGTACGGCTTGCCGTCTGTTAGATTGAAGAGAAGCCCAGGAGTCACCTGGAGGGGGACAGGTGAGTGGGTGGGTAGGGTACGGATGGGTGGGGATCGGTAGGGACGGGAAGGAATGAAGAAGGGCAGTTCGCTTGCAGCTTGGGGACGGGGAGAGGTGGAGAGGGGGGTATGAGGAATGGTGGGTTGGGTGGGAGAGGGTGTTGGGGCCAGGCCAGTTCGTGCTCGGGAAGGCACCCATAGCCCGTGGTTCTTGAAAAAATATAAAAAACGGCACCCAGTGGCAGTGGTGGTTCGTTTGCTTGTGCCGGCTGCGCCTGCTGGCACATACAGATTGCCGCCTGTAAGACTGAAATGAAAGAGGAAACGGTCTCTCTTACACGTTGTCACGTATGAGCTCACCTTGAGGTTGAAGATGACGTCATCATCTATGATGGCGATGTAGGGCGCGGTGGTGTAGTTGTCGGCCCACAGGTAGCTCCACTGCTGGAGGATCTTTCCAGGAAGCTTCAGGTAGTTCTTTTCGTAGTACACCTGATGGTTATTCCAGGGGAAATTGGGCCAGGGGAGGAACAAGAAGGGTTGCAATTGTCAATGAGATTAGTCACATATTCAGCAAGTACCACCGCTTGACATCAAGTGCTGATGACTGACAGCAATTCTGATTCCGCAGGGCTTATCTCATAGATGCCACGATTTCATCCGTTCTTTCACACAAACGCCAGGTCTATCCTGGGTAAAGACCAAATTGGCCGCATTGTTGCCTGTCTGGAATGCAGAGCATTAGCTACAGATTTTGTTCTGCTGGACTGGCTTATTAGTGAGTTGGAGTTATGGTGCTTCCCTGCAAAAATGTCACTTTGCTGATGTGACCTGGACCTGGATTGACTCCCGTTGACTCCTGTTGACTCGCGTTGACTCCCGTTGACTCACCTTGATCCACGTGGGCACGATGTCTTCCACGATCTGGTTGTCCTCGTCCAGCACCAGGATGACGTCACCGATGCCACGTGGCCACATCTGCTCGATGCTGTCGAACAGCATCTCGAGCAGGAAGAACGTGTCCGACACGTAGCTGCGAATCAACAGGTCCACTCGCGCCGGCCACAGCGGCCTGTTACATGGGGGTGATGAGGGGAAGGGGGAGGCGGAAGGGGGGAAGAGGGGGTGGGGTGAGGGTCGAAGGGGAAGATGGGGGAGAAGAGAGAGAATGTCGAGGAATCCAGCATCTTCCTGAGCTGGATGAAGAGAGCTTTCCCTGAGCATACGAATGAACGAGCTTGCTCGTGAAGACTGGAAAACAAGGTAGGGAAGGAAAAGGATAAGAAAAAAAAAAGAAAACGGAGGAAAGAAAAAGAAAGAAAACGGAAAAGGAAAAAAATAAGGCAAATACTTACTTGTAGGCGTCATCGTACAGCTTGAACAGCTCCTTCACGCAATGACCCGACTTGGTCCGCCGTTTACACGATCCGAAGCAGTTGTCGTTCCCCGGACTCAACCCGATCCCTCCGCACGGATCGATCTGCGCCTCGATCCCCACCCGCATCCCTCCAGAGCTCTTTTCCGACGACCCTTCGACGTCCGAAAAGCCGTCCGTAGAGCCGTACATCCCCGCTTTAACATCCGCGTCGGCATAGTCACGATCCGTTAGAAGCGAGTTGAACGGCCGGTCTAATAGCGAGTTACCGCGGACTGAGCTGACTCGGCCGAGGGTGTTGGCGATTGCGAGGAGGACGACGAGGGTAATTCCGGACATTAGACCGAGGCATAGGGCTTGTCGACGGGTTAAGATGAGAAATGGGGAGCCGTGGGATTTATATTGGAAGTCTTTTGGTTGCTTAGGAGAAGCAATGGCGCCGGAATCCGTCTTTCTCATCGTGTCGAACGCCATCTGAAGGGAGACGGCTCGTAAGATATGGACGGAAATGTTGAGCTAATTCAACGGAGCTGTTCAAGATGGTCGTTCCAGCACGATTCTCCTTCGGTCTGTTGGCGGTCGGCCTGTTGTCGGTCTATCGAGCCTTCTTCACGAGGAAAACCAGGCGTGAAAAGTCGGAAGTTTTATAGTTTCAGATGAGGTCTCGATGTCACAATCGCATACAGCCATGTAGCAACCGAGTCGGGAAATCCATGTTGAAATCAACCTTCTTTCTCCTGTAATGTCGCGGTATTACCGCGTATCGGTGTTGCCAGAAGCGCTTCACAACAAACCAGCACCTGCAATGCTAGAGTAAGAACTGGCGAGCTGGGTCGAATCTTTGACAGCAGACTGAAAACTTTGAGAGTGCTCGACGTTGACGGGAGATCACAAAACTAGAAATCAAACTCAAGGGACCGACTTTATGGGAAACTGAATGCTACCTGCCGTTAGTTGGACGGTGGGTGGGTGACTGGTGGTTCTATTCAATGGTTCTTCTATCGCCGCTGAATGTATACAACTCCAGACCAGAGTGCTTTCAATAGTTCCCCAGCTGATTGCCGTGCGAGATTCCCGAGGGAGCGGGGAGAAGCCAGGGGGAAGCGGGAAAACTTGGGAACTAGGAAGCTGTGATCTTGAATTCCTAGCCACTGATTGGCTGTGGCGAATTTATGGCAACGATGTTCCCAAGGCTGTATCATTGACGCAACCAACCAGAGCATGGAGCGCCCCGCCCCCCGCGAGGGAACGATGGTGATGGATGTGGCATGGCTGGTGGTTGAGGAGGGCCAGCGGGCTGCCGAAAGAACATTTGCTGCGACTTAATGGGCTTTGAGGCTGAAAAATCAATGGCGTATCCTTGTGTCGACTGAATTATTGGGGTTTTCTACAGAAGATGATGTCTTTCGTAAAGTTTAAAATGTTAATCTCTGGTCATGTTTCTCTGGTTCCTGCCCCCGGAGGTGGTGTCGGTCGGCCAGTCCTTTCCAGCACCTGCGAACTGAGTCACCCACGGAAGGCACCTGAAGTTCCACCAGGTCAGAGGGGCGAAGGCGTACATACGCCTCTTGATTGCATCAGGGGTCACATTCTGCCGTTGTCCCTGCCCTGACAGCAAATTTTCCGTTTTGAACCTGGCTGGGCTGCCTTTGACGGGGTCAACAGTCAACGGGTAACCGGCAAGAAACTTGGAAAACGGCGTGTGTGATGGTGGCAGCCTACCTGCGTCCCGGGCACAGGTTGCTCTAACATCTGGGAAAGGTAGGACTGTCTCTATAAATGGGCTCCAACTGTACATTACAGACTTATTCAATCAAAAGCAGGATGAAGCTGGGAAGCTGGCTATTAGTGTAGACTGCTCTTCAAAGACAATTCAGCCATCAGAGAAGCAACTATGCATTATAATTCGAAGAAATGCACTTCTTTCTCAACTCCTCCACCATCGCCTTGCGCTTATTCTCCACCTCATCCCTCCTCCAGTTGCGCGTTCTTGCTAACACAACCTGGCTATACATACAGTGTAGCTCCCACTGGTACTGATCATACAAAACCTTTGCGCCCGGCACGCGCTTCTTTATCATGGGCCAATCGTCCCAATCCATAGCATACCTCCATATCTGGTCCTGTGGCCCTGCAACATCCTCACAATCTCTCAATTTCCCTTCAGGAAAAGCATAGCACATGCCTTCATGCGCGTAGAACCCCACAACGTCAACATATGCCTTGGCCAAGCGGTGCTCTGGGCCTGAATGGCCAGTGATGTTTCGAAACTTCATTGTGTAAGGGATATGCACACCCACTCGTGGTATCGGTGTTACTGGCGTCCACTCAAGCACCCAGTGAACCTGACGTCCCCCCCACCACCCAAAAAAAGAGTGAAATGGATGATTGAAGTTGTGCTTTGAAAGGAGTGATTGGCGATGGAAGGGGAAGTGGTTTGGGAGTTGGAAGGGGCATAGGGACGATGACAAAGAGTGGGGAAAACGACAAAAAAAGCGGATGCAGTAAGAATAAGAGCCTGTATGTGTGTGGTTTGGCACGCACGTGTGTGACTTGGCATGCATGTGTATGGCTTGGCATGCATGCATGTGTGTGGCTTGAAATCCACGTGTTGGTGTCCAGTGATCATGCACGGGATCAGTGCTTACAGTGTCGTTGGCAAAAAACCACATGTAGTTGCCAAGTGTTGTGTGTGCTATCTGGGTCCTGCAGTAGGGAGGATGTGCAGAGGGGTTGGGCAGAAAGGAAAAACACTAGGAAAATGAAACGAGGGATTGAAGGTATGGAGGGGGGGGGAGGGGGTGGGGAGGGGAGAGGGGGGAGGCCGGGGGGAACCTGAGAAACACCGGGAAATGAGATTGCACCCAAGAATAAACAAACAAAGAAACCTCTCCCAGTCCACCTGGCTAAAAGACCTCACTTGGCAAAAGACGGCCCATGATCTGCAAAGTACTTGACAGCCGAGTCAAAGTCCTTCTTGACTTTTGAGTCGACTCAAAAGTCAGTCGACTCAAAAGTCAATCGACTCAAAAGTCAGTCGACTCAAAGTCAGTCGACTCAAAAGTTAGTTGACTCGAAAGTCAGTCAACTCAAAAGTCAGTCGACTCAAAGTCAGTCGACTCAAAAGTCAGTCGACTCGAAAGTCAGCAAAAATCCCTTGGCAAAAGACGGCCCGTGATCTGCAAAGTACTCGTCAGCAGCATCAAAGTCCTTCTTGACTTTTGAGCTGACTCAAAAGTCAGTCGACTCGAAAGTCAGCAAAAATGCCTCACTTGGCGAAGGACGGCCCGTGATCTGCAAAGTACTTGACAGCCGCGTCAAAGTCCTTCTTGTGCCGCCTGGCCGCCCTCCTTCTGAACTCTGGCAGCACGGCGCGGGGGAAGAGGAAGGGCAGCTGCACCATGTAGTTGGCGTGGTAGCGGCCGACAAAGTAGTAGGAGGACGGCTTCCAGTTGTCTGACTGTGTGTTCTTGCTGCCAATCACGTACGGCTTGCCGTTGGTCAGGTTGAACAGCAGGCCTGGGGTCACCTGGTGTTGGGGGTGGTTGAAAGGTGATGGGTGGGGTGATGGGACGGCTTCCAGTTGTCTGACTGCGTGTTCTTGCTGCCAATCACGTACGGCTTGCCGTTGGTCAGGTTGAACAGCAGGCCTGGGGTCACCTGGTGTTGGGGGTGGTTGAAAGGTGATGGGTGGGGTGATGGGACGGCTTCCAGTTGTCTGACTGCGTGTTCTTGCTGCCAATCACGTACGGCTTGCCGTTGGTCAGGTTGAACAGCAGGCCTGGGGTCACCTGGTGTTGGGGGTGGTTGAAAGGTGATGGGTGGGGTGATGGGACGGCTTCCAGTTGTCTGACTGCGTGTTCTTGCTGCCAATCACGTACGGCTTGCCGTTGGTCAGGTTGAACAGCAGGCCTGGGGTCACCTGGTGTTGGGGGTGGTTGAAAGGTGATGGGTGGGGTGATGGGACGGCTTCCAGTTGTCTGACTGCGTGTTCTTGCTGCCAATCACGTACGGCTTGCCGTTGGTCAGGTTGAACAGCAGGCCTGGGGTCACCTGGTGTTGGGGGTGGTTGAAAGGTGATGGGTGGGGTGATGGGACGGCTTCCAGTTGTCTGACTGCGTGTTCTTGCTGCCAATCACGTACGGCTTGCCGTTGGTCAGGTTGAACAGCAGACCTGGGATCACCTGTGGGGGGGGGGGGTTGAGAGTTGATGGGTGGGGCGTGATGAGTGAAACGGCGACATTTAGGCGCATCCAGCTGTCTCTGCTGTCTGCCTTGCTGCTGATAATGTACGGCGTGCTGCCTGCCAAGTTGAACAGCAGGCTTCGGTGAACCGGAAGGAGCCAGACATCCAGCCAGCCAGCCATTGAGCCACACAAGGAGCCAGACGTTGGCCTGGATTATCAGTCAGTTCTTGAGCCAACTCTAGACCCAGGAGTCGAACCAGGCATCAACTATAATGACGCTCCACGGTGCTGCATTGAAGTACTCAGTCCATAAGGGCACTCATTACTTCCACTCCAACAAAACCATGGGGGGCTCACCTTGAGGTTGAAGATGACGTCATCATCTATAATGGCGATGTATGGCGCAGTGGTGTAGTTGTCGGCCCACAGGTAGCTCCACTGCTGAAGTATTTTCCCGGGCAGATCCAGAATGTTCTTCTCATAGTAAATCTGACTGGGGAAAACGTGAAAGAGGAAAAGAGATAACTTGTGAGAATGCAAACAAAAAAGTGCGGTAACAACAGAATAATTGCTCTGATGGACCCACGTTGACCCAGGGCGTTGACTCACCTTGACCCAGGGCGTTGACTCACCTTGACCCAGGGCGGCACGATGTCCTCCACGTGGCGGTCGGTCTCATCCAGCACCAGGATGACGTCACCAATGCCAGCTGGCCACATCTGCTCGATGCTGGCAAAGAGGAACGCCGTGAGGAAGAAATTGTCCGACACGTAGCTGCGGATCAGGAGGTCCACGCGCGCCGGCCACAGCGGGCGGTAAGCTTCGTCATATAGCGACAGCAGCTCCTTGACACAGTACCCCGATTTCGTTCGCCTGTAGCACCGCCGATTGTAGCACCTACTGCTGCTGCTGCTGTCCCTGCTGCCGTTGCTGTCGCTGTGATTGCTGCTGCTGTCATTGTCGCTGATGCCACCAATTCCCCCACATGGATCCCGCAGCCGCTCCAACCCATCCGCCGTGTAGTACCTCTCGTCACCCTCACCTCTACTCTCGCTATTGTCACCTCGACTCTCTCCATTGTCACCTGAACCGCGAACATCACTCCCCTCTGAAGCTCCATCTGCTACCGTCGTTGTGAGGTTCAAACCTTGAGCGTTCGGGTTCGGATTCTCAGCATCTGTTGTGTTATTTGCAAGCTCATTCCAGAAGTCAGATTCGTCAGATTCGTCGGATTCGCCAGACTTGTCTGCTTCACTTTCTGCTAACGTGTCCGTTTGCAATGCAGACCCGCCTACTGCGGTTGTTGAAACTTGCGACGAATTCGCTGTAGCGGACAGGTTCTCAGGTGACGTGGAATCCGTTAATTCAGAGACGAGTCTGCGACGACGAGACGAGTTGACGGAAAACGTCCGTGCGATCAGTCTGTTCTGGGTGAGCTTCTCGAAGCCTGACGAAGAATTATCATAATCACTACGTGCATAGCTCAGTGCTGGAAGACGCGACGACGAGATTCGACCGAGCTGGAACGCAAGCGAAAGGAGAATGATAAGAATTACGGCGGAGCTGAAAACCAGACGCGCTGCTTGTGGCCGCGAAATGATAATCACAGCACCGGAAGAAGCGACTCCAGCAGCGTCATCATGACGATAGTCGTCGTTTAGTCGCTTCATCCCTTTTCCACTGCGAGCAGCCTTCTGAATCACCTCAAAGGTTCAAGGTCATCCAGGAAAGGTAAGCTGCTCCGCCGTGAAAACCGGAAACGATCCCCGTGGTTTATGGTCTGCAAATAAGGGACTGCTCGCCTATTTGTCAGAATCCAAGACTTAGGAACACTAAGGACCAGCCCCGTGGTTTCCCCGTGGTTTACGTGCGTGTCGCACTAAGGACCAGCTTGTGAACGAAGAGGTGCGTGAGCGAGCATTTGCGCTGCTCGTCAGGCTGCGAGTCGGGCCATTGACTAGACAATCAACTAATCTCTGGCATCATGCGTCCATTGTTCGTCCATGGTTTGTCTGGCCTGGGGGTGGAGGTATGTGCACTTCCAAGGCTGATGAGGTGGCGTCTCTCGTGTCATACTTTCTGGTTAGGGGCTACGTTTGACGCGGTTTGATACGGTTATGCACCTTTGGGAACGGTTTTCGGACTTCACCGCTTGAAACCATTGCGCACCAGAATGAACCTCTTCAAAGTCAACTGCAAGCGAAGGAACGAATTTTTTGAAGAAATCTCATTCCGACTCACTCAGTCTTGTAAAGGTTGGGAACTTTTGCAGAGATTTTGAACACTTGTAAACAGCTGAGAGTCAGACGTTACTGCTATTATACCACATTTGTGACCCACATCCACCACAGCAGGAGAATCTGCAAACCATGGGAAGCAGATCATTCCAGCCCTATAGATACATAAAATAAATCCCTTGAGTGAAAGAAACTTCCACACGTCACCCCGCATTGCTCCTCAGTACTTGTTGGAGTGCGGAACAATGCAGTTCTTTGTCAATTCCTTCACCAGCTCCTGCCGTTTCCCCTCCACATCTCCTTTCCACTCCCCCGTCTTCGCCCCCACCACACGCTCATACATACACTTCAACTCCCACTTATAATCATCGTGCATCACCGTCCCATTCACCGACCCGCTTTGGAAAATTGACCACTCACTCCCACTTAAAGCATACCTCCAAATCTGGCCCTGCTCCCTCGACGCGTCCTCGCAATGGGCCAGTTCCCCTTCAGGGAACGCATTACACAGCCCTTCATGCGCGTACGTTCCGGTCAGGTCAACGTAGGTCTTGACGAGTCGTTGGGGGGGTCCGGCAGCGGAGCCAGATGCGTTGCGGAACTCGTGGGTGTGGGGGATGTGCACGCCGACTCGTGGGATGGGCGTGCGAGACTCCCACTCGAAGGCCCAATGTGCCTGCGACAGGGTTGGTGAGAGTCAGAGACAAGAGCACTTTGAGTTTAATCAGATTACAGCTTGAAGCAGAAGCGTTAGGGAACTCGTGTGTGTGGGGGATGTGCACTCCGACCCGTGGGATGGGCGTGCGAGACTCCCACTCGAAGGCCCAATGTGCCTGCGATGGGTTTGGCAGAAGGAGGTGGAAGGAAGGGGAGGAGTTACATAGGCACTCCGACACGGGGGATGGGATGCCTGTGACGGTGTACAAGACTCCCACTCGAAGGCCCAATGCGCCTGTGATGGGGTCAGCAGGAATCAATGGCATGAGTACCATGTGTCAGCTGATGTTGGCAACAGAGTGTGAGGGATATCACAGAGAATAAGAAGGACAATTAAGCCTTGAACCTACCAGCTACTAGCTAAATAACAACATTATCCTGATTCGAAAGTGCCTGAAACAAAGCAACCAGGGCTTACCGAGTCGTTGGCAAAGAACCACATGTAGTTCCCAAGCGAGGTGTGCGCAACGTGCGGGCGATCAGCAAGGAGCCCGTGCACGGACCAGAACTTGAAGGCAGCATAGCAGATCCTGCCAAACTTGTGCTCGTGCAGCTGCCCCACGTTCTTGCGGAACTTGGGCAGCACGCACCCACACCCCCCTCCCCGCTCCCCCTCTTCCCCCCCCTCTCACACACACACATAAGCCAGGCCTTACCGAGTCGTTGGCAAAGAACCACATGTAGTTTCCAAGCGTGGTGTGCGCAACGTGCGAGCGATCCGCAATAGGTCCTCTCACGGACCAGAACTTGAAGGCAGCATCGAAGCTCCCACCAAACTTGCGCCCGTGCAGCAGCCCCACGTGCTCTCGGAACTTGGGCAGCACGGCGCGCGGGAAGAGGAAGGGCAGCTGCACCATGAAGTTGGCGCTTCTAGAGGCGTCTAGAAAAAAGGCCAGGGCTTACCGAGTCATTAGCGAAAAACCACATGTAGTTCCCAAGCGTGGTGTGCGCGACATGCGAGCGGTCCGCAATAGGTCCGCGGACCGACCAGAACTTGAAGGCCGCGTCAAAGCTCCCCCCGAACTTGCGGCCGTGCAGCAGCCCCACGTGCTCTCGGAACTTGGGCAGCACGGCGCGGGGGAAGAGGAAGGGCAGCTGCACCATGAAGTTGGCGTGGTAGCGGCCCGGACCGACAAAGAAGCGCGAGGAGGTGCGATAGTTCTTGCCCTGCGTGCTCTTGCTGCCGATTATGAATGGCTTGCCGTCCGTTAAATTAAAGAGAAGTCCTGGAGTCACCTGGGGGAGGGAGGAGAGGGGGAGAACGGGAGAGGGGGAAAGGGGGAGAGGGGGAGAGGGGGAGAGGGGGAGAGGGGGGGAGGAACTTGGGCAGCACGGCGCGCGGGAAGAGGAAGGGCAGCTGCACCATGAAGTTGGCGTGGTAGCGGCCCGGACCGACAAAAAAGCGCGATGAGGTGCGATAGTTCTTGCCCTGCGTGCTCTTGCTGCCGATTATGAATGGCTTTCCGTCCGTCAGATTGAAGAGCAGTCCTGGAGTCACCTGGTGGGGGGAGAGAGGGAGGGGGATGAACAGGCGGAAGGCATGTAGGAGAGGGAAGAGGAGGGTAATCGGGGGAGCAAGGGGGGAGGAGGTGAGAGCGATTGGTGGTTTGGGCGAGCGGAGTGGGCCAAGGTGGTAGTGGGCTGCACGAGCACAAGTAGCACGATGAGGCGCGCCAGTTCTTGCCCTGCGTGCTCTTGCTGCCGATTATGAACGTACGACCGTCAGTGAGATTAAAGAGCAGCCCAGGAGTCACCTGGGGGGGGGGGAGAGGATGGCGAGGGGTGGCAGTTTGGGAGAGGGGAGGGATGGCTGATGGGTAAATGCCGGGAAAAAATGGGTGGGGAGGAGACGTCAGCGCACACATGCACGAATGCACAAAGCACTCAGAGCATCAAGGACTCGGATGAGCTCACCTTGAGGTTGAAGATGACGTCATCGTCAATAATGGCGATGTACGGTGCCGTGGTGTAATTGTCGGCCCACAGGTAGCTCCACTGCTGCACCAGCTTGGGCGTGAGACCCAGGTAGTTCTTCTCGTAGTAGATCTTCACCCAGGGCGGCACGATGTCCTCCACGTGGCGGTCGCTCTCGTCCAGCACCAGGATGACGTCACCAATGCCAGCTGGCCACATCTGCTCGATGCTGGCAAAGAGGAACGCCGTGAGGAAAAAGTTGTCCGACACGTAGCTGCGAATCACCAGGTCCACGCGTGCGGGCCAGAGAGGGCTGAGGGGGTGGGGGAATACAAGAGGGAAAGCAGGGAAAAGGGGTGACGAAGGCAGTTGAGGAAGAAGTTGTCCGACACGCAGCTGCGCACCACCAGATCCACCCGTGCCGGCCACAGGGGACTAGGGGTGGGGGAGGATAGGCGGGAGACAGTAGAAGGGGGGACAGGGGAGCAGGGAAGGTGGGTTGGGAGGAAGAAGTTGTCCGACACGTAGCTGCGCACCACCAGGTCCACGCGTGCGGGCCACAGCGGGCTGGTTGGGGGAAACACAGGGGAGATGGGGGGATGGGGGAGCAGGGAGGGGGGGGGTTGGGATGGGTTGGATGAGGATGTAGCTGCGCACCACCAGGTCCACACGTGCCGGCCAGAGCGGGCTGAGGGCGCGGGGGAGCCGGGTGGAGAGTGTGGTGTGGGTGGGAGGTGGGAAGGGAGCGTGGGGTGACAGGAAGAGAGGAGAGAAAGCAGCGCGCTCGAGCTCACTTGAAGGTGTAAAAGCTTCCTGAACTGAACGTTTGGTTGGGCTCACACTGTATGCTTCGTCATAACGTGACAGAAACTCCTTGACTCAGTACCCCGAGTGCATTCTCCGGTGCACGCTACACTAACTTGAAGAAATGATTTGTTGAACTCACCTGTACGCTTCGTCATATAGAATGAGAGCAGCTCCTTCACACAGTACCCCGACCTCGTTCGCCTGTGGCACCAATTGTAGCACCTCATCTCACCCCTACGCTTCGTCATATAGTGAGAGCAGCTCCTTCACACAAAACCCCGACCGACCGCATTCGCCTGTGGACCCTAGGCTATCTTGAACGTACTACAGACACACTTGAACGCTTTGTTGGACGCACCTGTATGTTTGCCTACTTCACCATACCATCTCACTCACCTGTACGCCTCGTCATAGAGCGGCAGCAGCTCTTTCACACAGTATCCCGACCTCGTTCGCCTGTGGCACCGATTGTAGCACCTCATCTCACCGGTACGCTTTGTCATGCTATCTCACTCACCTGTATGCTTCATCGTATAGCGACAGCAGCTCCTTCACACAGTACCCCGACCTCGTTCGCCTGTGGCACCGATTGTAGCACCTCCGGTTGCTGCTGCTGCCGGGATTCCCGGTGCCACCACCGATTCCCCCACACGGGTCCTGCAGCCGCTGCAACCCCTCCGCCGTGTAATACGTTGTTGGGTCAACCGTCGTTGCAGGGGCCGCTGACGTGGACTCCGCAGAAGCTGACGTGGCGGCTGGTGACGTGGAGCTTGTCATGTCTGACGCACCAGCAGCAGTAGTCGCGTCAACTGCAGCAGCAGGCGTGGCAGGCTCTCCAGCCGAGACAGCAGCAGCAGCAGAGCCACCTGTCTCAGCACCACTAACACCCCCTCCCCCTTCACCACCAGCAGCACCATTCGCAGCAGCTGCAGCCGCAGCCGCCGCTGCTTCTGCTGCTTTTGCCGCGTCGTCGTCAGCAGCAGCAGCCTGATCAGCGGGAACCTCAACCACCTCCTTGATATCTCCGCCGCTCTTACTCTCCTCTTTCGCCTCCTCCTTCACCTCTACCTTTGCCTCTGCTTGCGGCTTCTTCTTGCGAGGAGCAGGCTTTCTGGCGGGAGCACGCTTCTTGGCGGGAACAGGTTTTTCCGCAGGAGCAGGTTTTTCAGCAGGTTTCTCAGCGGGAGCAGGCTTTTTGGCGCGAGCAGGTTTCTCGGCAGGAGCAGGTTTTTTGGCGGGTTTGGCCGGTCTGGGACGGCCTCGGGATCTCAGCACGCGACGACGAGGGGTTTCAGGGGAGATCGCTGTTGAGACATCGCTAAATGAGACTGCATTTGATGAGGGGAGATTGCCCAGGTGTGACGAATCAACGGCTGCGATTTCTCCGATGGACATACGGCCGAGATGGAAGGCAGCGGCGAGCAGCAGCACGAGAACCATGGTCGACACGGCTGCGAGGCGCGCCGCTTGGCGGTACGAGAGCACGACGACCGGAGCGCCATTCGAGCAGTTCGAACGACTGAAATTATTCGAGCGGTTCGAGTTATTAGAACCATTAGATGCTTTGGAGGTGTTATCATGCTCGTTGGACAGGCAATGAGGCCCGGAAGACTTAACCGCTTTCGTGTCGTCAGAAGATAACCTACCCTGCGAAACCATGGCTTCCATACGCGATAGAAACCACGGATACGACAATGCGAGGTACGCTTTTGATCAGTCGATAACTCTTACATAAGCAAGTGTGAGGAATAACGCTTTCGCGATTGTAATTACTCGCGACAGCCGTTGTCAGTGTGAAGCTCGTCGGTAGCCGTTGTCCAGCAAGCGAGAAAGCACGCAAGCGAGGCGTAAAAGGAGGTCAAATCAGGCGGATCGGACAGTCGCGTTTTCACCCTGATCTTGCCTGACGACAATGACGGACGGACGACATGGTGAGGTGGTTGAGCGGGCAGGAGCGCACGGAACCAAAGCTGTACGTGTGATGATCGGTGTTGTTGGGTCCGGATTCCTGAAACAGGAGGCTCGGGGGCCTGTTTCTCGGTGTTGTCTGTTCTGTTTTAGGTTGCTCGGGGGCTTGTTCTAGGCCTGTTTAGATTGGTACGGTACGGTACGGACCCATTGGGACGGTGGGAGCAAGTGGTGGAAATGGCTCGGTGAGGCAAAAACGTCGTCACGCCGTGAGGAAAAAAAACTGGTCACCTTCCTGAGCCAAACAGACACAACCATATTTCTTGACCTGAGGCAGTGTGATGTGGCTCAGCTGTTAGCTGTCACCCAGGAGAACCCAGAGAGACCCAGGGGAACCCAACGACAGGGTATCAAGTGGGTATCTAAGAAAATACACCTACCAGTTATTCATATGTGTAATACCTTGCTTAGCAATTCCACACTTCAAAATTGACTGAAGCATCATTAGCTGAAATACATACAAAACCTCACAACACTAACTGACACTGGAGGATCTAACACACCAACCCGAGCAGAGAAACTTCCGATGATAACGTGTTGCTTCTTGCACAAACGCTGCACACAAACCTCGGCCAAAAATGAGTGGTCTCTTGGCCCTCATATAGGACCAGGACATGCACGCTGCCTCCACTCTATTTCAAAATCTCCAGGTTGTCAAGCCCTTGGGTGACCTTCATACTCGATATGACATCCCCCACTTTAAGATCAGCAAGGAAGTCGGCGTTCCCCACAATGTAACCAAAGACAGCGTAACGGCCATCGAGAATGTTGGCGCTGCTGGGGGTCAGCTCACTCTCCTTCAGCAGCCAGAAGATCTGGCTGGAGGCACTGTCGTTGTCAAACTCCTGTTGCGCAGAGACAAAAAGAAAACAAGCAAAAAATGGCCTTCAGAATCCAACCGAGGCAGGCTTTGTTGGAAATAGCATGCGATTGGAAATTGAGCGTATGGTGGAAGAAAAAATTTTCACAACATTCAGACCTGATATTGACATGTTGGCAGCGGCACAGAGGGAGGAAAAGGTGAGACTGCACAGAAATCACAACTCGGACATACCTCGCGGGCCATGGCCATGGTGCCGAAGGCGTTGAAAGGAATCTTGGGGAGAGCACGGTATCTGCCCAGGTCCTGCAGCACATTAGGCAGGCAGACGGGTTGAGATGGGTTAGAATGACAGGGACTGCAACAAGCATGGCTCATGGAGGGATATTGCTATGGAAGGATAGGCTGAAACGAGAGCTAGCAAATGCATGGGCCGCACAAGTCTCAGGGTGTGACACGACTACAACATGAGAGTAAGAAGTGAGTGTTTTTATGTATGGTCCATAATGCTTGATATGTCTCAAACATCTTGTTTCACAGCAGGGCTCACCTCAAGAGTGTCATGATACACGGGTGCCTTGTCTCCCTCAACAAACACCTCCAAAGGACTTTTGGGGCGCTTCAAAACACGTCTTGTTTCACTGCAAGTCTCACCTCAAGAGTGTCATGGTACACGGGTTCCTTGTCCCCCTCTACGAACACCTCCAGAGGAATCCTGCGCTCCTTGCCAGTGGCGGGATCCACAAAGCCCTCTGCAGGCCCCTCGGGGTCTCCAGTCTGCACCACAAAGCCATCAGCTGCGAGGAGAGCAGCACAGGGAGGGAAGCAGCACACGAAAGAATGGGTGGTGGTTGGGGGAGAAGAGTGGGAGTGTGGGATACTCGTAATGCAATGCTGCAAGCATGACTTTCCACGGGACGTTGCAGAAGATGGCACACGGTAGAACACCAGTACACACCTCTTTGGATCTCCATGCCGTCATAGAAGCCCCTCTTCACCAGGTCCACGAAGTTACCGCTGGTAACCGGTGCGTTGTAACCGTCGACAACGATCTCAAAGACCACTTCGCGGAGGTTGGGGTTGTTGAGCGGGCGCACTGTCATCTCAACGTTCGCGCGCCCCTTGAGCACGGGGTACCCCTTGAACTCAGCCGGGATCTGGTATGGGAATGCCCCCACCATCGCCTCTTCAATGCTGCACGTGGAGGGAGGGAAGGAGGCAGAGTGAGAAGAAAGCCGTGCCTTTGGTGCGTTTGAAGCGCCCCTTGAGCACAAGGTACCCCTTGACCTCGCGGAGGTTGGGGTTGTTGAGCGGGCGCACTGTCATCTCCACATTCGCGCGCCCCTTGAGCACGGGGTACCCCTTGAACTCCGCTGGGATCTGATACGGGAATGCCCCCACCATCGCCTCTTCAATGCTGCAGGTGGAGGGACGAACGGATAGACAGCGGGATGCCGTTTATTTCTAGTCTCTAGAGAGGCCCTTGAGCACAGATTGTGTGCTTTTAACTTCGCCAGGATGTCATATTGGAATGGCCACACCATCCCCTTGAATGCTGCAAGTGGTGCATGGAGGGTGTGAGGGCAACGCAGTGCGAACACAAACGTTTCCGTCGCGTTCCACAGTTTCAAATTCCAGAGGACCCTCCCCTGTCGCCCTCCCCCCCATATGCCACTCAACCCGAACTCTCTTCTCCCATACTCCCACCCGTCCATCACTCACTCGCCGACTATGACCAGCAATTAGTTCCGCCTGGACTGGATGTCCTCCTTCCTCGCAGTATCGTTAAAAACTGATTCGCACGACCGGAAACGCGTCATTCCCTGGACGTCAACCCTGTGGAAACCACCCCCTCCCTCCTTCGCACTCACTCGCCGACGATGGCCAGCAGCTCCTTCTGCTTGGGCTGGATGCTCTCGCGGTTGCGGCGCTCGACGATCTTCTGGAACTCCTGCAGCCCGTCCTGCAGCTTCTCGATCAGCTCGCGCCCCTCCGCCTTGTTCTTCTCCGCCACGTCCGCCAGAATCTTGTCCTTGCTCTGGTTCAGCACGCGGTTGGCCTGACGGATGTTCTGTGAACGGGCGAACGGACGAAAAAAGAAGGAACAGGAGAGGCGGAGAGGGGCGCACGGGGAGGGGGGTGAGGGAGGGGAAGGAGTTGGGGGAGGGGAGGGGAGGGAGGCCAAAGGAAAAAGGGGGAATAGGATGAGGATGGTTTCCTGAACACGAAATGAAACGGTAGAGGACACGGAACGCAGAAATTTGTTACGCCACTTAGCACGCCTCCCGCTAAAACTCTGGAAAATCTGGGGACACTCGAGTGATAGGACGCATCCCATCGCGTTAGAAAAAACTTGATTGGGCTTAGCCCTGGTGCTTACCCTCTCGACTGGGTCGAATGCCTTCGAGCCAGGCAGCCTGAGGTCCTCGGTGATTGCTTCCAGAGGCTGCTGCACCTCCTTAATCGCCTGGTTGTTGATCGGCAACGCGTACCGGAGGAGCGCGCGCGCATCCTTGATTGGCTGACCCTTGATAAGCACGCCGACGTCAGGGATGGCCGGGTTGATGGCGGGAGTGCCGGCAGCGAGAGCGACGGCATCCATCGGACCAGCGGTGAGGGAGACAGTCGTCGCTACTGCCGCCAGGCCGGTTGCCAGCTTGGAGAAGAGGTTGTTGGAAGGAGCCGGCTGGTCAGGGAGCAAGAACAGAAAGTTACTTCTGATATATGATTGAAACGAGAGTTGCAAGGTGAATTCATAACGGCGGAATGCAAAAGGTCCGGAGAGAAGGATGTCATGATGCAAAGAACTCAGTGGATATTCAGCATGTCATGGGCTTTCCGGCATTCTGACAAGTCATGAACATCAAGAGCAAGTGTCAATTTCACAACAGATATGCATCGTGACAGCATCGTCACATGAGAGCTACCTCATTGTCTTTCGAAGACGCTGACGCCGACACGGACAACCGCGTCTGGTTCAGTTTCTTGGAAACACCAGCTTGCCTCACTCCCTTGCCTACAGCAGCTCCGACAAGAGCACTAGCTCCACAAAGAGTTGCAGCTTGAGTCGCCATGGCTCACGAATATTTGCAGGGAATAGCAGGGGTGGAGAAACCAAGGGGTTAGAAGCACAAACTCGTCCTGAAGCAAGAACTGAGCCCAGTTTCTTGAATGCGCTTCTTGAAACGCCTTCGGGCTTGCTAAAATGTGACGCTCGCAGGCAAAGCTCAGCTTCTTTCCTGCTTTGGTCTGCTGAGGCAAAATGTCCCTATCCTGGTCAATTTTCGGGGCCTGGTCGGCCATGCCATCTCATGGTTCGGAGTTCAGGCAAATTTTCCTGATGCCCTTTCCACCACCTTGAAGTTTCCCCCGTGTCATCCCCAAATCATGGAACGAAAATCGAGGGACTTGCTGACATGGACACAGATGCGCTCGGCCCAGCTGATCCTCCGTGATGCTGATGTCAGCAGGAGCGACAATGCCTCACTGCCGCGTGGAATGTCCTTGCTGGCAGAACCAAAGAGTGACATCAAGGATTCGATGGGCTAGTGAACAAGGCCACGTACACGGCTGAAATCCACACAGATGATAGAACTTTCGAATGAAATAGCGTGTCTCGCTGCAAGCTTTCAACGTGGGAATTTATAATCCATCGGACATTCTTGGTGCAGTTATCAGAAGCTCGATTACATATTCACATGGTTGGTAATATCATGAAAGAAAGAACCAACACGAATGCAATTCAATGCAAGTTCCACACAACAGCCACCCTCCACCCCAGGCCGAGCCCGATGCCCTGAGGAGTTGCTTGACAACATGCTGGCGTGGCTAAACATGACTGGGCATTTGTGTCAATCACTTGACTAGATCTGCCCTGGACTACGCTTGACCTTCTCCATCGACGGCGACAACACGTCTAGCTGGAATGACCACCTCAAGTCGATGCCAGCATGGCGGTCATAAAAGGTATACCTGTCAAAATAAAAAAGCGCGATTCGATGTTTGGACGGGAAATGCGCGGTGCGCCTGAGTCTACCCCTCTCGTTCCTCAATCACCCTCTCGTCACTAGTCACTACTAAAGCAATGCACAACAGTTCTTCTATAACAGTTCGTCAATAGTGCTCGCTATAGACAACCACTACCTCTGTTCCTTACCCCAAATCGCCGATTGCTACTGTCGCACCATTTCGGGGCTCGCAACGATGGCACGCGGCATCGTTTACCTCATAACTCTCATCGCTGCGATCGCCGTCCCAGCTGTTGCGGTTAGCCCCCAAGAAAGTGCTCCGCACGGGCCGATTACAACAGCGCGCGGATGCTACGATTGCATCAACTTGAAAATGGGGTACTACATCGCCAACTCGCAGGACGTAACCGCGTCCGGACCGACTTACCCAACGACTGCGACCTATAACTACGAGTGCTACGTGCTCGACTCAACCGCGACAATCCTCAGCACTTCCGTAATACTCACTTGCCTTCGAACATCAACATCTCTTCGACATCATGCTTGTGTAACAGAAATTGACGCTGGCTTTGATCTCATGCCGCAGCAGCAGCATGTTTCGAGTATAATCTGTTCATTGCATGATATTTTCAACCTGCAGCGCCGCTGAATTCAACTTTTCACAAGATACTTACGATTTCTTTCCCTCCTGGTGTGTCCCGCAGAATACGAACCTCGAATCAGACTGTTGCCAGCGATGCGCCGCGAAGGACGGGTGCAGATTCTGGCGACTGAGCAAGTTGACGTAAGCATAACGTTACTGCTAATTGCGCTGCGAATCATACTCATTCGCTCATTCAATGCCACTCTGGCATATATGCGGTTCAATGAACTTCGAATCATTCCAGGATGATCCGGAGACATCATACAGCTACTAACGACGCCGTCTCCTATTTTACGCTCGAACTCGCAGAAACCCAGGCGTATGCACGTTGTTGGGGTCGCTAACGGGAGTCACCACGACCAACTGGGTGAAAACCGTGGCCCCGACGTATATTGGCGGCACCTGCAACCCCCTCGCCAACACCAACGGCGACCCGCATTTCCGCGGCGCGGACGGCACGCGCTTCGACTTCAACGGCCTGCTCGACCGCTCCTTCTGCCTGCTCTCCGACCGTCGGATCCACATCAACATGGGGATCAAGGGCTACCGTCCGATCGCCAACCTCCCTGGCACTGCCACGTCATTGGATGAAAAAACGCTCGCTGCGGCGGTAGAAGCGGCGGCGATTGAGTTTAAGCCAAGTCACGTTCAGGAGCTGCAGGAACACGCGCTAAGTGCGGAGGAAGTGGCGGGGCTGCTGCAGATGCGCGAAAATAGCAGCTTGCCTGAAACAGAAAAGGTGGCAGCGGCGCTTGAGCGTGAGGTGGGGAGGCTTCGCGGCAGCAGCAGCAGGGCGGGAAATGCGGAGGCGGCTCAGGCTGAGGGTGCGGTGATTCGAGCTCCGGAGGGGCAGAATTCGATTCAGTACGCGAGGCACGAGCTGAAGGCGAGGCTGCTCAAAGGAAAGCCCATCCGCAGCTGGATCAGGTACGTGCATTTTTGTGTGTTGCATCAGTGACGGTGTTGTGATGGCCCAATGGTGTATATGAGCGATGGTCGCTGGTAGTGTCAGTGAAGCAGTGTGAGTGCATTTTCTCCCATACCCTTCCATAGCCGTGTGGCCATTTTTCTGTGACGATGGTCCACTTCATCATTCCCCTTTTCCCTCCATCCCTTCCTTCCTCCCCTCCTGCGCACCACCAGGGAGCTTCAGCTGATGTGGCGCGACGACACAGGAGCGCAGCACTCGGCGTTCCTCAAGGCGCGGGACGGCAAGGAGCAGGGCCGAGGCGCCACGGGCTTCATCCAACGGATGGTGATTGACGGTCGGGATGTGATCCCTCCTTTCCAGCCCAGGAGTTCCATCTCCGCAAACGGAGGCTTTAACCTGCTGCTGTCGGAGAGCAGGAGCCGGCCCGGGAGGATAGAAGACGAGTTCCACCTGAAAATAGAGGGCGTTGCGGATCTGGGTGTGACGGCGCGGGTGGCCCATCCGCTCATGCAGACTGCCACTGAGGCTCAGGCGCATTTCAACGTGCATATTGTGCAGATCAATGTAAGTTGCGCTGCCTCTCATGCATCGGGTGCTGCTCTTCCTGAAAGTACCCTGCCGTGCTACTTGCTCGACCACTTTCACACCCTTAAGCACACGTCCTGGAAATGTTCCTTAATCGTTCTTGTTCGTCCGGATCCTCACCTTTTCCTTTTCGACCCCCTCTGCCTATCGACTTCCCTCTCGCCCTTTCCCCCACCAGCACACGGAGGGCATTCACGGCGTGTTGGGGCAGACCTTCCGTAGCGAGTCATCCCGCGCGGTGCGATCACTGCGGCACCGCCTGCTCACTCGCCTGCTGCGGGAGCCGGTCAACGTGGAGAGCCGAGAGGGCGAGGGGGGGCTGCTGGATGGGCGCGTGGAGGACTATCTTACCTCGGAAATTGCCGCTCCGGATTGCTCGTTTGCTGCAGCGTGGAACATGGGAGAGCAAGAGAGTAATGGGGGTGATGTTGATGCTCACCGGTTCATGAGATGATGACTGCATGGGATTATGAGAGTGCGGTCGCTGCGGTACCTGCCCGAGAATAAACTCCCTTATTGGCTCAAGTATATGGATGCATGGTTACTATGGTAGGATCTCGGCAGGTTTTTTAATGTGGAGCTTCTTTGTGGCATGATAGTACTACATTAACAAAGGCCTGCTTTTCTAGAAGTTGTATGCATCATGCCTGTACCACGATGGGAAAAGAAGTTCAGCAGCCTAGTTGCTACTATTGCTTTTGTTAACTCACTAAACAGTGTGATGCACCATTCAGCAATACACTAGAATATGCGACCAAGACTAATATAAAGTAAGCTACCCACAATCGAAGTGTGCTTCCGAAGTGAGCTTGAATACACTTTTCTCCCCTCATCTGCCACAACAAACCAGCTCTTCCAATCCTTCCTCGTCCTCTCTACTCGCCCCCAATGTAGTAATACCCTCCGAACACAACCAATGCATCCTTAATTGATAAACACCATGTATGTTCCATCCTCCCACTTCCCTTTATCGTCAGACAGTCAAACCTGTTCGGAGTGTACTGTCAAGCCGGGAACCGGGAAGGCATTGCTACGGGGATAGCTTCATATCCAAGGTACCCTAAAACGCTTGTGTAGGCTTTGGTGACCTGGCACTTGTCGGTGTGGTCTGTAGCCTCTATGAATGGCCATGGCTAGGGTATGTACATGAAGACTCGGTGAATGGGCATGTAGTTGGTGCATTCTATCTCACCTCGTCTATTGTGTATGGGTGCGGCCATGTATTCTGTTAAATATCATATGGTTAAAGTAGGTTGTACTTTTTTATAGGAGATAATGAATTGCATTGTGCATGTGGTTCTATTCAGGAAGAACTCACGGTTGTCGGTTGGCTGGTTTGTTTTCCGTTTCTGTCGTGACAGGGCATCAGTTTGATGGGAGACCAATCACCTCCCACAACGGTTTCACGGCAGAAAATCTCAGCGGAAACGGGTCGTCAAGCCTGACGACCCTCTGACGACTTGACGACATGCTGCCCCGGGCAGAAAAAAACTAAAACCCCATCGGATGGCATGCCATCCGAGGGAGCCTCAACCCTAAACACCATGCCTCCCCGCGTTTAGGGTTGAGGCTCCCTGACCGGATGCATGCCCGTCTGGGGTTTATTTTTTTTGCCCGCGGGCAGCGAGCTCCCCTGGGCGGGCTCGCTTGTCCGCTGAGATATATTCGGCGGTGTACAAAATTTGTCTCGCACGCACCCTCCTCACTCGTTACAGCACCAGATCCTGCCCGAGATTCCCACAGGCGCTCCGTACAATCACAGGCAGAACGCAGGTTTTGTCAGGCAGGATATAGGGAGGAAATCGAGGAAGCCAGCAGACGGCCTTGGGGTTTGCGTCCCGAACCAAACTTTTCAAATTTAATGACATGACAACCCCTAGGGGCGTACTGTACGGTCCGAAGTACAATATTCACTGTACAATGCAGCAAGCACGAGTATATAGTACTGTTCTCACTGACTCACGTGACAAGACGAGGAGCCATGGCGGCGATTTAGACCCAACCGCTACGCTTTCTGACTACCCTCTGCTTCGCCCAACCTCCAAATCCGTACCACCACCAACCAACTTGAGTAGGTCGTCTCCTTTCTCTGATGACAAGCAGTCTAGTCTCGGGTTAGTTGTGTTTTTGCTGTTCCGTGACGTTTCCAGCATCACACCATTCCCATGACGTTCGAATCAGAGACTGAAGTACACCCAGCCTTCGTTGATGATAGATAGATTATTCCAGACTTTCCATGTAGAAAAACGCGCGAGGTTGTCGTTTGTAGTTTTCGCGGTTTCGGTTCTTAATGCGTAGGGTTGGTGCGCCTCCAGCGGAGGAAATATAGTCAATGTATCGAGGTAACTCTAATTACAGCAAGAAGATGAAGTGGAAGAAACTGATGGGAGGGAAGGGAAAGGTTCAGGAAGGCGGAGCGGAGAGCGGAAGAGGCCCTCCGTACGTGGAGGTTGACCTTCCCGGGAGATTCGGAAAGTCTGTCGATAGCGATGCGCTCGACAGCGATTCGTTCGGCCCGCCGCTGACGCCGCAGACGGCGTCGATAGAGGACGAGTTCCGCCGTGGCATGCAGGTCAGTCGCGCCGTTGCGACCTTCGAATCGTTTGCGACGTATGAGTTGACTCGATAGCCCTTCTTACAGCCGCTGTAGCCAATGTTTGGTCCATCTGGTGTAGGAATGACTCTCAAGCCAACTCGAAATGTTTTTTGCAGCAACGTACAGGTTGGTTGCGTCGTAGTTGCATTCGGACGAACTTCCTCGACGATAGAAACTTCTAGACTTCCTCACGTTTCACCAAGCGCCGTCGACTCGCGTCCAAAAATCACTTCGAGGCACACCGTCTCGCGGTTTCTGCTCTTTCCTGTTTCCTGACCTGCTTTTATTCACCTGCACTCACCGCGTGTTTTGTCGGCCTTGCTTTCATCTGTCGGCCGTCCGTCCCTCTGGCAGGAGGTGACTGTTGCGTCGTTTTAAAGTCACCTCGCTTTCGTCTGTCGCCTGTCCGTCTCTCTCGCAGGAGGTTCGCGAGATGCGCGACAAGTACGAGGGGCTGCTGTTCCTCGTCGCCAACGCGCAGCAGCGCGCCGCAGGTGAATGAAGGGGTGGATAGGTGAGGTGATGGGTGGATGAGTGTGTGGATGGGTGGATAGGTGTGTTAATGGGTGTGTGGATGGGTGCTGGGATGGGTGGATGGATGTGTGGATGGGTGGATAGGTGTGTTAATCGGTGTGTGTTGGCCTGGTCTGTACGATGTGATGCTGTGCTGCGTCGCCAATGCGCAGCAGCGCGCCGCAGGTGAAGTGATGGGTGGATGGTTGAGTGTGTGGATGGGGTGGATTGTTCATGGGTATGTGGATGTATGGCTAGGCATATGCGTCTCACAGAACATGCGTAGTCACTGTCACTGATGTCCTTTCCCTCCCTCTGCAAATTCCCCGCTTGCCTCCCCCTCCCCCACTCGGTTACCCTCCAGAGTTCTCCGACGCGTTTCGGGAGCTGTCCTCGTTTGTGGGGGGCGCGTTTGGCGCTATAGAGGACGGGAACGTGGGCGAGGTGTTTCAGCACGTGGCTGTGGTAGAGGACCGCATCGGACAGCTCTTCCATTACTATGTACGTGTGCAGTGTGCTGTGCATACACATGCATGCATGCGCCTTTCCTGCGTGCCTTTAGTAGTCCCGTCCACCCGTTGTTCGATTGTGTACTGCCGCTGAGCACATGTGGGCTAAGTTTCGTGCCTGTGTATTCTTGAACGGCCCAGTGTGTGTCTGTGTGTGTGTGGGGAGGGGTGAGGGGGGTGTTTGTGGGTGTGTGTGTGTGGGGGGGGGGAGAGGGGGAGGGGGGGTGAGGGAGGGGGAGAGGGGGGAGAGGGGGGGGGTTGTGTGTGTGTGTGTGCGCGTGTGCATGTGCATCTGCTTGTGCATATGCATGTGCGTGTGCATGTGCATCTGCTTGTGAACGTGCATGTGCGTCTGCATGTGCTTGTGCATGTGCATGCGCGTGTCATCTGTCATGCATGTGCGTCCACCAGGCCATGCATCTAGCACAGGCCATAGCCGAGCCAACCGAGTCTCTGCTCGTGGAAATTCATCAAGTGGAGGTGCGTGGAGGGCCTTTGGTCCCACCTCTTTTGAGCCCACTGCTTCTGTGCGCTCTCCCCTTACAGCTATCGCTCCCCTTACAGCTATCGCTCCCCTTACAGCTATCGCTCCCCTTACAGCTTTCATCCCGTGCAGCGCCGTTTCTCCTGCTCTGTGCGCTGGCCTTCGCTGCATGCGACTTGCCCCTCACCGTGTGTTCCTCTCATCGCGCAAACCTTGCTCTCACCATGTGTTCTGTACTCTTTGCTCTGTTCCATGTCCCTGTGTTGTACAGAGGCATTTTCCTTGTGTGTACTGCTCTCCTTCTCCTCATTATGCTCTTCGTTCTCCCTGCTCTCTTCACTGTGTGTGTGGGTGAGCAGGAGACAAGGAAGCTGTATGAGGCAAAGAGGTGAGTCACTCATTGCTCTGCTATCTGCGCCCTCCTGTGCTATCGTCCGTTCCTTCTTTGGGCATCTGTTCATCTATTTCTGACCGACACTCACTTGCTCACTCACGCACCCGCCCCGCACACCCATCCCCTGCCCCATCTTTCTCCTTTTGGCTTTCTTCTCCTTTCCCCTTTCCAATCCATGGCTCACATGCAGAAGCCAAAAGAGCAGCACGCACCCACGAATCTGGAGGTGCTTGAAAACCATCTCCGAACTCCCCCTCCCCACCCTCCCCTCACATGTGTCTCTTGCAGGCGCACATATGCAGAAGCCAGAGCAGCAGCACGCACCCACTTGCCATCCCCTGCTACCACACGGCTAGGCTGCTCTGGAGTGGTGGGCGGGGGGGGAAGTGGGGCAGCACGATTGTTGAGGTGCCTAATAATAATCTATCGTTCCCCTTCCCCTCCTGCGGGGCCCCCTCACACGTGTCACTTGCAGGCGCACATATGCAGAAGCCAGAGCAGCAGCACGCACCCACTTGCCATCCCCTGCTACCACACGGCTAGGTTGCTCTGGAGTGGTGGGCGGGGGGGGAAGTGGGGGAGGGGGAGGGGGCGGGGGCGGAGCTAGTTCCGCATCAGCAGCAATAGCAGGAGGGGGAGGAGAGGCGGCAGCAGCAGCTGGAGAGGCAGACTGGGAAGGAAGGGCAGCGCGAGGCAGAGGCAGGCGGGAGTTAGAAGAATGCGAGAGAGACGAAGACGAGGAAGAGGAGGAGATGGGCGAAGAAGAACGAGCAGCCAAGGAGGAATTCGACGAAGTAGCAATGACCCTAGGGTGTAGGATACTGGCCTTAGAGCAGAGGCGGCCCAGGGCGCTGCTGTCTCAGGTGGTGAGGCACCACGTGGCGAAGAGCCGGCTGCTGAGACGGTCCCAGCTGCAGCTGGGGCAGCTGGACGGGATGATGGGGTATCTGCTGGAGGAGCTGGGAATGGCGGGCGCGGAGTTGCTTTGTAGCGTTGATGAGGGGGATTATGACGAGGATGAGGATATGGGGGGCGTGGCGGCAGGCAGTTTGGAGCAGGTGCGTGTTACCCTTACCTGCGTTGTGAACTCTTTGTGTGGTTGATGAGGATGATTATGACGAGGATGAGGACTTGGGGGGCGTGGCAGCAGGCAGTTTGGTGGAGCAGGTGCGTGTTACTCTAATCTAACCTGGTTCGTCGCTGCTTAGTGCGGCTGATGAGGATAATTATGATGAGGATGATGATGATATGGGGGGCGTGCCAGCAGGCAGTGTGGAGCAGGTGCGTGGCTTGGTACCTGGCTTGTCACCGTACCTGGCTTGTCACCGTACCTGGCTTGTCACCATAACTTCTTCCATCCCACATTTCATCTTCCTAATTTCTCTATCCGTACACCCGTCCACCTGTGCTGTGTTGGCAAGGCACCTCATCTCAGCACACATTCACTCACCACGCGTTTTGAGTCGACTTAAAACGTCCTAAACTGTCAACCCTTCCACCTGTGTTGTGCATGCAGGGAACCTCATCCCAAGAAACGTTCACCGCGCTTCCCCCGCCCCCAACCTCCGCCCCCTTGCCCTCGCTTCCCACCTCCGCCTCCCTCCCTGCTCCCCCCACCTCCCTGCCCTCCCCTCCTCCTGCCCACTTCACCCAACCCACCACCAGCAGCAGCGGCAGCACCGCTACCATTTCTGCTGCTGTTGCTTCAGCATCTGCTGCTGCTGCTGCTGCCTTTGCTGCACACCCTTCTATCACAGGACCTGCTTCTGTCTCAGGGCCAGGAATAGCAGTAGCCCCTGCAGCAGCGGCAGGAGCAGCATCAGCAGTTGCGGCAGCGGCGGCAGCAGCAGCAGCAGCAGCAGAATGCGTCTAGAGGGAGGGGCAGGAGCAGCTACTCGGCCCCTCTAAGGCCTGTCGTCCGCCCTGACGGTTCTGTCACGTCTAGACCCCTTCTACCCCGTAACAGATCAGCTGAAAGCGAGTCCTTGGCGCCTCTCCCTGCTGTCCCTGACGCCCCTGCTCCTGCTGCTGCGCCTGCTGCTGCTGCCTCTGCGATTGCTGCAGCATCTGCAGCTGGTTCTGCACGGGCGGTGCAGCCTGCATGGCAGCAGCAGGCAGGCCCCAGTCAGCAGCAACAGCAACTAGGGCAGCAACAACAGCAGCAGCAGCCACAGCACAAGACGGCTGTAAGGCAGCAGCAGCAGCAAGGGCAGCAGCAGCAGGTGCAGGTGGTGCCACAGCAGGCAAGGAAACGGGTGCACCCCGGCTTTCCTCGAAGCAAGTCCTCTGATAGCCCCAGCAGCAGCAGCACTGTAACTGCTGTTGCTGGTAACCAGATCTCGGGTGTGGCTCCTCAGCCACAACAGCTGCACCGTCAGCCACAGCAGCCACAGCAGCAGCAAGGGATGCAGCAGCACCAACAACAGCAACAAACGAAACAGCAGCAGCATTCTCAGGGGCAGCAGCAGAGAGGGCAGCAGATGCGTATTGGGAGAGCAAGCACACACGTGCAGAGTTCCTCTGGTGGCTCGTCCATCCTTGTTGTTCCCTCCTCCTCCTCCTCCTCCTCCTCGAACCCCCAACCCAACTCTCGCTCAAAGTCAGGGCCCATCCCCTCACCGTCTGCTCTCCCTAGCGCTGCCTCTGCTGCCACTCACGTTCCTGCTGCTCCTGCCTCTGCTGCTGGTGCTACAACTACCGTTCCTGCAACAGCAGCAGCGGCAGCGCCACCACCTGGAGCAACTGTGGGTATGCCATCGCTTGTCAGAGCTCCAGGCAGCACCCTAGGAAATGCTTCAGGCAGTGCCCCAAGCAACGCCCCAGGCGTTACAGGTTCTGCTGCTGCTCACGGCGCCACTCCCTCCCCTGCACTCGTTGCTGGTGCTGCTGCCACTCCCACTCCCCCAGCTCCTCCTGTGCTCCAAACACCTTTGCTGTCGGCAGCAGTGGCTGCAGCGGCTGCTGGGGGTGGGGGTGGGGGTGGGCTGAGGGGGAGAGCAGCACACGTGGGTCCCTTTGCCATGCAAATGTCTGGCCCTCTGCCACGCCCCTCTGCTGTTGAACAGGCTGCAGCAGGAGGTGCTGTTGCCTCTGCTGCTGGTCCTGCTACAGGCGGTCCTGCTGCCAGTCCCGCAGGCACCGGGGGTGCTTCGTCAGGTGGTTCGGCAGGTGGTTCGGCAGGTGGTTTGGCAGGTGGTCCGGCAGGTGGTTCGGCAGGTGCGGCAGGTGGAGCAGGCGGAAGTGGGGGAGGGCGGTTCAGCTTTGGCTCTGCCAGCAGGGAAGGCCAGGCAAGTGGTTTGGCAGGGGGTCCTTCAGGTGGATTGGCAGGTGGATTCACTGGAGGTGCAGCCATGCCTATGGCGGGGCATCAGGCCCCGGCGAAGAGAGTGAGCCATTCGGGACCCATTCTGAGAGGCAGCGGTGGTGGCACTGGGTCAGCGTTAGGAGCAGCAGGAGCAACTGGAGTGGGAAGAGCAGGATCAGGAGGAGCAGGAGCAACCATGCCTTTATTCGATCCCTCTGCATCCTACCCTCCCTCTTCCTCCTACCCTCCCTCTGCATCATATCCCCCATCATCAGCACCAGCCTTCTCATCCAGCCTCCAGCAGGCATACATGCTCGGTGCCGTACCCTCCCAGCCTCCTATGCCCACCCTTTCACCCATGCCCTCGCAACCTGCTACGCCCCTCACAGCTGCTCCTGTGTCTGGGTATGCCTACACTGGGGCAGCAGCAGGGGGAGCAGTGGGCGGCGGGGCAGGGTATGGCATGGAGCCTCAGCCTAGCTGGCAGGCTGGTGTCTCAGGAGCAGCTGGTATGAGGCCAACAGGAGCGGCAGCCGCAGCAGGAGCACAAGGCCTAGCAGTCCCGACTGCAGTGCCGATGGGACCTTCAACAGGAGTTTCCATGGGAGTTCAAACAGGGGGCCTGGGTGTGGGTCAAAGCTATCCGTCCCACCCAGCTTACGGTTTCAACACCAGCCCTGGTGGCGGATTAGGGTTTGGGGGCAGTAGCGGCGGATTAGGGTTTGGTGCCTCGCCGGTTTTCCAGGGTGGTTTACCCAGCAAGGCCCTGAGTGGACCCATAGCCCGCAGCTCGTTCTACGGAGGCGGTGGTTTGCTCTCCTCAGCCGGCATTCCAGGTCTTACTGGTGCTGGTGGCAGCGGTAGCAGCAGCGGCAGCGGCGGCGGCGGTAGCGGCAGGTTCAGCAGTGGCAGCACAGGGCAGACGCGAGGAGAGAGGCTGATAAAATCTGGTCCGATTGGGCCGAGTAACAGCTACTATGCTGCAATGGCTGCTCCTGCTCTCTCCCCACCCAAGGTCACTGAGTTATATGCCCTCCCGCCCCCGCCGTTGGAGCTGAATTCGTCTCCTAGTGGAGTGGTTGCAGGGGGTGGCGGGGGTGCTGGTGGTGGTGTGGGCAGTGGTGGGAGTGAGGGGAAGGTGCTACGGTCCCCTGGGGCCAAGGAGGGTTCGTTAGTGGCAGCAGCAGCTGGTGGTGGTGGGGGCAGCGGTGGTGGCGTGGTGGGTGGAGCAACATTGGATGTTAAAGCCGAGAGGCAGGAGAGAGAGGGGGTTTCCTCGTCATCATCCCCCACGCCAGCCCAGGTTCGGCAGGAGCAGCAGCAGGGGGCTCAGACCCAGCAGACTCAGCAGAGTCAACAGAGTCAACAGAATCAGCAGGGCAGGCAGCAACCATCCCCGCAACCACCCTCACAACAGCCACCCCAGCAGCAGCAGCAGCAGCAGCCACCACAGCAGCAGCAGCAGCAGCAGCCACCACAGCAGCAGCAGCAGCAGCAGCCACCACAGCAGCAGCAGCACACCCGGCCGCAACTCCCACCGCTACAGGCGCAGCCCCGGGTGCTACCAGCGTGGCCTGTGCAGCCCAGGGGGGTGGGCAGAGGACCGGGATCACTGCGCCGCCCCATGTTCCCCACCATCATGTCGGAGGGCAGCGAGGAGGGCGAGTCAGGCGCCAGCAGCTTCACTGGCTCGCCGGTAAGAAGGGGTGGTGTGCGGTTGATAGGGGTTGACTGGCTTGTCTGTGTGGTCTGGTTGGGCCGGGATCACTGCGCCGCCCCATGTTCCCCACCATCATGTCGGAGGGCAGCGAGGAGGGCGAGTCAGGCGCCAGCAGCTTCACTGGCTCGCCGGTAAGAAAGGGTGGTGTGCGGTTGATAGGGGTTGACTGGCTTGTCTGTGTGGTCTGGTTGGGCCGGGATCACTGCGCCGCCCCATGTTCCCCACCATCATGTCGGAGGGCAGCGAGGAGGGCGAGTCAGGCGCCAGCAGCTTCACTGGCTCGCCGGTAAGAAAGGGTGGTGTGCGGTTGATAGGGGTTGACTGGCTTGTCTGTGTGGTCTGGTTGGGCCGGGATCACTGCGCCGCCCCATGTTCCCCACCATCATGTCGGAAGGCAGCGAGGAGGGCGAGTCAGGCGCCAGCAGCTTCACTGGCTCGCCGGTAAGAAAGGGTGGTGTGCGGTTGATAGGGGTTGACTGGCTTGTCTGTGTGGTCTGGTTGGGCCGGGATCACTGCGCCGCCCCATGTTCCCCACCATCATGTCGGAGGGCAGCGAGGAGGGCGAGTCAGGCGCCAGCAGCTTCACTGGCTCGCCGGTAAGAAAGGGTGGTGTGCGGTTGATAGGGGTTGACTGGCTTGTCTGTGTGGTCTGGTTGGGCCGGGATCACTGCGCCGCCCCATGTTCCCCACCATCATGTCGGAGGGCAGCGAGGAGGGCGAGTCAGGCGCCAGCAGCTTCACTGGCTCGCCGGTAAGAAGGGGTGGTGTGCGGTTGATAGGGGTTGACTGGCTTGTCTGTGTGGTCTGGTTGGGCCGGGATCACTGCGCCGCCCCATGTTCCCCACCATCATGTCGGAGGGCAGCGAGGAGGGCGAGTCAGGCGCCAGCAGCTTCACTGGCTCGCCGGTAAGAAGGGGTGGTGTGCGGTTGATAGGGGTTGACTGGCTTGTCTGTGTGGTCTGGTTGGGCCGGGATCACTGCGCCGCCCCATGTTCCCCACCATCATGTCGGAGGGCAGCGAGGAGGGCGAGTCAGGCGCCAGCAGCTTCACTGGCTCGCCGGTAAGAAAGGGTGGTGTGCGGTTGATAGGGGTTGACTGGCTTGTCTGTGTGGTCTGGTTGGGCCGGGATCACTGCGCCGCCCCATGTTCCCCACCATCATGTCGGAAGGCAGCGAGGAGGGCGAGTCAGGCGCCAGCAGCTTCACTGGCTCGCCGGTAAGAAAGGGTGGTGTGCGGTTGATAGGGGTTGACTGGCTTGTCTGTGTGGTCTGGTTGGGCCGGGATCACTGCGCCGCCCCATGTTCCCCACCATCATGTCGGAGGGCAGCGAGGAGGGCGAGTCAGGCGCCAGCAGCTTCACTGGCTCGCCGGTAAGAAGGGGTGGTGTGCGGTTGATAGGGGTTGACTGGCTTGTCTGTGTGGTCTGGTTGGGCCGGGATCACTGCGCCGCCCCATGTTCCCCACCATCATGTCGGAGGGCAGCGAGGAGGGCGAGTCAGGCGCCAGCAGCTTCACTGGCTCGCCGGTAAGAAGGGGTGGTGTGCGGTTGATAGGGGTTGACTGGCTTGTCTGTGTGGTCTGGTTGGGCCGGGATCACTGCGCCGCCCCATGTTCCCCACCATCATGTCGGAAGGCAGCGAGGAGGGCGAGTCAGGCGCCAGCAGCTTCACTGGCTCGCCGGTAAGAAAGGGTGGTGTGCGGTTGATAGGGGTTGACTGGCTTGTCTGTGTGGTCTGGTTGGGCCGGGATCACTGCGCCGCCCCATGTTCCCCACCATCATGTCGGAGGGCAGCGAGGAGGGCGAGTCAGGCGCCAGCAGCTTCACTGGCTCGCCGGTAAGAAAGGGTGGTGTGCGGTTGATAGGGGTTGACTGGCTTGTCTGTGTGGTCTGGTTGGGCCGGGATCACTGCGCCGCCCCATGTTCCCCACCATCATGTCGGAAGGCAGCGAGGAGGGCGAGTCAGGCGCCAGCAGCTTCACTGGCTCGCCGGTAAGAAAGGGTGGTGTGCGGTTGATAGGGGTTGACTGGCTTGTCTGTGTGGTCTGGTTGGGCCGGGATCACTGCGCCGCCCCATGTTCCCCACCATCATGTCGGAAGGCAGCGAGGAGGGCGAGTCAGGCGCCAGCAGCTTCACTGGCTCGCCGGTAAGAAAGGGTGGTGTGCGGTTGATAGGGGTTGACTGGCTTGTCTGTGTGGTCTGGTTGGGCCGGGATCACTGCGCCGCCCCATGTTCCCCACCATCATGTCGGAGGGCAGCGAGGAGGGCGAGTCAGGCGCCAGCAGCTTCACTGGCTCGCCGGTAAGAAAGGGTGGTGTGCGGTTGATAGGGGTTGACTGGCTTGTCTGTGTGGTCTGGTTGGGCCGGGATCACTGCGCCGCCCCATGTTCCCCACCATCATGTCGGAGGGCAGCGAGGAGGGCGAGTCAGGCGCCAGCAGCTTCACTGGCTCGCCGGTAAGAAGGGGTGGTGTGCGGTTGATAGGGGTTGACTGGCTTGTCTGTGTGGTCTGGTTGGGCCGGGATCACTGCGCCGCCCCATGTTCCCCACCATCATGTCGGAAGGCAGCGAGGAGGGCGAGTCAGGCGCCAGCAGCTTCACTGGCTCGCCGGTAAGAAAGGGTGGTGTGCGGTTGATAGGGGTTGACTGGCTTGTCTGTGTGGTCTGGTTGGGCCGGGATCACTGCGCCGCCCCATGTTCCCCACCATCATGTCGGAGGGCAGCGAGGAGGGCGAGTCAGGCGCCAGCAGCTTCACTGGCTCGCCGGTAAGAAAGGGTGGTGTGCGGTTGATAGGGGTTGACTGGCTTGTCTGTGTGGTCTGGTTGGGCCGGGATCACTGCGCCGCCCCATGTTCCCCACCATCATGTCGGAAGGCAGCGAGGAGGGCGAGTCAGGCGCCAGCAGCTTCACTGGCTCGCCGGTAAGAAAGGGTGGTGTGCGGTTGATAGGGGTTGACTGGCTTGTCTGTGTGGTCTGGTTGGGCCGGGATCACTGCGCCGCCCCATGTTCCCCACCATCATGTCGGAGGGCAGCGAGGAGGGCGAGTCAGGCGCCAGCAGCTTCACTGGCTCGCCGGTAAGAAAGGGTGGTGTGCGGTTGATAGGGGTTGACTGGCTTGTCTGTGTGGTCTGGTTGGGCCGGGATCACTGCGCCGCCCCATGTTCCCCACCATCATGTCGGAAGGCAGCGAGGAGGGCGAGTCAGGCGCCAGCAGCTTCACTGGCTCGCCGGTAAGAAAGGGTGGTGTGCGGTTGATAGGGGTTGACTGGCTTGTCTGTGTGGTCTGGTTGGGCCGGGATCACTGCGCCGCCCCATGTTCCCCACCATCATGTCGGAGGGCAGCGAGGAGGGCGAGTCAGGCGCCAGCAGCTTCACTGGCTCGCCGGTAAGAAGGGGTGGTGTGCGGTTGATAGGGGTTGACTGGCTTGTCTGTGTGGTCTGGTTGGGCCGGGATCACTGCGCCGCCCCATGTTCCCCACCATCATGTCGGAAGGCAGCGAGGAGGGCGAGTCAGGCGCCAGCAGCTTCACTGGCTCGCCGGTAAGAAAGGGTGGTGTGCGGTTGATAGGGGTTGACTGGCTTGTCTGTGTGGTCTGGTTGGGCCGGGATCACTGCGCCGCCCCATGTTCCCCACCATCATGTCGGAGGGCAGCGAGGAGGGCGAGTCAGGCGCCAGCAGCTTCACTGGCTCGCCGGTAAGAAAGGGTGGTGTGCGGTTGATAGGGGTTGACTGGCTTGTCTGTGTGGTCTGGTTGGGCCGGGATCACTGCGCCGCCCCATGTTCCCCACCATCATGTCGGAAGGCAGCGAGGAGGGCGAGTCAGGCGCCAGCAGCTTCACTGGCTCGCCGGTAAGAAAGGGTGGTGTGCGGTTGATAGGGGTTGACTGGCTTGTCTGTGTGGTCTGGTTGGGCCGGGATCACTGCGCCGCCCCATGTTCCCCACCATCATGTCGGAGGGCAGCGAGGAGGGCGAGTCAGGCGCCAGCAGCTTCACTGGCTCGCCGGTAAGAAAGGGTGGTGTGCGGTTGATAGGGGTTGACTGGCTTGTCTGTGTGGTCTGGTTGGGCCGGGATCACTGCGCCGCCCCATGTTCCCCACCATCATGTCGGAGGGCAGCGAGGAGGGCGAGTCAGGCGCCAGCAGCTTCACTGGCTCGCCGGTAAGAAAGGGTGGTGTGCGGTTGATAGGGGTTGACTGGCTTGTCTGTGTGGTCTGGTTGGGCCGGGATCACTGCGCCGCCCCATGTTCCCCACCATCATGTCGGAGGGCAGCGAGGAGGGCGAGTCAGGCGCCAGCAGCTTCACTGGCTCGCCGGTAAGAAAGGGTGGTGTGCGGTTGATAGGGGTTGACTGGCTTGTCTGTGTGGTCTGGTTGGGCCGGGATCACTGCGCCGCCCCATGTTCCCCACCATCATGTCGGAAGGCAGCGAGGAGGGCGAGTCAGGCGCCAGCAGCTTCACTGGCTCGCCGGTAAGAAAGGGTGGTGTGCGGTTGATAGGGGTTGACTGGCTTGTCTGTGTGGTCTGGTTGGGCCGGGATCACTGCGCCGCCCCATGTTCCCCACCATCATGTCGGAGGGCAGCGAGGAGGGCGAGTCAGGCGCCAGCAGCTTCACTGGCTCGCCGGTAAGAAGGGGTGGTGTGCGGTTGATAGGGGTTGACTGGCTTGTCTGTGTGGTCTGGTTGGGCCGGGATCACTGCGCCGCCCCATGTTCCCCACCATCATGTCGGAGGGCAGCGAGGAGGGCGAGTCAGGCGCCAGCAGCTTCACTGGCTCGCCGGTAAGAAAGGGTGGTGTGCGGTTGATAGGGGTTGACTGGCTTGTCTGTGTGGTCTGGTTGGGCCGGGATCACTGCGCCGCCCCATGTTCCCCACCATCATGTCGGAGAGCAGCGAGGAGGGCGAGTCAGGCGCCAGCAGCTTCACTGGCTCGCCGGTAAGAAAGGGTGGTGTGCGGTTGATAGGGGTTGACTGGCTTGTCTGTGTGGTCTGGTTGGGCCGGGATCACTGCGCCGCCCCATGTTCCCCACCATCATGTCGGAGGGCACCGAGGAGGGCGAGTCAGGCGCCAGCAGCTTCACTGGCTCGCCGGTAAGAAAGGGTGGTGTGCGGTTGATAGGGGTTGACTGGCTTGTCTGTGTGGTCTGGTTGGGCCGGGATCACTGCGCCGCCCCATGTTCCCCACCATCATGTCGGAGGGCAGCGAGGAGGGCGAGTCAGGCGCCAGCAGCTTCACTGGCTCGCCGGTAAGAAAGGGTGGTGTGCGGTTGATAGGGGTTGACTGGCTTGTCTGTGTGGTCTGGTTGGGCCGGGATCACTGCGCCGCCCCATGTTCCCCACCATCATGTCGGAGGGCAGCGAGGAGGGCGAGTCAGGCGCCAGCAGCTTCACTGGCTCGCCGGTAAGAAAGGGTGGTGTGCGGTTGATAGGGGTTGACTGGCTTGTCTGTGTGGTCTGGTTGGGCCGGGATCACTGCGCCGCCCCATGTTCCCCACCATCATGTCGGAGGGCAGCGAGGAGGGCGAGTCAGGCGCCAGCAGCTTCACTGGCTCGCCGGTAAGAAAGGGTGGTGTGCGGTTGATAGGGGTTGACTGGCTTGTCTGTGTGGTCTGGTTGGGCCGGGATCACTGCGCCGCCCCATGTTCCCCACCATCATGTCGGAGGGCAGCGAGGAGGGCGAGTCAGGCGCCAGCAGCTTCACTGGCTCGCCGGTAAGAAAGGGTGGTGTGCGGTTGATAGGGGTTGACTGGCTTGTCTGTGTGGTCTGGTTGGGCCGGGATCACTGCGCCGCCCCATGTTCCCCACCATCATGTCGGAAGGCAGCGAGGAGGGCGAGTCAGGCGCCAGCAGCTTCACTGGCTCGCCGGTAAGAAAGGGTGGTGTGCGGTTGATAGGGGTTGACTGGCTTGTCTGTGTGGTCTGGTTGGGCCGGGATCACTGCGCCGCCCCATGTTCCCCACCATCATGTCGGAAGGCAGCGAGGAGGGCGAGTCAGGCGCCAGCAGCTTCACTGGCTCGCCGGTAAGAAAGGGTGGTGTGCGGTTGATAGGGGTTGACTGGCTTGTCTGTGTGGTCTGGTTGGGCCGGGATCACTGCGCCGCCCCATGTTCCCCACCATCATGTCGGAGGGCAGCGAGGAGGGCGAGTCAGGCGCCAGCAGCTTCACTGGCTCGCCGGTAAGAAAGGGTGGTGTGCGGTTGATAGGGGTTGACTGGCTTGTCTGTGTGGTCTGGTTGGGCCGGGATCACTGCGCCGCCCCATGTTCCCCACCATCATGTCGGAGGGCAGCGAGGAGGGCGAGTCAGGCGCCAGCAGCTTCACTGGCTCGCCGGTAAGAAGGGGTGGTGTGCGGTTGATAGGGGTTGACTGGCTTGTCTGTGTGGTCTGGTTGGGCCGGGATCACTGCGCCGCCCCATGTTCCCCACCATCATGTCGGAAGGCAGCGAGGAGGGCGAGTCAGGCGCCAGCAGCTTCACTGGCTCGCCGGTAAGAAAGGGTGGTGTGCGGTTGATAGGGGTTGACTGGCTTGTCTGTGTGGTCTGGTTGGGCCGGGATCACTGCGCCGCCCCATGTTCCCCACCATCATGTCGGAAGGCAGCGAGGAGGGCGAGTCAGGCGCCAGCAGCTTCACTGGCTCGCCGGTAAGAAAGGGTGGTGTGCGGTTGATAGGGGTTGACTGGCTTGTCTGTGTGGTCTGGTTGGGCCGGGATCACTGCGCCGCCCCATGTTCCCCACCATCATGTCGGAGGGCAGCGAGGAGGGCGAGTCAGGCGCCAGCAGCTTCACTGGCTCGCCGGTAAGAAGGGGTGGTGTGCGGTTGATAGGGGTTGACTGGCTTGTCTGTGTGGTCTGGTTGGGCCGGGATCACTGCGCCGCCCCATGTTCCCCACCATCATGTCGGAAGGCAGCGAGGAGGGCGAGTCAGGCGCCAGCAGCTTCACTGGCTCGCCGGTAAGAAAGGGTGGTGTGCGGTTGATAGGGGTTGACTGGCTTGTCTGTGTGGTCTGGTTGGGCCGGGATCACTGCGCCGCCCCATGTTCCCCACCATCATGTCGGAGGGCAGCGAGGAGGGCGAGTCAGGCGCCAGCAGCTTCACTGGCTCGCCGGTAAGAAGGGGTGGTGTGCGGTTGATAGGGGTTGACTGGCTTGTCTGTGTGGTCTGGTTGGGCCGGGATCACTGCGCCGCCCCATGTTCCCCACCATCATGTCGGAAGGCAGCGAGGAGGGCGAGTCAGGCGCCAGCAGCTTCACTGGCTCGCCGGTAAGAAAGGGTGGTGTGCGGTTGATAGGGGTTGACTGGCTTGTCTGTGTGGTCTGGTTGGGCCGGGATCACTGCGCCGCCCCATGTTCCCCACCATCATGTCGGAAGGCAGCGAGGAGGGCGAGTCAGGCGCCAGCAGCTTCACTGGCTCGCCGGTAAGAAAGGGTGGTGTGCGGTTGATAGGGGTTGACTGGCTTGTCTGTGTGGTCTGGTTGGGCCGGGATCACTGCGCCGCCCCATGTTCCCCACCATCATGTCGGAGGGCAGCGAGGAGGGCGAGTCAGGCGCCAGCAGCTTCACTGGCTCGCCGGTAAGAAGGGGTGGTGTGCGGTTGATAGGGGTTGACTGGCTTGTCTGTGTGGTCTGGTTGGGCCGGGATCACTGCGCCGCCCCATGTTCCCCACCATCATGTCGGAAGGCAGCGAGGAGGGCGAGTCAGGCGCCAGCAGCTTCACTGGCTCGCCGGTAAGAAAGGGTGGTGTGCGGTTGATAGGGGTTGACTGGCTTGTCTGTGTGGTCTGGTTGGGCCGGGATCACTGCGCCGCCCCATGTTCCCCACCATCATGTCGGAAGGCAGCGAGGAGGGCGAGTCAGGCGCCAGCAGCTTCACTGGCTCGCCGGTAAGAAAGGGTGGTGTGCGGTTGATAGGGGTTGACTGGCTTGTCTGTGTGGTCTGGTTGGGCCGGGATCACTGCGCCGCCCCATGTTCCCCACCATCATGTCGGAGGGCAGCGAGGAGGGCGAGTCAGGCGCCAGCAGCTTCACTGGCTCGCCGGTAAGAAGGGGTGGTGTGCGGTTGATAGGGGTTGACTGGCTTGTCTGTGTGGTCTGGTTGGGCCGGGATCACTGCGCCGCCCCATGTTCCCCACCATCATGTCGGAGGGCAGCGAGGAGGGCGAGTCAGGCGCCAGCAGCTTCACTGGCTCGCCGGTAAGAAGGGGTGGTGTGCGGTTGATAGGGGTTGACTGGCTTGTCTGTGTGGTCTGGTTGGGCCGGGATCACTGCGCCGCCCCATGTTCCCCACCATCATGTCGGAGGGCAGCGAGGAGGGCGAGTCAGGCGCCAGCAGCTTCACTGGCTCGCCGGTAAGAAAGGGTGGTGTGCGGTTGATAGGGGTTGACTGGCTTGTCTGTGTGGTCTGGTTGGGCCGGGATCACTGCGCCGCCCCATGTTCCCCACCATCATGTCGGAAGGCAGCGAGGAGGGCGAGTCAGGCGCCAGCAGCTTCACTGGCTCGCCGGTAAGAAAGGGTGGTGTGCGGTTGATAGGGGTTGACTGGCTTGTCTGTGTGGTCTGGTTGGGCCGGGATCACTGCGCCGCCCCATGTTCCCCACCATCATGTCGGAGGGCAGCGAGGAGGGCGAGTCAGGCGCCAGCAGCTTCACTGGCTCGCCGGTAAGAAGGGGCAGTGTGCTGTTGAAAGGGGTTGAATGGACTGTTTTTCTCGTTTGGTCTGTGTCAGTCAGTTGGCGGGCCTTGTTCACCCACGTTCATGTCGAAGCCGCTGCACGTGATGGCCTTACCTACGCCCCACGCACTTCCATCACGCATGACTCAACTATCTCGTCCACTTCCCTTCCTCCCCCCCACCCCTTCTGTCTGTGCTCTGCAGTCGCTGTGCTCCATGGACAGTCCTGGAGCTGCTGCACCTGACGACCTCACCCTTCCCCGCACCCACACCATCGCCTCTTCATCCTCTTCCTCCGGTGCTCCTACGTCATCTCTTCAGCCGCGGCAGCATCATGGGAGCTCGGTTGAGCGATCTCAACCGTCGGATGCATCCAGTTCCAGACGGCTGGAGATCCAGCTCAGGCAGGCTTTGACGATGCCACGTCAGCACCACCTGTTGTCGCCAGCTGATGGCATGTGCAGTCCGCATTCGTCCATGACTTCGTCGTCGTCCTCGCCTGTGCATTCCCCACTGTTGCCAGCAGCTGCACAGTGAGGTGTATAATGTTCATCCATTACAAGATATTTCTTTCATTTGTACTGAGCTAGTACAAATGCTACCTGTGTTAAGCTAATTTGATTGATTCCTGATGGTGTATAGTTCTTCTGGAAGAAGCTCTGGATTGCATCGTACATTTCATTTGTAAGGTTTGTGCTGAAGCGGGTTCGTGATAGTGTCAGAGAGTTACCATGCCGCGTCGCTCCAACCAGCCAATCATAAGTTTAGGCGGGAAGCGAAATTTAGGTAGGGTCCTCGATTCTGTCAGCAATTCCACAACAGTCAGTTCGCTGTGACAGACGGATCCTGCTGAATGCCGTCTGGGTTGCCAGCTCGCTCAAATCTCGAGGTCGGATGAGATCTAGGTAAGCTATAGGGCTCACCGCAAGCGCAGATACCTTATAGACTCGGCGAGGCTATCTGGCTTATCAGTCTTACATACCCCTCGCATCGTTCTCCAGCAAGTTATTCCATGGTCAGTCTCTCTTACTTCACTAGTAGGCTCTGTTAACACATGTATTGCCCTTTCAAGCTTGGAGCTTGATCACGGATATCTAGGACATTTGCACGTCAAGGCGACTCTTAAATTCCGAGGATCTCGGACGGATCTCCGCTAGAAAGTCTCGAACGTTGGCTTATGACCATTGATTCCTGGGTGTGGATTAATGCTAAAAAGCACTCAGTTCTGGAAAGTACAGACTCAAATATAGATCCTCTTCATTGTCAAGTTCATAGTTTCATTCCTAAATTCTTATAACCTGCCTCGGCCAGGTCTCTCAATCCGCGGCCCAGGATGTAACGGCGAAAGCCATTCGCGCCTATCTCCTTCCTGAGTGCCATTCTAGGCGTTTTCCGTACAGCCGTGCATTCCCTCACCTCTACCTCCGCACACCTCTGCATTTGAAATCGTCACCATGACATTCCTTTCGAAAGCCCTTGCAGAGATCGCTCAACGGTCAGGATCGCTCAATCAGATGCCGAAGCGGAGCGAGTCGTGCAATTCCTTCTTCACAGGAAACCAGTCTCCAAGAACAGCCACGTTTCCCGGCTCTCTCCTTCCGCGTACGAAATCCCGAAAGGAGGACGGCGTAGGCCGCGTGTTCACGTGGATCATCCGCGCTTTCCAGTCGAAACGCACTCTTTCGTTCCTCGTGCTGCCGCTGCTGGCGTGCCTGCTTGTTTGGGGTTTGCTGCGCCGAAGCGGAGATGAGAGGGGGAGGTGGTCGGCTGCGGATCGGCAGCCGTGGCGAGCGGAGATCGTCGTCGAGTCTTCGCCGATGTCGTTGTTGCCGTCGCAAGCGTCGCACGGTGGCTTGGCAGCAGCGAGTGAACGCGTAGACAGCGAGCCTGAAAAAACGATCGTATCTCGTTTTGAGGAGGGCAGTCAAGGGATAACATTGCCTGGTGCAGAGAAAAAGGAGCAAGAGAAAGTGGCTGAGCACGTGGGAGAGGCGAGCAGCGACGGCGGCAACGGGTTACCGGATCGTGGGCGAAGTAGAGAGGAAGCGGGAGATGGGGTGGACGGCTCAAATGGGGAGACAACGGCAGGCAGCAACGGGAAGATAGGAAAAGAGGAGAGCGATGGAGGCAAGGAGGAGAGCATGAGTGAGGGTAACCAAGAGGGAAACGATGGATTGAAAGTGGAAACTGATGTGAGGGATGAAGGGATGAGAGATGGAGGGAACGGAGATGGTCGGTTAGAGGAAAGGCTTTCTGAGGCAACTCAGAAATCATCGGAGGGGAGGCAGGATGAGATTGTAGTGGTGGAGAGCGGTGGAGGGAGCCAGGAAGTAGGAGAGAAAGAGGAAGAGGAGAGAAAAGAGGAGAAGAGGGGGATTGAGGTGGTGAAAGTGGGGAATGAAGAGGAGGGGAAGGAGAAGAAGAAGGAGAAGGAGAAGAAGGAGAAAAAAGGGAAGAAAGGGAAGAAAAAAGGGAAGAGGAAGGAGAAGGAGAAGGATAAGGTGACGAAGCGTCTGTGGAATGAGGAGGGCAAAGAGAAGGTTCAACTAGACGGTATGTTCGCAAAACAGAAAACCCAATCAACATGTTTCATTCTTCACGCTTCCTGGGGGGCAATTTACCCGAATGATTGTGCCCCCACCTCCTTGCCCGCGTTCCTTCCCCAGTCCCCGCGGACTGCGACCTGTACCACGGCACGTGGCAGCCAGACATAGGCCCAATCTTCTTGTTTTCTCTCCTCACTCCCTAATGGCCAAGTCTCTGGGTGATGCAACCCCCCCTCTCCTCCCCACCTCCATTTCCCAGTCCCCGTGGACTGCGACCTGTACCATGGCATGGCACGTGGCAGCCGGACCGGACCCATTCCCTTGTTCTCTCTTTTCACCCAATCCCAATCCCCAGTGCCCGCGGATTGCGACCTGTACCATGGCTCATGGCAGCCGGACTCAGAACCTCCCCTCTACACCAACAGCACGTGTGGTGCCATCTCGCAGCACCAGAACTGCCAGGGCAACGGGCGGCCCGACAGTGGGTACGAGCGCTGGCGGTGGCGGCCGGGGGGAAGGGAGGAGTGCGGGGCGCTGCCACGGTTTGATGCGGTGGAGTTCATGCACGTGATGCGAGGGAAGAGCGTGCTATTTGTTGGGGATTCCGTGGCGCGGAATCATATGGAATCGCTCATCTGCCTTCTGAGCCAGGTGAGCAACAGGGGGGTAAATCAGGAGAGAGGGTGGGAGTCGGGCTGGGAATCTAACGTGGTTTGACGCGGTGGAGTTCATGCATGTGATGCGAGGGAAGAGCGTGCTGTTCGTGGGGGATTCCGTGGCACGGAATCACATGGAGTCCCTGATCTGCCTGCTCAGTCAGGCGAGCAACGAGTGCGTACTCCGCCAGGTGGGCAATGGGGGACACTGCATGTACTTCCCCCGCGCCAAGCTCACCATTGCACGCATCTGGTCCGCATGGCTCGTGCACGAGTCCCCTCATCCCTTCCCCTCCCCTTTCCTTCACCTCCCTCCCCTCCCTCCCCTTCCCCCCCTGACCAACACCAGGTTGAAGCCCCCCATCTCCGGGGCAACAAGAATCTCATCCGCATGGTCTTCCCGCGTGCCAAGCTCACCATAGCGCGCATCCCTTTCCCTTCATATCCCTCCCCTTCCCCCCCTGACCAACACCAGGTTGAAGCCCCCCATCTCCGGGGCAACAAGAATCTCATCCGCATGGTCTTCCCGCGTGCCAAGCTCACCATAGCGCGCATCCCTTTCCCTTCATATCCCTCCCCTTCCCCCCCTGACAAACACCAGGTTGAAGCCCCCCATCTCCGGGGCAACAAGAATCTCATCCGCATGGTCTTCCCGCGTGCCAAGCTCACCATAGCGCGCATCCCTTTCCCTTCATATCCCTCCCCTTCCCCCCCTGACCAACACCAGGTTGAAGCCCCCCATCTCCGGGGCAACAAGAATCTCATCCGAATGGTCTTCCCGCGCGCCAAGCTCACCATAGCGCGCATCTGGTCCGCCTGGCTCGTGCACGAGTCCCCTCACTCCTTCCCCTCCTCTTCCTCTCCTTCCCCTGCCTTCCCTTCACGCCAAACGCCAGGTGGAGACCCCCCATCTCCGAGGCAACAAGAATCTGATCCGAATGGTCTTCCCCCGCGCCAAGCTCACCATTGCGCGCATCTGGTCCGCCTGGCTCGTGCACGAGTCCCCTCATTCCTTTTCATTCTCTTCCCTTCCCTTCCCTGCCCTACCCTTCCCCTCCCTTCGATCCCCTTCCCTTCCCGACGGCCACCAGGTGGAGGCCCCCCATCTCCGGGGCAACAAGAACCTCATCCGCATGGTCTTCCCGCGTGCCAAGCTCACCATTGCGCGCATCTGGTCCGCCTGGCTCGTGCACGAGTCCCCCGATCCCCCCCCCTCCGCGCTGCCCTCCGCGCCTGCGAAGCTTCCGCGGCTGCAGCTGGAGAAGACGGGGGAGAAGTGGTATGGGGACGTGGGGCGGTATGATGTGGTGGTGCTGTGCACGGGGCACTGGTTTGTCACTCCCGCGCTCTTTGTGGTGGGGGGGCGCGTGGTTGGGTCACAGGGCGGGTGGTGGGAGGCGCATGGGAAGGAGATGGCGGGAGGAGGGGAGCATACAGAGGAGTGGAGGAAGGGAGAAGGGGGAGGAGATGGAGGAAGTGGGGAAGGGAGTGGTTCTGAAGCCATTGGGGGACAGCAGGAAAGGCAGGGAGGTGAGAGTGGTGGGAAGGAACAACAGGGGGAGCAGCGGAGAAGGTTGGAGGGAAGGGTTGCAATTGAAGATTCCCAGTCTCCAGTTACAGACAGTAGCGGAGGGATGCAGGATATACAGAAGGACAGTCAGAAGGATGTTCAGAATGACATACAGAAGAATATACAGAAGGATATACCGAAGGACATACAGGTTCCTCTGAACAACACTGCTGCTTTCTCCATCGCCATTCGGACCGTCTTTGCTGACGTGGCAGCAGCTGTCAAGGCGAACCCGAAGCAGCTGTTCGTCTTCCGAACCTACTCCCCGGACCACTACGAGGGCGGGCAGTGGAACACCGGAGGCTCGTGCGCAGGCCTTACCGAGCCTCGCGGCAGCAACTACACCTACGAGAACTCGTACGGGAACACGGTCTATAACGAGCAGAAGGCAGCTTATAACGAGGCTATCAAGGAATTGGGAGGAGAAGACTACAAGTGGCGGTTTTCCTTAATGGATATCATGCCTAGTGCGGGGGTGCGGGTCGATGGGCATCCGGGCCCGTACAGAGGGTTGAACAGCACTGCTGAGTTGGAGAAACACAGGAAGAAGCATCCTGATTCCAAGTATCCTCCCCCGCAGGACTGCCTTCACTGGTGCCTGCCGGGACCTATAGACTCGTGGAATGTGTTTCTGCTGCAGCTCATCAAACGGCATAGAGTCGTGGGGCAGGCAGGGGTGTGAAGCTGTGGGTGTGGGATGGGGCAGGCAGAGGCTGAAGGCTGCAATGTGGGATGGGCCTTCTGAGGCGCCTCAGAACTGGGCCTGTGGACTCGTGGAATGCGTTCCTGCTGATCAAACGACATGGAGTCATGGAGCAGGCAGGGGCATAGAGGCACAGGGACACACACAGGATGATGGTGCAGGCTGCGGGTGTGGGACAGATGATGGGCCTGACAGGGGCATGATGGCAAAGGGTCATTGGTCTGATGGGCAGATAGGTAGATGAGTAGTGGGGCATGGCATGAGGCAGGGTGGTGGACTGGTGCTGGTGCCGGTGCTGACAGCTGGGCATGAAGCAGACAGGCCAGGACCCCAGAGTGTTGAGGAATCTCAAAGGACCTGTGATGGGCCGTGTCACGCGGCACGTGTTTTGAGTCGACTCAAATCACGGGGTATGGTGCTGCTGACAGCTGGGCATGAGGCAGACAGGAGGTGCACGGCATTGCGTGTTGTGCTAGTGAAGTAGGAGTTGAAGCGTGCCACCAGGGTGCCTTGAGTTGAAGCATCGGAAAACTGACTGCCCTGCCATGAGGTTTGTGGCACTATATGCATAGAAGACTACTTCACAAGCTCACTCGTGAATGTTTGGCAGGCTTTTTAAGCTTACTGAGCAATACAGCATAACAAACAAAGCAAGAGGTGAGGGTGTATCCTACCACTGAATACTCTTTATTGGCACCTCCATAGCAACATGAAACGGTAAGGAGTGAAATGTACTGTGCTTCACAGTGTACTCAATTTGCCTAGTGGATCAGACATCAGACAGCCACCCACTTATCAGGTACCAAGAGGCAGCACAGCACTCCAGTTGCTCCCCTGCCAGCACGGGCAGGCACCAGAGAGTCCCCTCCCCATCGCTGTATGGGTATGACTCAGGTACAGCCCACAGTTGCCGGACGAGAGTGATGCGGGCGGCAGGAGTTATTGGCAGGAGAGAGCTCGGTTCAGTGATCCAATGGCAGCACCTGCCACTCAAGTTCCTCCCCTGCCAGCATGGGAACCAGGGAGCCCCCTTCCCCGTACGAGTACGAGTCAGGTACGACCCATGGTTGGCGGACCAGGGTGATGCAGCAGGAGTTGCGGGGCAGGCCGTAGAAATCAGGTCCATTGAAGCTCGTGAATGCCTCGAGCTTGTCCAGTGCTCCTGCCTGGAAGATTGGGGGAGGTAGAAGGGGGGAATGGTTGAGGGGAAGAGTGGAGTTGCGAGGCAGGCCGTAGAAATCGGGTCCGTTGAAGCTCGTGAACGCCTCGAGCTTGTCCAGTGCGCCTGCCTGGAAGATTGGAATTGGGGGAGGGGAAGGGGAAGGGAGGGACAGGCGTGGGGAGACGAGGGTGAAGGAAGAGTGGATTTGCAAGGCCGGCCGTAGAAACCCGGCTGGTGAATGCCTTGAGCTTGTCCAGTGCGCCTACCTGCTCGAATGCCCGTGCGTAGAGAGGCAGGGCGGCGTGCGCAGAGAAGATCCCCGCGCAGCCACATGGCGCCTCCTTAGTGGTCCGCTCGTGTGGCGCGCTGTCCGTGCCGAGAAAGAAACGCGTGCTGCCGCCCGTCACTGCTGCGACAATGGCCTGACCTGGTAGAGGGGAAGGAGGAGGGGGAAGGAGGAAAAATGGAGAACATAGATGTAGGACGCACTAGAGGAGAGGGAGAAGAAAAAAGGGACTTGTGACTCTCTCTGCATCTCTTTGAACAGCATTCGAGTCTTGTGTTTCACAACCTCTCAGGAAACAAAGAGACTCACGGTGTGTTTCTCGCTTGAGCACAGGCAAGCAGAAATGGTGCGGGCGAATGCCCCCCGTGAAGAGCGCGTTGCGGTTCCACAGCAGGTGCTGCGGCGTCACTGTGGCAGCCACCCGCCCCTCAGGTGCTTTCAACACAAACTCGACCGCATCTGCGGTGGTGACGTGCTCAAGCACAACCCGCAAGGTTGGTAGGCGCGCTAGCAGGGGCGAGAGCACCCGATGGATGAACTCCTTCTCACGATCAAACATGTCGACTGATGGGTCTACCACCTCGCCATGCAGCTGCAATGCGTGAAGGGAAGGAGAATGAAAGGGGGCAAGGAAGGTGTAATAGCAGGCGGGCCAGCAGGGGCGAGAGCACTCATTGAATGAACTCCTTTTCACGGCCAAACATGTCGACTGATGGGTCTACTACTTCTCCATGCAGCTGAGAAAAAGAAGAGGGGCGAAGGAGGGGAAGGATGGGGAAAGGCGGGGAAGGAGAGGGTGAGGGGGGAAAGACAGCTCCACCGCAACTCCTTTCGCATACGAACATGTCGACTGATGGATCCACCACCTCCCCCGTGGAACTGTGAGGTAGTAGTAATGGTAGTGGTTTTAGTAGTTGTAATTTTAACGGTAGTGGTAATGGTAATGGTAGTGGTAATGGTAGTGGTAGTGGTAATGGTAATGGTAATGGTAGTGGTAATGGTAATGGTAATGGTAGTGGTAATGGTAATGGTAATGGTAATGGTAGTGGTAATGATAGTGGTAATGATAGTGGTAATGATAGTGGTAATGATAGTGGTAATGATAGTGGTAATGGTAGTGGTAATGGTAGTGGTAATGGTAGTGGTAATGGTAATAGTAATGGTAGTGGTAATGGTAGTGGTAATGGTAATAGTAATGGTAGTGGTAATGGTAGTGGTAATGGTAGTGGTAATGGTAGTGGTAGTGGTAATGGTAATGGTAATGGTAATGGTAATAGTAATGGTAATGGTAATAGTAATAGTAATGGTAATGGTAATGGTAATGTTAATGGTAATAAGAATGGTAATAGTAATGGTAATGGTAATAGTAATGGTAATGGTAATAGTAATAGTAATGGTAATGATAATGTAATGGTAATAAGAATGGTAATAGTAATGGTAATGGTAATGGTAATGGTGAACTCTTCCCCCGTGCACCACCTCCTCGTGCAGCTGAGGGGGGAGGGGTGTGTGCAAGGGGACAGGAGTGGATAGGCACGTGCCGTGGGGTTAGGAGAGGCGAGAGGCCTCGATTGATGAACTCTTTCTCGCGATCGAACATGTCGACTCATGGATGCACCACCTCACCACAAACATGCGCCATGCACCATGTGCTGAATGGCAGAGAAGACTTTTGAGTCGACTCAAAAGTCACTCAAAAGTCACCTCATGGATGCACCACCTCACCACAAACATGCGCCATGCACCATGTGCTGAATGGCAGGGAAGCAGCCTTGACAGGTGCAGGCGCATGCACACATGCACCCAACACCTTTTCACTCACCAGCAGCGGCATGCCAATGTGCGCCATGTGCTCTATGGCAGGGAAGCAGCACCCAAAGAGGTCCGTCACTCCCGCTGCTGATTTGGCCACCCCACCACTGACCTCACTCACCCTCTCAGACCCAACCTTGAGTGGTCCCAAACACTGTGACATACCGCCCTCTCTCTTCCACACTCACCAGCAGCGGCATGCCAATATGCGCCATGTGCTCTATAGCAGGGAAGCAGAGTTGACAGGTGCAGGCGTATGCGTACATGCACCCACCAGCATTCCACCCTTCACCACCACACCCACCAGCAGCGGCATGCCAATGTGCGCCATGTGCTCTATGGCAGGGAAGCAGCGCCCAAAGAGGTCCGTCACCCCCGCTGCTGAGTTGGTCGTGGCTCCCGCGGGGTAGAGCTTGAACGCTACCACTAGGCCTCCGTCCTCTGGTGGGGTGGGTGGGGGAGCACTTGGGCAGTTGAGCAGGGAAGCAGAGGAGCATTTGTACGTCGTTCGACTAGAGTTGAGAGCTGGTCGTGGCTCCCGCGGGGTACAGCTTGAATGCCACCACCATGCCCCCGTCCTCTGATGGGGGGTTGAGAAATGGGGGAGAGGTCGTGGCTCCCGCGGGGTACAGCTTGAATGCCACCACTAGACCTCCACTAAGTGTGACCAAGTGTGATGCAGCACTCTGCTGCACTGAGTGTCCTTTCCTGCTCCCCTCTCCCTTCGACAATTTACATTACCGGAACACGTGACCGAGTGTGATCATGCGAGCCCAAACACACACAGACTCACTCACTCGCTCGCTGCACTTCCTCAGGCTTGGTGTCATCTGTAAGGTGCAGCGTCACGAGAGGCTTAACACCCGCCTCGCCTTGCCTCCCACTCTTCTCCTTTCCTCTCTCACAATCCCAGCACACTCACTCGCTTTCCGCACCTCCTCTGGTGTGTCATCTGTGAGATAGAGCGTCATGAGAGGCTTAAAGCCCTCCTCCCCTCTTTCCTCTCTCACCACTCTCAGCCAATGCTAGCACGAACTCACTTGCTCTCTGCACTTCTTCCGGTGTGGTGTCATCTGTAAGGTACAGCGTCATGAGAGGCTTAAAGCCCTCCTCCCCTCTTTCCTCTCTCACCACTCCCAGGCAATGCTGCTACGCACTCACTTGCTTGTTTCCTGAACTCACTTGCTTTCTGCACCTCTTCCGGTGTGGTGTCGTCTGTGAGATAGAGCGTCATGAGCGGCTTAAAGCCCTCCTCCCCGCGCCTCCCCTCCGGCACCGCTGCCAGCACCCGGTCGCGGTACTCTGCTGCTGCCAGTGCGGTGGTGACCGGTGGGCGCAGGTTGGGCATGATTACTGCTCGGTGGAAGACGGCGGCGCTGTGGGGAAGGGGGAGGAAGGTGGGGAAGAGCGGAAGAAGAGGGAAGGTGGGGGGGAGGGGAAGATGAAGGGAAGTGGGGAAGGGGAGGAAGGGTGGAGAAAAAGGGAGAAGGGGTGAGAGAGGAGAAGCGTGTAGCAGGGGGAAGAAGGGGGACAAGAAGGGGAAGAAGGGAGAAGGGGGGAGAGAGAGGAGGAGAATGGTTGCGCGTGCATTTTGCATGACCATCGCTAGGAGGACGACACAGAGCTGGCACCTGATTGTCCGCCTGATATTTCACCTGAGCTCTCACCTGAACGGCACAACGGATTGCAGGGCAGCGCCATCCCGCACGTGCAGGTGCCAGTCGTCAGGCTGCGTTATCTCTAGCCGCTCCACCCCCGCAGAATCCGCCGCCGATTGCGCTCGCACCGCCGCCATAGATTGCTTGCGCCCTATGGAAGATAGTTCTTGGCTTTTGTGGAGGGAACCTAGGCGGGTGGTTCGGGAACGGGTGTCAGAGGAAGGGAAATATTCGCGCAGTGAGAATGTTCGGCGAAGCGCATTGGTGTGCAAGTGAACGGGAAACGAAACGAGGCGAGAAGGAGTTACGTTGTGTCGCGAGAGCGAGGACTGAGGGTTCGGGGTTTGGGGGAGGATATTGGTTGCGGGAGTTGCGGAGATCGCGCACGCCATAGGAGCAGATGAGAAGCGAGTTATTGTTCGTCGCACGCGATAGATTCCCGTGTGCGACTGGCTCAAATCTATTCGTAGGATGTGGGCTGGATGGCGACAGGTGTGTGAGAGAGGCCGTGTAACAATTCGTTATGAGATATGTGTATAGATTTTTTTCTCTGGTATGATCTTATACAAGGGGATTTGTGAGAATTCTGATGGTGAATTCCGTGTGGATAAGGCTGCCTGTATGGCGTATGCTCAAAATTCACCTGCGTTTCGCCTTCAGGGAGCATAATCCACCTGCTTCAGCTGCACCTGCCAACGTGGACATCTGCTGTTTTACCTGCACATGTCTCAACCCCCTTGGCACAAACATTTCGCACATGGCAAAATCTTACTTCGTGAAGAATGTCGCGAGATTCGTCATGTCTTTCAACGTGGTCTGTCCGCTTTCGCCACAACCATTCAAACATCGCCACACACCTCCCCACCTCAGGTCCGGCCAGCCAATGACAAACAGCGCACCAACTCAACATGACTTCCCGGGTCGCACCTGTTGCCAGGAAATGCCTAACTGGAACCACGATTTATCGCAATGCAAAGCGGTTATTGCATGAACAACCATGTTTCTGTGCGGTCCACTGAGTTTAGCTGGTGTAATCATATAACAGCACCAGAAGGCAACGCCCCCCCCGCAGAGAATGCACTAGTGGGAAAAGCCCGACCTTTCGCACCCACCCCAGCTGACTGTGTTTGTTGCTCTTCCCTCCTCCCGCCTCTCGCTCCCCTTTTCTCAGACTTTACTTCGCATTCCACCAAATGCGGGAGCTTGGTCGACTCTGGTTTTGAGAACAACAATATTCGACTCAGCGTCTTGTTCGAAGAAGATTAGGAGGGCTCGCCGCAAGGCTTCGCGCCACGCGAGAATGCGCGCAGACGTGCACGTGTGAATCGCATGTCAATGGCAAGAATGGGGCCTCGACGACCGCTCGCGATAATGCCGACGCTCGTGACGCTCGCGATGCTGTCGACATTCGCGATGTTGGTAACCAGAGCTACGGCGCTGGATGCCTGTCCTGACGACGAAAACTTGGTTCGTATTCTCGTGCTCACTTCGTGTGCGTGACAACCAAGAGATGCGCGAAAGCGACGAGGAAGTGCGCGACAATCGATGAGTGAATAGGCGACACGAAGGAATGCGACGCTAAGTCTTGACCCGGAACTCCCGTCCCTCCCTTGTTTTTTCCCCTTCCTCCATCGCAGTTCGTGTGTGCGACGACCGACGAGTGCATAAGCGACACGCAGGTGTGCGACGGTTCGCCCAACTGCAGCGACGCGGACGGGCCGTCCGACGAGGACGCCGCGTTCTGCGCGACGTACGATTGTCCCACTGGGTGGAGCAAGTGCGACGACGGCGTGCAGTGTTACGAGGACAGTCGCGCGTGCGACGGAACGCGCGACTGTAACAATGGGAGCGACGAAGAGGGTTGCGACGCTGATACGGGTGGCACGACCCCTGTCACGGGAACGCCTCAAACGGGGACGCCTGATACGGGAACGACTGATACGGGAACCGCTGATACGGGGACACCTGATACGGGAACGGCTGATACGGGAACGACTGGTTCGGGAACGGCTGATTCTGGGACCGCTGATTCGGGGACGGCTGACTCGGGGACGGCTGATACGGGAACGGCCGATACGGGAACGGCCGATACGGGGACGGCTGATACGGGAACAGCTGATTCGGGGACGGCTGATTCGGGAACGGATGATTCGGGGACGGCTGATTCGGGGACGGCTGATTCGGGAACCTCTGATACTGGAACGACTGATACGGGAACGGATGATACGGGAACAGATGGTACGGGAACAGATGATACGGGAACTTCTGATACGGGAATGGCTGATACAGGAACTTCTGATACGGGAACCACTGATACAGTAGCACCAGGTGATGAAAGTGGAACTGGTGAAGGAACATCTACGGACGGAAGCGTTCCGGCAGATGAAACTCCGCAAGGAGATGGAACCGAAAATACAGGAGATGTAACTCCACCACCTCCGCCGGCTGACGAAAATATGACTCCCCCAGGAGATGTAGCTCCACCCCCGCCGCCAGCTGACGTGGACAGTCCAGGTGGAGATGAAACAGCTGGTGGTGCTTCACCAGGTGATTCGTCAGGGTCGGGGGAAGGTTCACAGGAACCTTCGGAAGGAGTAGCAGGGGACGGGGGGGTGGGAGGGAGTGATGGGGGAGGGGGAGATATGGGGGGGAGCGGAGATGATGGGGGAAGCGGAGAGGTGGGGGGGAGCGGAGATGAGGGGGGAAGCGGAGATGAGGGGGGAAGCGGAGGGGAGGGGGGAAGCGGAGGGGAGGGGGGAAGCGGAGGGGAGGGGGGAAGCGGAAATGAGGGGGGAAGCGGAGACGAAGGGGGTGAGGGAGGAGGAAGTGAGGAGGGTGGGGATGGAGGGGAGAGTGGAGAAGGAGAGTCAGGAGATGGGGGCGGAGATGAAACAGATGAGGGCGGTGATGGGGAAGGTGGGGACTCAGGGGATGAAGATTCAGGTGAATCTGAAGAAGAACCTGAGACGCCACCTCCCCCACCTCCACCTGAGAAGCAGCTCTCTCCCCTTGAGCAGAAGAAGAGGGAGTATCAGAAGGCTGCACAGGCAGCAGAGGCTGCGAAATCCGATGCTGAAAAGGCCAATGCGATTGCTCAGCAGGAGGAGAAAGACGCCGAGGCGGCTCAAGCACGGGCAGATAAAAAGGCGAGAGATGCCAAGAGCTCTAGGGGCGGGGCGAGTGGGAAGAAGAGGCGGGAGGAGGCGAAGCAAGCGCAAAAAGAGGCAGACGCTGCGAGGGTTAAAGCGGACCAGGCGAGAGAGGAGGCAGATGCGAAGGAAGCAGCGGCTGGGGAGGCTGCTAATGCAGTGGAGGAGAAGAGGCAGGAGCTTGTAGACGAAGCAGAGAGGAGCAAACCGGAGCTAGAGGCAAAGAAGCGGCAAGGGACGGCTAGGAAGAACGCGGCTCGGGCCGAGCGCGATGCGGCTAAGGAGAAAAAGGAGGAGAAGAAGAGGACGTTCCGAGAGAGGGTGGCTGCGGCCCGTCTTGCCCAGATGGCTGAAAAGGCCAGTGCTGCCGCGGCTGCTGCAGCAGAGAAGCAAGCGGCTGCGGATAAGGCGTTGGAGGATAAGCAACAGGCGGATGCTGAGGTGGACCGGCTGGTTTTAGCAAAGAGTCAGGCGGAGGATGCGGCGAGGGAGGCAGGGGAGGCGCAGGCTGCGGCGGAGGCGGCCGCACGGGATGCAGTGGATGCTGGTGATGAGGGGTTGAGTGCGGTGAAGTGGGCGGAAGCCGCGGATGCACTGGGGTTGAAATGGGTGAAGCAGTCGGAGGTGGAGCAAGTGAAGAGGGAGTTGGTTGCGGCTAAGGCGGCGGCTAAGCTAGCTGCTAAGGAGGTTGCAGTGAGGCAGCAGGCGGCTGCTCGTGCCGCGAGTGAGGCGCAGAAAGTGGCCGGCAAAGTGGGTGGGGGCGGTGCGGGCGGTGGCAGTGGTGGTGATGGGAGTGGTGATAGCGGTGGTGATAGTGGTGGTGATAGTGGTGGTGATGCTGGTGGTGATGCTGGCGGTGATGGTGGGTCTACTGATTCGGGAAGTGGGACAAGCGAGGGTGGGTCTACAGATACAAGCAGTGCGACCAGTGCTGGGTTAACGAAAAGAAGTGTTTCATCAGCTGACAGTGGGGTAGGTGAAGGGGACAATGCGGCAGTCGGGTTTTCTTTTACTGATGGTGTTGTTGGGAGTGGTGGTGACGAAAAGAAGGTTAACAATAGGAACAGGAAGGTGAATGTTGGGGGCTGAGAGTAGGAGCTCGTTGTTGGACTACATGTAAATTTGTTGCATTTATTAATATATACGTATGCCATTTCTTAGTCACAGGGTCTCTGGGGTGGTGGCACTGGTGGTGATGCTGGTGGTGATAGTAGTGGTGAAAGTGGTGGTGATGCTGGCAGTGATGGTGGTGGGTCTACTAATTCAGGAGGTGGGACAAGCGGGGGTGGGTCTACAGATACAAGCAGTGCGACCAGTGCTGGAATAACGAAAAAGAGTGTTCCGTTTTCTGACCATGGGGTGAGTGTAGGGGATAAAGTGGCGTTTACTGATGTTGTCGGGAGTGGTGATGGCAACAACAAGAACGGTAACACAAGAAACACGAAGGTGGATGTGGGGGGCTGATAATTGCAACATGTACTGAATATGTACTGTCATTTTGCTTCATGGTATAAGTTGCGACAGAAAAAGCCACATCTTCACCATCCCGGGCTATTCACGATATAAGCTGACGCCTGGTCGGAGCATGCGCGTCGGGACTCGGGACGGGAACCCTAAACCTGGTAAAGCATTCGCTCATTGGCTCTCTCCAGTCCAAAGTCTCAGACGTTATTCAGGGAAGTGGGGCACAAGGCGACGCCGTTGTCAGGCAGTCAAAGGGTCAAGAGAATCCTGCACGTACAAATAAATGTGGGATTTCCAAGAGTGATGAATTCTCGAATAATGTAGAACTCTGAAAATGCTGGGGGTACGCTGAAACGTTCAAAGTGGTGAAACGAGAAAACCATCCATCAATATCATGCTCATACTAGAGTCATAGTGCTGAAAGTGGTGGCATTGGGGGTGGTGATTTCAAGGGTGAGGGTGGTAAGTAAGGACACAGGGGCAGGCCAAGGCCGTTTACCTGGCAGAAGGGACATGAGTCACAGAACAAGTTTGCTGTAAGGAGTGGGGGTGAGGGAGGAGGGGAGAGGGTATAATCAGCAGCTGCTGCTTTAATGGTGCTCAAAGCGGTGACAATGGGAGGTCACTGAAGGGGGCGGGGGTGAGAAGGGGACAGGGACAGACAAAGACCGATGCCCTGACAGAATGGCAAGGTTGCGAACGGGGTCAGTTAGGGAGGAGGTGAGAAACAGCAAGGCCGCTTAAGCAGTTCGGCTGGGAAGAGAGAGGAGGGGACAGGGTGAGATCACTGAATCGATGGGTATGCTGGGACAGGCTGTCTCGTTACAAGAACAAAGTGGGCGGGCGAGGGTGAGGGCGAGGGTGAGGGCGAGGGTGAGGGCGAGGGTGAGGGCGAGGGTGAGGGCGAGGGTGAGGGTGAGGGTGAGGGTGAGGGTGAGGGTGAGGGTGAGGGTGAGGGTGAGGGTGAGGGTGAGGGTGAGGGTGAGGGTGAGGGTGAGGGTGAGGGTGAGGGTGAGGGCGAGGGCGAGGGTGAGGGTGAGGGTGATAGGCGACAAGGACGGGCCGAGGCCAATCTCTGACAGAAGGGATATGAGGAGGCTGCAACGGGGTGGGTGGGGGGGGGTTGTGGGGAGGTGAGAGAGGGGGTGATCCCCTGGTCGTGGCAACAAGCAGCTGGAATGATGGGTGCGCAGGGAATACGGAGGAAACAGGGGAAGGCCGTGAGGAGGTAGGGAATAAAAACAGGGAAAGGCCGAGAGGGGGTAGGGAATAAGGAGGAAACAGGGAAAGGCCGAGAGGGGGGAGGGGATAAGGAGGAAACAGGGAAAGGCCGTGAGGGGGTAGGGAATAAGGCAGGACCGGACAGCGCAATGAGAGAGATGGGGAATGAGAGGGAAGAGAGGTGGGGAGAGGAGAGGGGAGCAGTGGGAAACAGCAGTGACGGGAATGAATAAGGGGTGAGGGACGGGAATGAGAGGTGACAGTGGGTGGGGGAAAGCAACGGGAAAGGGAGAGGGGGGGGTGGAGATGAGGGGAGAGTGACGGAGGAAATGGAGGGTGAAATGGTGGAAATTAGGAGTGAGCGACGGGGGGAATGAGGGGTGAGGGACGGCGGGGGATGAGGGTGAGCAAATGGGGGAAACAAGGGATGGGTGAAGGGGGGAATGATAGGTGAGTGAAACAGGGAAGAGCTCCCCTGAAATAGGTGTGAGCGACAAGAGGGGAAGTGAGGGGTGCGGGGAGCGACGGGGGAATAACGGGTGAGTGACGGGTGAATAACGGGTGAGCGACGGGGAAATAACGGGTGAGCGACGGGGGAATAAAGGGTGAGCGACGGGGAATGTGAGGTAAGCGAGGGGGATGTGGGGTGAGCGAAAAAAGAAAAGCGAGGTAACTGATAAGAGAATGCGGGGGAGCAAATGGCAGATGCGCGGCGATGAGTAAATGACTCGAGCGCGAGATAAGGATGTGGGGAGATGACCGCAAGAGGAAGGAGGGGTGATTAGGAACGAAAAGGGGGAAAGGCGGAGCCTGAGGGCAAGTTCGAACTCAAAACTCCTCTCCTGCCGAGGGCTGCTGAGGTCATCCCTTCGAAACCCTAGCTGCCCGCGAAAAGAGAGAGCCTTGGCGAAAGGAGAGCGCGTCGACGAAAGGAGGTAGGGAGAGGAATTATGACGGGTGCGCGTCTCCCGTGCGCATCATTACAGACAGCGCTCGTCACGGAAACATAGAGATGCGACGACATCTTTATCATCTGACCTGCTAGCCTCATCGCCGCGCGTCACCAGCGCGCATCATTACAGACAGCGCGCGCCACGAAAGAATAGATATGCCAGCGCTGAGATTGCGGTTCGAAAATAGCTCAAGAAGTATATTGCGAACGTCCAACTAGCGCGCGGTCCGTAAAGATTGGAGCTGCTTCGCGCGAAGGCTTATTGTACGAACTCGACAATCGCGATCTTCCGAAATAGATCGTAAGCAGTATCTGGCAGAACGTTAGTAGCATTCGCCACGGTACTAGTCGCTAAGGCGTAGCGCTACTACTACATATCGCGGAACTAAGAACTAGCCTAGTAGTACCAGCCGAAATGCGATAGAACGAGAGAAGGTGGAATCGAAAGTAGGTCAATAGATCTGACTCAGAGCAGCGCGGCAAATTGGCAACAACCATATCTGAGCAGATGGTGGTGTACCACGCGACCCACCAGTCCCCTTGGGATTCCATTCTGCCCGAACTTTCGTTCCCTCAAATCTCTTCCCTTTCCCTCTCGGTTTCTGATTGGGCATCGCAAGATTATCCATCCCAACCCCTCCCTTGCACCTGCCGCGAAACTGTTTTGGCACGGAAAAACTTCACAACAACCAATGAATTAATTTTTTTCATGCCGTCCCGCACCTCACGCAAAGGTCTGGTCTAAACTATGAACTACTACTACTAACGAGCCAACCAAGCCTGACCTTCCCTGCCCGTAACTATGATCGAACCCGGTGGCACACTCCCAATGAAACTAGTAATTTGAACGTAACAGAACCGGAATACACAAAAGTGTTACCCACAAAACTTGCAACAACACAAGAACAGCCACAATGGGGGATGACCCCACTGTTCCCACCCTGACACCACTGTTCTGACATGTCGAACCAGATTTTGGCGCATTCAGCCACGTTGGGGAATGAACATGCTTCTGCCTTCCCTCCTGCCACCCACCACTGTTCTGACTTGTCTAGTCAGACCAAGTTTTGCTACCTTCCCTCCCTGCCACCCACCACTACTCTGACTTGTCTAGTCATACCAAATTTTGACAATCAGCGTACAGTAGCAAGCGATTCGAGCCATCGAGCCACCCTCGCTGCACGTTGAGTCCCTTGATATTCAGTTTTGTTTCATTCTCAACTTAGAAGACTTGAAGACCACCACACGGAGCGCAGCGGGGGCCGTCCCGACCCGAGGTGTTTGCACATCGTGCCTTTCAGGCTACAGAAGAACGCGCGCGCGTGAAGAGAAGACAGGGCGTGAGGCGTTTCCCTCGTGCCTTTCAGACAAGCGAAGACAAGAGATGAGAAACCAGAGGCGTTTTCCCCTCGTGCCTTTCAGTCACTCGAAGACCCGAAGAGATCTCTTCGAAGAAAAGACAGAGGCGTGTTTCCCTCGTGCCTTTCAGGCAAGCGAAGACCAGAAGAGAAGAGAAGGCAGCGGCGTTTTCCCTCGTGCCTTTCAGGCAACCGAAGACCAGAAGAGAAGAGAAGGCAGAGGCGTTTTCCCTCGTGCCTTTCAGGTACACAAGGAGCCGCGGCAGTCTCACTTTCCTATCTCCTATGTTTTTTCTCCTCAGATCAGGGGAGGAAGAGCACGGTCAAATCTACTCCGCCAATAAGGTAATCACGGTAAACTCTCTTCTTCCTTTGCTTTCAGTTTTTTTTTTTTTTTTTTTTTTTTGTGTTTCTGTCTTTGTTGTGGTTTTTTATTTTCTGTTTTTTTACTAACTCCCTTTGGTTTATTTTTCTGCATTGCAGGTTTTAGCATGGAGCCGCGGCGTCTGCTATCACCCTCCCGTTCTCCTCTGTTTCTTCTCCTCCCCCCTTAGATCACGGGAGGAGGAGCACCACGGTCAGATCTACTCCTCCAATAAGTAAAGGTGATCTTTTCCTCATTTACTTTCAGTTTTATTTGTTGTTTTCGTATTTGTTGCTGTTCTTTATTTTGTGTTTTTTTACTAACTTCCCTTTGATGTTATTCTTCTGCGCTGCAGATTTAGCGAGGAGCGTGGCGTCTGCTATCACCCTCCCTTTCTCCTCCGTTTCTTCTCCTCCCCCCTCAGATCACGGGAGGAAGAGCACCACGGTCAGATCTACTCCGCCAATAAGTAAAGGTGATATTTCTTCCTCTGCTTTCCGTTTTTGTTTTTGTTTCTGTCTTTATTGTTCTTTTTTTCTTACTAACTTCCCTTTGGTTTTATTCTTCTACGCTGCAGGTTTAGCGAGGAGCGTGGCGTCTGCTATCACCCTTTTTCCTCTTTTTCTTCTCCTCCCCCCGTAGACCACGGGAGGATGAACGTAACGGACAAGGAGCCTTCTACGACAAGGGTTGTAAGATCTCTTATTTCTTATGCTGTTTTTGTTTCTGCATTTGTTTATGTTCGTCTCGTTTCATTTGTTTTGCTTTTCTTTGCTTTGTTTTGTTTTGTTTTGCCGTTGCGATCGTATCACCATCTCTGCTTTTTTTTTTCCACCCTCAGATCACGCCGAAGAACAGCAGCTTCGATCGGACAGACGAAACGTTAGCACGAACCGACTGACCGACAGATCGTTAGAACCCGCGACCCGGCGACGTGCGAACCGTTAGAACCCGCGACCCGGCGACGTGCGAACCGTTAGAACCCGCGACCCGGCGACGTGCGAACCGTTAGAACCCGCGATCCGGCGACGTGCGAACAGACAGACGCGTTAGATCCTGCGACATGGCGACGTTCGAACTGACTGGCCGAACGACATACCGAGTTTATGGACCCCCCTCCACCTGGCCCAACTACTTCGGCTGCTCCTGAGGCAACAATCTGCGGAAGGTGGCTTCTTCCTGGCATCAAGCAATTTGAAGTTTGAGGTGTTCCTGCCGGATGGCAGTTTAATACTAACGTTTTGCCCTCTTTTTCCCAACAGGCCCCAGACGATTGACCTCCACCTCATCGCGGTGTCTGGGTGTAACGCTAGGAGCTTGCTCCGAGCGGCCAAGAGGGGTCAAGAAGACGTACAAGTCAAGCTGCGTGGAGTAATGGCTCTTGAAGCTTAGGAATTTTTTATGTTTTGATAGTTTATTAGTCCTGCATGCTATGTATTGTTAGTGATGCCAGTTTAAACTTATTACAAACACTCCATTTCAACACTTGAACAACACAGTTCTCACTCTATGCAGCAACACTTGAACAACACTTGCAACAGTCAATGGAGCAACATAGTTCATAGCACAAAGGTCACACTGTTGCGGGGGAGTTGAAGCACCAGGCCCGCCCGCACACACAGACAGACCTGCGTAATTCTGAAGAGCTTGGAACTCACAATTGTTGGGAAGAAAGCTGGACTGGTTCGCTTTGAGCGGTATATGATGTTTCGTCGCGGTGCAAAACGGTGAAGCTTTCAACCGCGAGGAAGCGTTCTAAGCCACCGTGTACCCCTTTCCTTGTCGAGTTTCTGTAAGAATGTTCAGGCTGGTCAGTGCAACGAATCAAGTCCATGCAGACGGTTTTGGTTCCCCGCCAACCAATCTGTCAGTACGGTTCTCTCCGGCCTTGTTCGGCTGCACAAGAAAGCGGCCACAACCAAACTACAACCAGCCGCTAATCGAACTAGCCAAACAGTAATCTAGGTTCGGCACGCCAGCTGACTCATGGTGACGTGTAATTCTCTCCTACGATTGGTCGCATTGCCGAACTTCTTTCCTAACCAGTTTCGTATCGAGTTCAGGTTTGTTGCTGGTTCCATGACAATCCAACAGTGCCAATCAACCAGAAGTGCACAGTAATTCACGGGAAAATTTTTGTGCATTGCTGGTTGGTTTTTGGTTGGGTGCTGATCCTGCTTTCAACGTGGGTGGGGATGGTTGTCAGTTCATTGTGAGCTTAATGCAGAGAGCTGATTGGCTTAATGTGCGCTTTCCAGGAATTTAGAAATGTGGTTCCTCGAAGCCACGTACAGGTAGTTGTGTTTGTTGGGTTAGAAATGTGCTGCCATGGTTTTTGACTTTTGCAGGCAACATGCGAGAACAAGCCCACGTTTGCATGTCTGGTTGCACAGCTGGAAGGGTAGCACAGTGAACCACGTTGGTTTTGTTTTTTAGTTGGCCGAGCTTCGGGCCGAGGCTGTCTTGTCGTTCCGGCACAATCAGTGCTGGTCAGAAGTTCTTGGCAGCCTGCCGAACAGGGCCTCTGTTTTCCGCATGGTAATTTGGTGTTGGAAGGTTCTGGTGCCTAGATTGTAGTTACGCAGTTTTCGTTTATTCTTCGCGAATACCTGTCGCTCCCTACGAACGAAATTACAGTTTTAGCGAAATGTCCCCTAACACACGAACAGAGCGGAAATTCATCCATTCACAGGGGCGTCATCAACTTCACGGGAATCCCGTGAGGACAGCGTTATAACAGAAATCCCAGCATGATCTCAGCGTGAGGGAAACGTCAGAACCGCTTGAGCAATACTGTAGTCTTAGGGGTGGACATACCTGGACTAGACACACGTTTTACCATTTCTTTGGTCACTTCCTGAGTAGCCTAGCTCGAATCCTTTCAATTTGTTCCGTACTCCCACTCCGGCTCCACCGTAGGGACTGTTTTCTCAGCGTCAAGCTTGTATATTACGGTTCGTCCCCCGAGAGCGTGCAACACTCCCGCAGGTGCGGTTACCTTTTCGAAGTTTTTTTTTCCGCGTAATCTCTGTGATGTCATGTCTCAATCACGACCTGACATTCAATATTCGTATATGAGAGCCGATGCTCGAAATCTCGCCGACTGTTCTTTCCTTCTCTTTCTTGCGGTTCCTTGAACACAGACGCGCGACCGTGCGATCATCAATGCGACCGTGCGATCATCAATGCGATCGTCTTCCTTCCACCTCTTGAAACCTTCATCAAGAAAGTGTGTGGATACGAATGCTGGGTACGGAAATCCCCTTTTTGCGCGCTGAGGTTCTCGGATGCATGTGTAGTATCTCTTTGCTTTTGTTACGGGAAATCACGTCGATATGATGGATCATCTTTTCCCCCCTCTGTTCCCGCCCCCTCGTCCTCTCCGTGCCCTTGTCTTCCACCCTGCTTTCTCTCCAATCCGCAGGACTACTATCGCGTCCGCTCCGCCCTGTCTCACCTTCTCGCAGAGCCTTCCGCCACGCGAATCGCACAGAGCCTTCCGCCACGCGAATCGCAGCAGGAAACGTCCTGGCAGGCGCAGCAGCAGGAGCCACGAGCCTCTTAGTCACGTACCTACCCTCTAGACGTCGCGCGCACCCGTCTTGCCTCCGATATAGGCATGCGATCCGTTATAGCGGCGCTCTGGCGGGCGGAGGGGATCAAGGGCTTATATCGCGGATTTCCCGCGTCCGTTTATGGGATTATCGTGCGTCGGAGTCTGTACTTTGGCGGGTTCGATAGTGCCAAGCAGCTGCTTGTGCGTGCAGGTGATGAGAGAACTGGCCAGCAGCAACACCCTCGCTCCTCCTCCTCTTCAGCTCAAGGCTTGTCTGGGCCTGGTGAAGGTGCTATCTGTGCGCCTGGCGAAGGTGCTACCTGTGCGCCTGGTGAAGGTGCTATCTGTGCGCCTGGTGAAGGTGCTATCTGTGCGCCTGGTGAAGGTGCTATCTGTGCGCCTGGTGAAGGTGCTATCTGTGCGCCTGGTGAAGGTGCTATCTGTGCGCCTGGTGAAGGTGCTATCTGTGCGCCTGGAAGCTGCTGACCAGGAGGCTCATCTGCCGGCCATCATGACTGATCGGCTCTCCACCAACGGGATCGTCGCGACCCGGTATGATATGGAATGGAATGCTCTTCACCCTGCTGCCTCCTGCTGCCTTCACCCTGCTGCTTGCTGCCTTCACCCTGCTGCCTGCCTGCCTGCCTGCCTCCTGCTGCCTGGTTGCCGTCGCCCCCACCCATTCACATCCCGCCACCACTTCCCCCCCCCCCCCTCCCCCTTTCCTCCCCTCAGGCGCGCAGATAGTGCAGCGGCTGGTGAGATGGTGAGGCCATGCCACACATGTGCTCTCTCCTGACCTGTTCTCACCCATGCTCTTCTCCTCTCTCTTCTCTTCCAACCCAACAACCCCTCCACTCCCTTCCTCCTCGCAGGTGCGCAAGATAGTGCAGCGGCTGGTGAGACGGTGAGGCCATGCAACGGTGGCGGAATGGGGGGTGCCGGAGGAGCATCTGCGCAAGGGTGCTTGCTGACCCAGCGCCTGCTCACACACTCACATCCGCAAGGTGGGTCCCAGCAAGCAGCTGGGTCGCTGGGCAGAAGGGTGGAACTGAGGCTAGTTCATGTGCATGTGCTGCTGCCGCCCTGCCATGCTACGGTGGCAGCAGTGGGGTGTGCCGGAGGAACATCAACGCCTGCTCACACACTCACATCCGCAAGGTGGGTCTCAGCAAGAAGCTGGGTCGCTGGGCAGAAGGGTGGAACTGAGGCTAGTTCATGTGCACGTGCTGCTGCCGCCATGCCATGCTACGGTGGCTGCAGTGGGGGGTGCCGGAGGAGCATCAGCACCTGCTCACACACATCCGCAAGGTGGGTTACAGGGAGGAAATGCGCAGCGGTTATTACATGTACACTGTCCCAGGCAAGCCAAACCTTGGCGTCTGCGAGTGGCGCGGCGGTTATTACATGATTATTTGTCCTCCCCATGCATCTGACTCATTTCTCCCTTCGTTTTGTGCCCGCTCCCTCCCCTCCCCCCCCACTTCTCCCCGTTTTCCCTCTTCCACTTCCACACCGTTTCGGAACTAGTGACTGGAGCCACTCGAACCTGATTTCTGACACGTCAGCGGGCGGCGGTTCCAGCGATGACGAGGATTACAGCGATGCTGACGAGGACGAGCGCAGCGTCTTCGGCAGCAAATCACGTGCCGCCAAGTCAGCGTCTCGCCGGGACGGGTCGAATAAGTCTGCATGGTCGAACGCGCTCTCGTCCAGGTGTGTTGACGTGGCATGGGGTGTGGCACGGGATGGGTCATGGGATGGGGCATGGGGTGTAGTATGGGGTGTGGGATATGGTGTTGTGGGTGTGGGTTCTTCACTTACTATAGAAGTTACACGTGATGGCATGGTTCGTGGCATGTAAGACACACACCTGATGGCATGGTGTATGGCATGTGAGACCATCTCTCCCAGCGCAGTCCTGTTTCTTTTTTTGCCTCCTTCCTTTCTTTCTTTCTCCTTCCGCCTTGCTGACCCATTCTGTCTCTCATCCTTTTTCCCTTTCCCCTCTCCGCTTTCCACTCTCGCCTCTCCTCTCTCCCTTCTCCTTCCACCTTTTCTCCTTGGCCATTTTCAAAATCCCTCCCTCTCTCATCTCCCCTCTTACCCTCTGCAGGGCAAGCAAGAAGGCGCAGCATGGCAGGCCACAGCTGCACGAGCGGATCACGGAGACAGGTGGCGACACGCCATTGGACCTGCTCGATCTCGCAGGCACGCGCCGGGCCCTCTCTGGCCCCCTTCTCAAGCCCACCCGCGGAACCCTTTCTTCTGCTGATCCTCTTGATGGTGTTGGGGGTCGTACTGGTGCTGCTGGTGCTGGTGCTGGTGCTGGTGGTTTGAAGCGATTCAGTGATGGTGGTGCAGAGGGAGAGGGGGGGGGTTCGGGCTTTGAGTATATGGAGGATGGAAAGATACTTGTTCAGTGAGGTCGAGGGGGAAGAGGATAGTAAGGGGAGGAGAGGAGGAACCAAGAAGGGTGTGGGCGCAGGGGGGTATGACGGAGAGGGGAATTTGGCAGTGAGGCAGCAGGCGGCTGCACGGCCGGCAAGTGAGGTGCAAAAAGTGGGCGGCAAAGTGGGAGCGGGTGTGGAGGGCGGTGGCACTGCTGCTGGTGGTGATGGTGATAGTGGCAGTGATGCTGGTGGTGATGGTGGGCCTACCGAACCAGGAGGTGATACAAACGAGGGTGGGTCTAGCGACACAAGCAGTGCGATCAGTGCAGGGTCAACGAGAGTGTTTATTATCTAGCACTGTGTTAGGTGAAGGGGACAATGTGGCAGTTGTTGTTTGCTTTTACGGATGGCATTGTTGTGAGTGATGGCGACGAAAAGAAGGGTAAGAGCAGGAAGGGCTGATGATAGGAACATTGTACAGGAGAAAATGCTGTTTTGTTTAATTTATTAGTGTGAACTGTACTATTTTTAGCCTGATGCTATCTGACATGTTTGTCTCTCCTTAGATAAGGGAAACATCGCTATCTATTTCGCTAACTCTGTGTAGAAAGACGGACTCGATTTATTTTTGATATAAGCTGTCACTCTACCGTTGGTTGTGTAACTGTCATCTGGTTGGTAGCATGCGCTTCGGTAATCCTAACCTGGAACCGAGACTGGGCAAGTGGGTACGCGTCGCACCTGGAGAACTGTCACTGTGCAACTAAAATCAAGACATTTTGAAGGCATTGTTCCCTCAATTGCTCTCCTAACTCGGTGTCGTTTTCGCTAAGTGGGGCGGGGTTCAGGTGATATGCCAGCCATCCTGCCGAGTCGCGAGTGCAGCACAGTGTCAGTAGGCGGACAGGTGGGGGTGATACGTTTCGATTTCAGACCATGCCAGATCAACCATATCGCTCCCCTCGCGGGGACGAATTGCAAGTCTTGCGGAAGGAACATACGTGAAGGAATGTTCCATTTGCCCGCAAAGCCCTTCCATTTCCCCTCCATCCCGCCTATCCCCCGTCACTTGAGTCAGCTCACACTGCCTGGCAAATTTGCTCCCCCCGTGCCCCGTTCAATTGGCGCATTCTATTCCTATCCGCGTTCTGTTCCATCCGTCCCTTCCCTTCCGCCTTTCTCTCACTCCAGCAGCACTGAGTCGCAGCCAACTCTACTCCACTCCACTCTCCTGGTGTAGTTCAATCTCCCCTTTCGGGTCTTGGTTGATGCAAGGTTAGGTCGTGCACATCGAAGCGCGCAGGTAGCCAATGCAAAGTAGGAATTAGAGTGCACGCGTTATTTTCGGTTCTATACATCCAGTTAGATTAGAGACAGTCCCGCATCTTCCGTAGAAACACCACTCGTACACAACATACCTGGAGCGTGGTCCGTTTTGGTTGACGAGAGCCGTCCGATGGCGAGGGCTAGCTGGCATCAACGGCACGCCGTGCACTTCTTCTGTGTCGCGGCGCTGCTTCTCTCCCTCCTCTCACACACAACCACCCTGGTACGGCTTGATGTGCCGAACGCCGCGCACCGTAGCGGATTGCACACACGCAATTCCAAACGCACTGTCAAATTCACACCGCCAAGTCTTACAGATTAGCGCCGAAACACGTTCGTCCGCGTAATGTCTCCGCGCGCTGCTTCAAGCTTCCCACCGCGTATTTGCTCGTTACCTTGACTGCGTAGCCTTCAATCTGTCATTATTTTTTATTCTCGACTCTCGTGTTGTCGTATCGTCGTACCACCGTCTATTACGGACAGGCCGACTCGGCGATGATTGACGCCCCTCGTCCCCACCGCCCACACACCCCCCTTCCCCCTCCCTTCCCTCCCCCTATTTTTTTTTCTCTCCGCCCGCTTTTGACCCTCTCATCCATACTCAGTTCATAAGTTCAAGTCACCTACCTGCCACCTCTAACCTCCCGTCTCCTGGTCTCTGCCCTCTTCTCCTCCCTTTCCCCTGTTCTTTCCCGTGTCCCCCCCCCCCCACACCCCCTCTTCCCCGGCTCTGTACCCTCCCCTTCCCGTGCTCTTTCCCGTGTTCCTCCCCCTTCCCTGCTCCCCCTTTCCCCCGTGCCTCGCTGTGCGCAGGTGGCGGCCCAAATGGACTGTGGCGACCTGGTACGTCCCCCCGCCCGCCCTTTGCTTCCCCCAACACCCGTCCCCCCTACCTTCCTTCCTCCTCTTGCACCCCCTCCCCGTCTCCCCGTCTCCTTTCTTCCCAACTTCCACCGGTTTCCCACCACTCGCCCCTCCCTTTGTGCCCAGTTCCGGTTTATGTCACCACGCCCTTCCTTCCCGTTGTTCACCGCGCTTTTTGCCCTCCCATCCAACACTTTCCCGGCTTCCCCAACGCTTCCTTGTCTCCCCAACGCATTTCATCGCTTCCCCATACTATCTCCATGTTCCCGCACTCGCTCACGTCCGCCATCTCCCCCAACTCTCCTTCCTTTTCTGTCACCATCACAACTTCGACAGACGGAGTGCCCAGGTCTCGGGCAGTGCGTGGATCCGAACAAGCTGTGCGACAAGGTAGCCAACTGCAAGGACAAGAGCGACGAGGCCGCGTGGTACTGCAACCCGCTCGACTGCTCCGACCCCGATACCACCGTACGTCCCTCTGCACCGCTCTCAACCGCGCCACACCCGCCACGCGCGCCACACCCGCCGCATCCGTCTAGCTCGCGGCTCCCTTCCCGGCACCACCGTGTGTCCCACATTCGCCACTTGCTCCCGTCTCGTGTTCCTTTCCCGGACATCCCTACCCTTCCCAGATCCTTCCCCGTCCCTTCCCGCTCGCTTACCCGTCTCTTCCCCGTTCCTTCCCCGTCCCTTACCGTTTTTTTCACCCAGTACTGCCCGTTTCTTCCCTTTGCGCAATAGACGAGTCTCCCGGCTTCTGTCTTGACTACCAATCCATTCCCTCACATTCTCCTTCCCCCACTCCCTCCCCATCGCTGTTTCCCCGTTCCCTTCCCCTCCGTCCCGTTTCCCCGCCTCTCTCCCGCCCGTCCCGTTTCCCCCGTCTCTCCCCCCTGTCCCTTTCGCCCCCTTCCGCCCCGTCCCTTTCGCCCCCTTCCGCCCCGTCCCTTTCCCCCGCCCCTTGCCCCTTTTCCAGGTCGAGTGCGTGGGCACCGACTATTGCGTGAAGCCAACGCAAGTCTGCGACGGGATAATGCAGTGCCCGGGTGCCATCGACGAGTCCCCCGGCTTCTGCCTCGACTACCGCAGCTCCAACTGCAACGAGGACCAGGTCAAATGCACCGCCACCTCCGCGTGCGTCAAGGGCTACATGTGCGACGGCGTCGCGAATTGCCCCAAGATCAAGAACGCGACGGGAGCGCTGATCGCGCCGGACGAGGACGTCAAGTACTGTGCTGCCTACTCGTGTTTGGACGGGTTCCAGAAGTGTGACGACGGGCTGCAGTGCGTGCTGGTCGACGCCTTCTGCGACGGCAAGAAGGACTGCCTCGGTGCGTGCACTTGCCTCCGTTATCGTGCCTTTCTCTCCCTCTCTCTTGCTCTCTGTCTCTCTCTCTCTCTCTCTCTCTCTCTCTCTCTCTCTCTCTCTCTCTCTCTCTCTCTCTCTCTCTCTCTCTCTCTCTCTCTCTCTCTTCTCTCTCTCTCTCTCTCTCTCTCTCTCTCTCTCTCTCTCTCTCTCTCTCTCTCTCTCTCTCTCTCTCTCGCTCTCTCGCTCTCTCGCTCGCTCTCTCTCGCTTGCTAATCCACATCCCCGCGTCCCCTTAACGTTTCATCAGATGGGAGCGACGAGGTCGACTGTGGTTTTCCTGACCCGGGCACCACGGGCAGCACGGGCATCACGGGCACAACCGGAAGCACGGGCAGCACCAGTAACACTGGTACCACGGGCAGCACGGGCAGCAGCAGCAGCACTGGCACCACTGGTAGCAGCACCAGCACTGGCAGCACAGGCAGCAGCAGCAGCACTGGCACGAAAGCTAGCACCGGCAGCACTGGCACTACTGGCAGCACGGGTAGCAGCAGCAGCACTGGCACCAAGGCTAGCACTGGCAGCACCGGCAGCACCGGAAGCACAGGCAGCAGCAGCAGCACGGGTACTAAGGCTAGCACGGGCAGCACGGGCAGCACCGGAAGCAGCAGCAGTACCGGCACCAAGGCTAGCACTGGCAGCACTGGCAGCAGCAGCAGCACTGGCACCAAGGCCAGTACTGGGAGCACGGGCAGCACCGGTAGCAGCAGCAGCACCGGCACCAAGGCTAGCACCGGCAGCACTGGCAGCACCGGCAGCACCGGCACCAAGGCTAGCACTGGCAGCACCGGCAGCAGCAGCAGCACCGGGAACACAGGCAACTCTGGCAGCACGGGCTCTTCAGGAGGTAGTTCAACTGTCCAGCAACTCACAGCTCAGTACCAGGCCGCTCTAATCGCCCAGGACAAGGCCAAAGCCGCTGCTGACGCTGCAGACGCCAAGGCAGCTCAGCTTCAGGCAGACGCGAACGCTGCTGGTCTCAACGCGGACAAGCTTCAGAGAGAGGCGAACAATGCTGTAGGCGCCGGGGCAAAGGCAAAGAAAGATGCAGCGAAGCAGGCTAAGGCGGACGTTGCTGCGAAACAGGCCGCTGCTGCTGCTGCTCAGGCGGATGCTGACCAGAAGGATCAGGCGTATCAGAGCGCGAAAACCACTGCGGATAAGCTTCGAGAGCAGCTGAAGAAGGCGATTAGCAAGGCGCAGAACTCGGGTAGTGTGAAGGCGTCGGGTGCTGCGGCAGAGAGGCTTACCTCAGCGGCGGAACGGGCTGCGCTGCAGAAGCAGAAGAAGCAGGATGCAATGAGTTTCGCGCAGAACCAGCGGGCGGCGAACAAGGTGAAGCTGTCTGCGAAAGCGGCTGCGGCGCTGAATCGTGCGCGGGCTGCGAAGAGCTATTGGGACAAGTCTGTGTTTACACTGGAAGGGCTGTATAATGATACGCTGGATGCTGAAGCGCTGCTGAATAAGATGAATGAGCGGTATGATAATCTGACGAATGATATTTCGCGGCTGAACCAGGAGATTCGGAAGTATCTGGCTACTGGGGAGATGGAGAAGGTGCAGCTTCGGCAGAAGAATGTTGCCCGAACCAAAAAGTGGCTCGACCAAACCAAGTCGGATCGGGACCAGGCGTACCAGGCGTATCTGAATTCGATGTCTCTGCTGGAAGGCGGGGAGGGCGATGTGTCGCTACGGAGAAAGACTTACATGCGGATCGTGAAGGAGTCCAACATTCTCAATGGGATTGACTTGACAGATCAGTTGATTAACGATGGGTCTGATGGCAGCACCGACAGTTCAGGTGATACTTCAGGTGATGGTTCAGGTGATGGTTCGGGTGATGGTTCAGGGGATGGCAGTGGTGACCCATGGCTTGGCTAATTCATGCAGCTGAGTTCGCAACACACAGCAGCGGTTTGTGGTTTTATAATACCGCATCATGTTATTCTGTTGTTTTGTACGGTATTGGTTTATTTTTACTTCTCTTGGGCCAGTTGATGGTTGTGCAGCTTGGGTTCTGGGGACTGTTTTTGTAGGATTCGCAACTGGTTAGTGTACGTTATGAGGGCATGTTTATGCTTAAACTGTATAATGCTGTCTTTGTTATTCTTGAAGCTAAGCAGAACATGCTTCCTGCTTAGTTGTGGGTTTGAGATGATTAATCTGTTGTGTGCAGTGAATGAAGCGGTCGTCTGCCCTGCACAATACTGTATAAGGTTGTAATGCTCCATGAGACATTTTAATATCGTTCATTTTTTTTTGTTTTTATGTCGATCTTGTACAGTTCTCACCAATTTGTTTGAGCCTGACCAGCATTTGCGGCGATCCTTGCGGAACTTTCGGGAAGCAGCCCGTTTGCCCCAGGCATCGTTTACCCCTAATAACCACAATCGCCAACATCGCAGTGCCTGTTTCGCTGAATATGGTACCACCTGGAATCAACCTGGATGAGACGAGTCGCACCTGAGATTCAGCGCGCCGACTACGCGAGTCACGCTCATCGCACCTGCCCCAACAGAACGCCTTCCCTGGAAAAACACTTCGCCCCTCTCATTGCAACGACGACACCCGCCAAGGGATTTTCGTCAGCATGGCTCCTGCGCTGAAAAAGAGCCATCCCAGCGAAGCGATCATACCACCGTCGCTTTCGTGCCGCGCTGACGTGACGAACCCATCAGTCGTGCAGGCTTCGAACCCAGCAATATTTATACTTCGATCAAGCAAAGAACATTTGACCGGAACGTCCGACTTAGACGAGTTTAATTTCCTGGCAGGAGGCGCGGTGGGTCTTTCGTTCGACTCGTTCCAACGTTGCATCGCTTCTGCATGTGGTGTCGCACAAGCGACGGACTATAAGGGAATATCCTCGTCGCCAGAGCCATGGCGCGCGAGTTTGGGCTCTCAACGCCCATGTCGCTAAAGCTTGTCGCAGGGGCGTTACTTCTCGCAACACTCTTCGCAACAACAAGCTCGCAGGTACTGAGACAGTCCCGCGCTTGAGGCGCGAAAGCAGACACCCTGTCGCACAGGGTTCTCGAGGCGCGAAATCGCAGACGGCTTCAGCGACCGTTTTGCCGTAACGCCTACTGAGCGGGCGAAATGTGAGAAGGTTCAGATTTGGGAAACCAGTCGCGCAGGGAGAAAGAAAACAGCCTTAGCCTGCTCAGTTCAGTGAACTGGATTTTGGGGTGCAAGGGCGTTCATGTTCAGCCAATTGGTTGAGGCTTTTACAGTTATCGCTGCTACGGATTAGATACTAGAGGTTGTCGGTTTCCAAACATGCTCTGTTAGCATTTCAGGAATTTTGAGAAATGAAGAAGGCGACTCTGTTTGTTCTGATCCGGCTCGAGTTTTATCCTCGCGTCGCTCTCTCGTCGAGCCAGCTAATCCCCTCTTCTCTCTTCTTGTCCAACCCTATTTTCTCCCGTTTTCCCCACTTGCTTGCACATTTCTTTCTGCAGAAAACCGTGGTTCCACCGGTCGCCAGCGACCCTTGCCCCGGTTCCAACAAGGTGAGCGAAAACCCGGCATCACCATCACCATCACCATCACCATCACCATCACCATCACCATCACCATCACCATCACCATCACCACCATCACCATCACCATCACCATCACCATCACCATCACCATCACCATCACCATCACCATCACCATCACCATCACCATCACCATCACCATCACCATCACCGTCACCGCCACCGCCACCGTCACCATCACCATCACCATCATCATCACCATCGCCATCGCCTTCGCCATCGCCATCGCCATCACCATCGCCATCACCATCGTCATCACCATCACCATCGCCGTCACTGTCAATCCCGCTACGCGCGTTCTCACTTGCTCGTTTGCTTGCTTTCTGTGTCGTTTCTCCGAATTCCCAAGAATGACATATCGACATTCTCCTTGCTCGTTCGCCTGTTTTCGCGCAGTGTCCCAGCGATCACGGATGCTTCGCAAAGGGCGACTACTGAGACGGCGTGAAGAACTGCCTGACGAACAAACCATGCTCCTCTTGCACCCCCATTTCGCTCTCGCCTTTCCCCTCCCCTCCCCTTCGCCTCTCTTACATCGCAGTGCCCCAGCGACCACGGATGCTTCTCCAAGGGCGACTACTGCGACGGGGTGAAGAACTGCGCGGACGGCAGCGACGAGTGGCCCTGGCTCTGCAATTTCGACATGGACTGCGGCGCCCTCAACGCCACTCACGTGAGTGCTGGGTGGAGGGAGGGTATCGGGCATTTGATGCCATTCGAGACTGATTGCGACAAAGGAAGGAGGGAGTAGGGTGTCAGGAGGAAAAAGGGCGAGACAATTGAGTCCTGGGTGTAACGATGTTCACGGACTGATTCTTTATTCGATGTCTGATTTGTGATCTCGGTTTGTGCTGATATTTCAGGTGCTCTGTCCAGATTCCCCCAGCGTTTGCCTCCTGCCCGGACAATTCTGCGACGGAAAAACCAACTGCCCGGACTCACTGGACGAAGACCCCAAGTTCTGCGCGAATTTCACCTGCCCGAGGAACAACATCCGCTGCCCGGGGCTCAACATGTGCAAGCCAAACGGAACCCTCTGCAACGCGGTGCCCGACTGCCCTGCGAAGACAGCTGGCGGCAAACCAGTGGACGAAGACCCGGCGTTCTGCAAGCCATACGTTTGCCCCAAGGGGTTCTCCAAGTGCAGCGACAACGTGCAGTGTGTGGATGATGTTCTGAGGTGTAACGGCGTTGCTGACTGCAAAGGTGAGTCTTACGGCAATCTGATCCTAGTTGTGCAATTAGCTGTGCAATGGCGTTCTGCAACCATACGTTTGCCCCAAGGGGTTCTCCAAGTGCAGCGACAACCTGCAGTGTGTGGATGACGTGCTGAGGTGTAACGGCATTGCCGACTGCAAAGGTGGGCCTCTATGCCGCATTAGGTGTATACTCAAAACAACCTACAGTGTGTGGACGGTTTGCTGCGCTGCAATAGTGTTGTGAACTGCAAAGGCGAGTCTCTATGCACTCTGAAATTCTGGCTGTGCATTTCCTACCCAACACATTCGGGCTTTTTCTCTGCCATTCCTGCTTGCATCCGGCCTCTCTCATTCATTGACCCGTCTGTGATCCTCTTCTCTTCTGCTTGTCCCCGAAACCCCACAGATGGCAGTGACGAGGTCGGATGTGACAAGTGGAATTGCACCAAGGGCTACCGGAAGTGTCGGAACCAGCTACAATGCGCGTTGAAGATCAATTGGTGCAACAAAGTGCCAGACTGCAAAGGTGATTACCGTGCTCTTATCACACACAGCGTGTGGCCTTCGCCTTTGGAATGATTCAGGTGGTGCTATGCTGGCATGTCATTGCACAAGACTCACACCTCCTTTTCTGCTTGTCTGCCTGGCTGGTGTTTCCGTGTGTCACCACACCGCCAACGCAGATGGGAGCGATGAGGACAGATGTGACATTCCACCGCCGCCCCCCAAGCCTACACCCCCCGCCCCTCCCAAGGGCCCACCCACGCCACCCCCCAAGGGCCCACCCACGCCACCCCCCAAGACCCCACCCAAGGCTCCCCCCAAGGCTCCTCCCAGGCCTCCACCCAAAAAGACTCCTCCCAAGGCCCCGCCCAAGAAGACTCCTAAAACCCCACCCAGACGCAAGAAATAGCAACAGTGGGATACAAGCCAGGGTTTTAAGATACGAGCAGTTTCTTTAGCAATATTGGTCATACCTGAGAATAGCAAGTATTCTTCACCAAGGTGTTGTAATTTGTGTCTGTGTATTGGAATGTGCTGTAATTCGATGTCAACCTGCGGCGCTAATGACAAATGAACCTGCGCACATTCATCAATTGCCGTTCATCGCGCACAACACCCTGCGGCTCGAGGTTTCGAAAAGCCCAGCACCTCCGCATCACACGTCATTTCCACCTGGAAAATCCCCTCCCTATCCGCACCTCCCTCACCCAAATCAAGCTCTTCCCCCACCCCAGCCTTCTCTAGCCCCTGCTTCCCGCGAGTTCCCCTCCCCGCGATTTTTCCATTCCCCGCTGGCCTACCATCTCATCCCATCCCACCCTGCAAAGTCACCTGCCAGCCACCGCCAGAGCGTTCTGTACTCCCTGGTTCACACAACCGCCTGCAGCAGACGAAATCTGGCTGGGCCGCAGTGCTAGCCCCTGGTTCGCCTCGCTCCCTCCTCGCCTCTGTTCATGAAAAGCTGGTTTTGGTAGTGCAACATCTAACACAAGCAGCAAGTAAAGCGGAAGCCACATCAACGCTATCTTCATCACGTCTCGCTATTTCCTTCATATGCAGCTGTCGTTCCGACGCATCGCGTGCAAGCCGCGAGATATACAGTTTGCTTCCGTCGTCCGTCCTAGTTGATTTCTTCAGCTCCGTTCCAAGGACTAGGAGCAGCAGCGCACAACGCGCCGCACTCGGCGGCGAGAAGCATCGCCGTTTCCAGCCATGGCGGTTGCGATCCGCCACGTGTGCCTTCGCCTGCTGCTTCTGGCGCTCCTCGTTGCGGCGAGCAGCTCGCAGGTAATGATTCTCTCAGGTGTAACCATCGCGCGTAATCATCGCGCATAACCTTCGCGTGCATCGCGAATGAATATCGCGTGTAGCCATTCCCTGAGGTGTAGCCAACGTCGCGCCATTCATCGCGCGCAACCATCGCACATATAATGGTGGTCGCCTAGAATATCTAATGCCGGCACCTCGAACAGCGGCTTCTCGACCAGCCGGCACCTTGGCGGCGCCGGCAGTAGTAGTAGTAGTAGTAGCAACGGCTGTTAACCGTGGCGACAGCATAGCGCGTGGCGACAGCAGTGGCGACAGCATAGCGCGTGGCGACAGCATAGCGCGTGACGACAGCAGTGGCGACAGCATAGCGCGTGGCGACAGCATAGCGCGTGGCGACAGCAGTGGCGACAGCATAGCGCGTGGCGATGGTTTCCGCTGAGAGGACGGACAGCATGGGCGGCACACGTAGGGCGGCACACGTAGGGCGGCACACGTAGGGCGGCACACGTAGGGCGGCACAAGGTGGTTGGCTCACGATGGGGCGGCGCAGTGGGTGGCATTTCAGTGAGCGCTGACAGTGGGCGACTCGCAGAGGCCGGCTGACAGTTAACGGGCATGTGCCGGGCAGGGAAAAGGTTCACTGAGGCCGTTAAGGGTCCGAACCGCAGACAGCTCCAGAAGGGTGCGCTGGTTTAGGCAGGCAGAGGAGGAAGGATACCCGGTGAGAGGAGTAAGGACAGAAGCGCAGGATGAGAGCCTATTGCTAGCCATCACGAGCGCCGAGGTGATGTGGCCTGTTCAAGCGCTTGACCTCACCGGCTCGGCGCGCACTATCTTCCCTTCCTTTACCCCGTTCCCGTTTCCCCGTCCGCCGTTTCCCCCTTTCCTTGCGCCATGCCCTCCTGGCTCCGCTCTTCCCCGACTGCCCCTCCGCCTGCTCAAGCATGGGGCGCAAAGCAGCAGCGCGGACCCCTGCCCTTTGAGGCACCTTCAAGGCCCCCCTTCCCCGCCGTCTCCCCGCATCCCCCTATTGCCTCCCGCTCATCAGAAGTCCCCCTTTTCCGCTCGCCCCTCCGCCCGCCCCTCCCCGTCATGCAGACAACTCCTGGCAGCAGCGTTGACCCCTGCCCCGGCGCAAACCAGGTGAGCTGCCCCTTCCGCCCGCTCTACCCCCCTTCTGCCCGCCCTGTGCCCCTTCCGCCCATCCTACGCCCCTTCCGCACGCCCTATGCCCCTTCCGCCCGCCCCACGCCCATTCCGCCCGCCCTATGCCCCTTCCGCCCGCCCCACTCTCGCCGCCCGCCTCACTCCATCCGCCCGCTCCCCGCCGCCCGCCCCATGCCCTTACCTCCCTTCCCACGCCCGTACCTCCTGCCCTACGCGTCTTGCCTTTTGCTGCTGCCCACTGCATTTGCCCTCCATCCCTACCTATGCTGGCGTCCGCTGCTCCTTTGTCCAGTTCCCGCCTCAACCCACCTGCGCCTGGCCTCTTCCTGAAATCCTTACCCAACTCCCCTTTCCTCACCTTCCCTTTCCCCCTCTCGTGCTCTCTCCTCCCCTCTCCTGGCTCCTTCCTTCTCCCACTTAATCCTCCTCTCCCCTCAACTTTCCCCACTCTCCTTCTCCTCCCCTCACCTCCCCTTTCCTCCCGCACATCTCTCTCGCAGTGTCCCAGCAAGGCGGGATGCTTCAACCGCGGCGACTACTGCGACGGGGTGAAGAACTGCGCGGACGGCAGCGACGAGTGGCCGTGGATATGCAGCTTCGACATGGACTGCGGCGCACTCAACGCCACGCACGTGCTCTGTCCGGACTCCCCCAGCGTCTGCATCCTTCCCGGGCAGTACTGCGATGGAAAAACCGACTGCCCGGACTCGCTCGACGAAAACCCGCTCTTCTGCGCGAATTTCACCTGCCCGAGGAACAGCCTCCGCTGCCCGGGGCTGAACATGTGCAAGCCGGGCGGTGCGCTGTGCAACGCCGTCCCAGACTGCCCGGGAAAAGTGGCTGGGAGTGTGGCAGTAGATGAAGACCCGGCTTTCTGCCGGGGGTATACCTGTCCGAAGGGGTCTTCTAAGTGTAGTGATGGCCTGCAGTGTGTGGATGACGTGTTGCGATGCAATGGGGTGAAGGAGTGTAAGGATGGGAGCGACGAGGTGGGGTGTGATGTGTGGAACTGCACCAAGGGGTTCCGGAAATGCAAGGACCAGTTGCAGTGTGTGTCGAAGCTCAACTGGTGTAACAAGGTCACCGACTGCAAAGGTGAGAAGCGATACACCATATGCGTCCTCCTATATTTCATATATTCAAGAATCACATCGCCTTTTGTTTCTGTTATCGTTGTCTGCTTGTGTAATTCTCTCGAAGCTTTGCTCCCCCTTATGTCTCTGACTGACTCCCATCTCTTCTCCTGACTTGCTCTCCCTTTACCACTCGTTCTCCGACTCACTCGTTCTCCGACTCACTCGTTCTCCGACTCACTCGTTCTCCGACTCACTCGTTCTCCGACTCACTCGTTCTTCGACTCTCTTGCTCCCCGACTCTACTGTTCTCCTAATGTGAACCAGATGGTTCGGATGAGGCAACCTGCTTTCCTCCCAACGGCCCAGACAGCACCGGTGGCAGTGGCACTGGTGGTGGCAGTGGTGGGGCCAGTGTCCCCGCGAAGCCAGGCACCGGCAGCTTTGGCAGTGGCACTGGTGGTGGCGGCAGTGGGGGCAGTGTCCCTGGCAAGCCAGGGGGTGGCAACACTGGTGGTGGTGGCGGCAATGGTGCAGGCAAGCCAGGGGGAGGCAGCACTGGCGGAGGCGGCAGCGGTGCTGGCAAGCCAGGGGGTGGAAGTGGCAGTGGGGGCAGCGGTAGTGGTGCCGGCAAGCCAGGGGGAGGCAGCACTGGCGGAGGCGGCAGCGGTGCTGGCAAGCCAGGGGGTGGAAGTGGCAGTGGGGGCAGCGGTAGTGGTGCCGGCAAGCCAGGGGGTGGCGGCACTGGTGGCGGTGGCGGCAGTGGTGCGGGAAAGCCAGGCGGCGGCAGTGGTGGTGGGAGCAACAAAGGTGGCGGCACTGGCGGGACGGGGAGCAAGACAGGCGGATCCGGTACACCAGGAGGCTCCTCTGGAGGTACTGTGAAGAAACCACCGCCCAAGTCCACCCCTCCGAAAACCTCCCCAAAACCACCCGCCAAGTCCCCTCCGAAAACCCCACCCAAGAGCACTCCCAAGCCCCCTACCAAGCCGGGTCCCAAGCCCCCTGCCAAGAGCCCTCCGCGCAAGCAAGGCCCCCCGAGTGGGGCGCCGCCATCGGACTCTGGTACTCGTAAGAATGTTGCTCCCAAGTATCCCAATCAGCAGAATGATGGCAAGAGGAGCATTACCATCACCATTCGAATTTGAAGGCACCATTCTACTCTTATGTAACATCTGTATTTGTAGGGATTCTTCATTGTATGATGACGTAATGTGCCTTGTACTTTTGCTGCTCCCTGTTCCCGTGTATGCGCTTATTGAGTGAATTCTGTTATGTGTTGTAACATTAGACTCTTGATTCTACATGCATCGATACTGAATGAAAGTAGTGTACTTAAATGAGCGAACAAACAAACGGGTACGCACCCACCCACCAGTCGGCTCTCAGCAGCAACATAGGGGTTCCAGTTTAGAATGATCGCTCGCTAACACACGACACGACAGCTTTTCATGGCTACCAGTTCTCCACCACATTGCTGGCCAGGTGAATGAATGAGCAGCAGCGCGAGCCAACCAACGCCCGTCCATGTCCCGTGAAACTCTCTTCCACGATACGCCGTGTCAGCCGCCGTCAACCACGGCGGCTCCTATCCTGCCCGACAAGCTTATCGCTTGCGGTAACACACCGTTTCTTCAGAGTTCTCAAAAACAGACTTCCCCGTTTTAAGCTACCGTAATGCACCGGAACACATCGTAACGCACCGTACTGGGAACTAATACGTGACACGAATAGCAACCGTCGCGCAATCATGAGGAAGGCCGCTTCAGGGTCGGACTTCACGTTCGTCGTCACGCGTCGCCAGGCGATCGCATGCGTCGCCGTCCTCTTCGCCACGATGCTTTCCCTTTCCGCGATCTCGCACCGCCTCGGCCACACCTCCGGGTTCCGCGCCGCGCAACTCAGCCTGTCGATTAACCCGCACTTAGCAAACACCGCGTCCGCCGCAGGCGGCGCGGGGGTATCGAGTTTCCAGCGCGGCGAGATTGCGGCGAATGTGATTACAACGGGCGAGGGGAATCCGTGCGGGGAGATCGCGAGCCGGCACGGGGCTTGCATGGCGCCGTGTCAGCGGCGCACCAAGGCCGGGCATTGCGTGTCGGAGATGCTTCGACTTTATGACGAGGCTTACGCGTGAGTGACGGGTACCGGATATGAAGTGCGGGTTGACCTGCTGGTGCGCAGCCACGTGTCAGATGCCTTTCTTTTCCCGCCATCCCCCATCTCCCTCCTTCCCCCCATTTCCCTCCTTCCCCCCCATCCCCCCCGTATTTCTCCCCATTTCCGCCTCTCCCCCCTCTTTGACCCCAACCAGCCCCCTGTGGCCGGCGCGTGTGGACCTGCTGGTGCGCAGCCACGTGTCAGACGCTTACTTTCTGATGGAGGTGCTGTTCAGGACCCCCCCTCCCCCCCTCCTTCTTCCCCATCCCCCCTTCCCCCAACCAGCCCCCTCTGGCCTGCGCGGGTGGTCCTGTTAGTGCGCAGCCACGTGTCAGACGCTTACTTTCTGATGAAGGTGCTGTTCAGGAGCATCGAGCAGAGGCGGCTCCCCTTCTCCCCCTATCCCCCCTCTTCCCCCCCAACCAGCCCACTATGGCCAGCCCGGGTTGACCTGTTAGTGCGCAGCCACGTGTCAGATGCTTACTTTCTGATGGAGGTGCTGTTCAGGAGCATCGAGCAGATGTGGCCACGTGGCATTGGTGACGTCATCCTGGTGCTGGACGAGGGCGAGAGTGGTGTCAGGGACCTCGTGCCACCCTGGGTCAAGGTGAGTCAACGCCCTGGGTCAAGGTGAGTCAACGCCCTGGGTCAAGGTGAGTCAACGCCCTGGGTCAAGGTGAGTCAACGCCCTGGGTCAAGGTAAGTCAACGCCCTGGGTCAAGGTGGGTCGAAGTGGATCAAGGTGGGTCACGGCGAGTCAACGCCGGTCAAGGTGAGTCAACGCCAGTCAACGGGACTGAAAGAGGTTGAGTCATTATGAGTCAAGGTGAGTCACGTCGGTCAAGGAGAGATTGTGAAACGCAGTGGGAGGGAGGGAGACTTCAAGGGATGCAGAGGGAGGCATTGTGTGGGGGCACGGCAAGCAAACAATGTGACATGCTCGCTTGTGTGAGTTGGAATTGCAACCGCGTTACCAGGTAACGCAATTGTTGCCATGCAGCCGCTATTCCGCCACGCCCCAGTCTCTCCTGCTCTCATGTGCTGTACAAAAAAGCAGAATGAACGAACATGCACTCGCCCCTCACTAATTGGGGTGATGCACTCGCCCCTCACTGATTGGGGTGATGCACTCGCCCCTCACTGATTGGGGTGATGCACTCGCCCTATGCCAGGAAAGATTTTCCCTCACAGGCTCTATGCACTCGCCCTATGCCAGGGAAGATTTTCCCTCACAGGCCCTATGCACTCGCCCTATGCTCCAGCAGTGACCCTCACGGGCCTCTCACCCGTGCTGCTTCCCTGCGTTACACTCTCTGTTCCTGTCTGCCCATCCTTCCCTCGCATAATCACCAGGTGTACTATGAGAAGAACTACCTGGACCTGCCGGGGAAGATCTTGCAGCAGTGGAGCTACCTGTGGGCGGACAACTACACCACTGCCCCTTACATTGCGATTATTGATGATGATGTGGTCTTCAACCTCAAGGTAAGTGGGCGTGCGCGCAAGTGTGTGCGAGTGTGTGAGTCGCCTTCAGTCTTCATTGGCAATGCGTGCATGCAGCATTCCTCCAGCAGTGGAGCTACCTGTGGGCCGACAACTACACCACTGCCCCTTACATTGCGATTATTGATGATGATGTGGTGTTCAACCTCAAGGTGAGCCGCCCATGTGTGTGCACACGTGCATCTGTGCGTGTCTGCTTGCCTCGGTGCAACCATCCAGCCGTGCAGCAGTGGAGCTACCTACCTGTGGGCCGACAACTACACCACTGCGCCATACATCGCCATCATAGACGACGACTTGGTCTTCAACCTCAAGGTGAGTCCCCAATATACACATGCCAGTGTGTGTGCATGGAGCAGTCCAGCAGTGGAGCTACCTGTGGGCCGACAACTACACCACAGCTCCGTACATTGCCATTATAGATGATGACGTCATCTTCAACCTCAAGGTAAGCCGCGCATGTGTGTGCACACGTGCATCTGTGTGTGTCTGCCTGTCACGGCTGCTATTCAACCTAACGGACAGCAAGCTGCACATGATCAGGTCGCAAGTACCACATAACCCAAACATTCCCTTTCCATCTTCCCTTCCTCCCCCCCTCCCTCTCACCCATCCCCCTCGAAACTCCAGGTGACCCCCGGTCTGCTCTTCACCCTCACAGACGCCAAGCCATACGTGGTCTGGCCGCAATGCACGCACTACATAACCAGGTGACTTTTGAGTCGACTCAAAAGTCACCTCATACGTGATCTGGCCGCAATGCACGCACAACATAACCCCAACAACTCCCTTCTACTCTGTCTCTCCAGGTGACTCCAGGCCTCTTGTTCAACCTGACAGACAGCAAGCCACGGGTGATCGGGTCGCGCAACACGCAGCGCAACAACTGGCTGCCCTCCCCTTCCCCCTGCCCCCCCACCCCACCCCAACACCAGGTGACGCCATGTCTCCTGTTCAACCTAACAGACGGCAAGCCGTGGGTGATAGGGTCAAAGAACGCGCAGCGCAACAACTGGCTCCCCTCAACGCGCTGGCTGGTGGGGCAGCACGCCTACTTCGCCAACTTCATGGTGCAGCTGCCCTTCGTCTTCCCACGGCCTACACACTGTGTCACCGGCAGTACCCCCTCTCTCTTTCTCCCAATTTCCCAATCGTCTGTCTCTCCAGGTGACCCCCGGCCTGCTTTTCAATCTCACAGACGGCAAGCCGTATGTAATAGGATCAAAGAACACGCAGCGCAACAACTGGCTCCCCTCAACGCGCTGGCTGGTGGGGCAGCACGCCTACTTCGCCAACTTCATGGTGCAGCTGCCCTTCGTCTTCCCAAGGGCCGTGGTGCCACCACGCACAGTGTCACCCCCAGCCCCGCTTATCGCCCCAGCCCCCTCCCCCTTCCGCCTCTTCCCTTTCCCCTTCCCCGCCTCCCACCTCTCCCATGCCTTCCGTCTCTCCAGGTGACGCCTGGTCTGCTGTTCAACCTGACAGACGGCAAGCCATGGGTGATCGGGTCAAAGAACACGCAGCGCAACAACTGGCTCCCCTCAACGCGCTGGCTGGTGGGGCAGCACGCCTACTTCGCCAACTTCATGGTGCAGCTGCCCTTCGTCTTTCCAAGAGACGTGCTGCCCAAGTTTAGAGAGCATGTGGGGGAGTTGCATCGGGACAAGTTTGGGAAGAGCTTTGACAAGCCGTTTAAGTACTTTGCGGAACGGGGTCCAAAGTTTGAACGGTGAGTGAGATGTGGGATGCGGTGCTGCTGGGTAGCCTGTGGTGCTGCTGGGTGCTGCTGCTGGGTGGTGTGTGGTGCTACTGGGTTGTTTGTGGTGCCATTCTGATGTGCTTGCATCATTCTGAGAGCCTACTCTGATGATGTTGTCCAGGCTTCCAGCACTCCACCCTCCCTCTCATACCTCTCTGCCTTCATCTCAACCCCTCTGTCTGCCTCCATCCATCTCAACCCCTCTGTCCCCCTCTCGCACCCCTCTGTTTCACTCACATTCCCCTCTGTCTCCCTCTCACACCCCTCTGTCTGCCTCTGCAGGACGCAGATCGCCCACACGACTCTGGGCAACTACATGTGGGCCTTCACACAGGACGAGGTGAGCAGAGAAAGAGATTCAAGTGGGATTCGTGGGTATGATGAGAGTTGAGAGTTTCTGAGCCCACATGTTGGGTTCAAAGAGAGACTAGAATTTCGTTGGTTTGAAGAGAGACTAGAATTCTGAAGCCCACACGACTCTGGGCAACGACACATGTGGGCCTTCACACAGGACGAGGTGAGCAGGCAGGCAGGCATGTGGGAGGTGTGTGTATAAATGTAGATACAGTTGAGGCGAGGTGATTAGGCAGGTATCATAACTGCATGTGCATGTGCATGTTTCATCCGTCCTCTCCCCACCATCAGGTGCACTGGGCGTTAGAATGGACCGACCACATACCCATCCCCCGTGTGGGAGTGCATGTGTCCTACTCCTGGCCATTCAGAGAAGCCACCAACCACACCGACAACATGCCGCGAACCGTCAAAGCTTACATAAGTGTTTCCGGGTACTTTGCACACGAAGCCATCTGCCATGCCTTCCCCCCTGGGGAGCTGGATGGGTGCGACGATGTGAATTACACCCCGCAGCAGCAGATTTGGCAGTATGCGTTGAATTGGTTTGACTGGCCGGCGATAAAGAACAAGTGGGAGAATGCGACTTATTTGTATGATGTGTATCAGAAGGAGATGCACTGCTTGTATTGGGAGGGTGTGACTGCAGCGGGGGAGATCGGGGAGGATGGGGAAGGGATTAGGAGAGATGATCTGGTGCGGAGGATGAGGGATAAGTGTATTGTTACGAACTCAAACTGTTGTTTTGATCAATAGCAACCGAGGTTCACTCGTTTACATGAAGTTAGTTTAAGCCTGTGTTGTGTTGAATTATCAGATGGATGAGTATATAAGTTGTCCAGCTCTTGCTGAAATTTTCTTTGCCTTTTCGTCACAGTGCTAGTGTTCAACAGAAGCAGCACAGAAACACACCACTTTCATTCCAGAATTAAGCTTTGCAAAAACAACTCTGCTCCTATGATACTGCAGCTTCTGCACTCATGCCCAAGAGGGAGACTTCTCCTTATTCTCTGTCTACCAGCTAAGGAAAGCTTCACTAATCACCCAAACACTCAATCATCTCATGATCTGCTGGTTGTTGTCGTCATCCTTCCCAGCCCAATCCCCAGCTCTCCCCTCCTCCATGCAGGAGGGAACCTGCAGCGACCACACCGCACTCATTTATCGCATGGAATCAGGCCCATCCTCGCCCATCTCACTCTCCTGCTCTCCCCTCCTCCACGCGGCAGCAAAAGCACAGTCAGGCGCGGCAATCCCCGAGGTGAGATAGTCCTGCACGCGCCCATCCAACAGCCCATCGCCCCCCTCACTGCTCTCCACATCCACTGGTTCGCGCAGCAGGCGAGTGAGCAGCCGGTGACGCAGGGATCGCACGGCGCGAGATGCCTCACCGCGAAAGGTCTGCCCCAACACACCGTGAATGCCCTCCGTGTGCTGGTGGGAAAAGGGGAAGGCAGAAGGGGGAGGGAGAGAGAGTGTGACCAGGGACTTCAGGGGAGGGAGGGCGAATGCAGGAGCACGGCAAACAGATGGTACATGAGATACATGGTCTGCATGACAGGCACCTCTGCTTCTCGTAGAGTCAGTGCTTATGTTGAGCTGCTCGATATGCACGTTGAGGGTTTTGAGACATACATGAGACGTTGAAAGCTTACATTGAGCTGCTCGACATGCACGTTGAGGGTTTTGAGACATACATGAGACGTTGAAAGCTTACATTGAGCTGCTCGATATGCACGTTGAGGGTTTTGAGACATACATGAGACGTTGAAAGCTTACATTGAGCTGCTCGATATGCACGTTGAGGGTTTTGAGACATACATGAGACGTTGAAAGCTTACATTGAGCTGCTCGATATGCACGTTGAGGGTTTTGAGACATACATGAGACGTTGAAAGCTTACATTGAGCTGCTCGATATGCACGTTGAGGGTTTTGAGACATACATGAGACGTTGAAAGCTTACATTGAGCTGCTCGATACGCACGTTGAGGGTTTTGAGACATACATGAGACGTTGAAAGCTTACATTGAGCTGCTCGATATGCACGTTGAGGGTTTTGAGACATACATGAGACGTTGAAAGCTTACATTGAGCTGCTCGACATGCACGTTGAGGGTTTTGAGACATACATGAGACGTTGAAAGCTTACATTGAGCTGCTCGATATGCACGTTGAGGGTTTTGAGACATATATGAGACGTTGAAAGCTTACATTGAGCTGCTCGACATGCACGTTGAGGGTTTTGAGACATACATGAGACGTTGAAAGCTTACATTGAGCTGCTCAATATGCACGTTGAGGGTTTTGAGACACACATGAGACGTTGAAAGCTTACATTGAGCTGCTCGATATGCACGTTGAAATGCGCCTGAGCCTCAGTCGCAGTCTGCATGAGCGGATGGGCCACCCGCGCCGTCACACTCAGATCCACCACGCCCTCTATTTTCAGGTGGAACTCGTCTTCTACCCTCCCGGGCTGGCTCTTTGTTTCCGCGAGCAGCAGCTTAAAGCCTCCATCCGCGGAGATGGAGCTTCCAGGGTGGAAAGGAGGGATCACATCCCGACCGTCGATCACCATCCGTTGGATGAAGCCGGTGGCGCCTCGGCCCTGCTCCTTGCCGTCCCGCGCCTTGAGAAATGCAGAATGCTGCGCGCCTGTGGCGTCGCGCCACATCAGCTGAATCTCCCTGGTGTGGGGCGGCGAGGGGTAGTAAGACCAAAGGAAAGATGGCGAAGCAGAGATGAGAATCATAATCAGCTCACTGACACGCCATGATCACGACACAATGGCTAACGTGACTCGACACCGCCAACACTGACGCGACACGCACCTGATCCAGCTGCGGATCGGCTTCCCTTCAAGCAGCCGTGCTTCCAGCTCATGCCGCGCGTACTGAATCGAATTCTGCTTCTCCGAAGCGCCACTCGCCGCAGACTCATCCCGAGCCGCTCCAAGCGCCCCCGCGTCGTTTCCGCCTTCGCTGCCTCCGCGAAGCCTCCCCACCTCGCGCTCAAGCGCCGCCGCCACCTTCGCGGACTCAGGCAAGCTCCCATTGGCGCGCATCTGTAGCAGCTCCGCCAGTTCTTCCGCATTTAACGCTTCCTCCTGGAGCTCCTGAATATGACGTGGCTGATGTAGAGGCGTGTCCTCTAGTTGGCAGGAACTGGGAGTTATACAAACCACTAGAGCCCTGTCTTAGCTTTCCAATGAGCCGTCAAGCACTTCGTTCGCCTAAGTAACGAGAGAGTTATGGCTGGAAACGTGAAGACTATGCTCTAGGAATAGAGATTAGAAGCTCTCTGGATTTTCTGGTTGAATGCACTTCACACAAAGTGATTCACAATGTTCACTATGATCCATGCAATACAAAGCAACACAATTTTATATGAACTGCAAACATCGAGTCGCATTTGTAACCTCGAACCGCGGTACACTCGCGAATGTTCGAGTAACATTTCGAAGGGAGAAATTCGTCATCCGAATTTCACCGAACCGAATTCTACCTCAGTCTCGATTGTTCCTGGTGTTGCCATGTGGCACCGAACTTCCAAGTCCCTCGAAGTCAAGCTGCACTTTCTCGAAACCTGCAGCTCACGCAATATGTGAGCACCACAAGCAGCACCGTTCGGTGGTTGGGGGCAAAACCTAGCCCCACGCAACCTCCAACACTCCCCCTTGCACCCAAGCCACTAGGTGTGCAATCCAACATGCTTGTAGCACCCATGAGATTGATCTTTAGGGGGTGGTTCCATGAGAGAATCCGCGTGTTTATCATCACCCTTGGTCGCGAAGCAAAATGCCGCGCCTTCGTTATCCGTCTCCCCAACGGCTACCGTAGCGTAGTCTTTGTACTTGGTGGGAGGACGAACTTCACGACGCCCACGGGTCAAAGCCAATGGCAAGGAGGAAGGTGTCGAGGTAGTTGCCGCCTCGGTAGGTGACACCTCCACGACATCATCAACGCTCTCCTCGTTGTTCTCTCCCCCTCCATCTTCGGCTTCCTTCTCCACTTGTGGTGGAACCTCACTTTCTTCAACCTCCTCTCGTGGCGGGAGGATGAAGGTGACTTGTTGAGTGGGTTTCTCCTTCGACGGGAACTTGTCTTCATCGAAGACCACGTCCCGAGATGTGACGACACGCTTGCCACCCAAGTCCCACACTCGCCACGCACGCTCGTTCGCCGCAATTCCCAAGTAGATTGCCGCACAAGCCTTCGGTTGCAACTTGTGGCGAAGGGGATTCGGTACATGGTAGTAGCAAAGGCATCCGAAGGTGCGAAGTCGGGAAAGGTTCGGCTTCGTTCCGGTCCATGCTTCGAACGGAGTCGTTCCCGGGAGCACCTTGGTCGGCAAGCGATTACGAATCCATGCCGCTAACGCACTCGCCTCTCCCCACCACTCGTGCCCAAGCTTGGAGTGTTGAAGTAGTGAACGAACGGCTTCCACCAACGTGCGATTAAGCCGCTCCGCCGCTCCATTTTGTTGGGGTGTGTAGGGTGTTGTGACGTCGTGCCTAATGCCCTTGTCCTTCATCCATTTCTCAAGCTCCGCGTTCACGAATTCGCCACCACCATCGGTGCGAATACACTTGATCCGCTTCTTGTCGTCGTCGCAAACTTCGAGCGCCCACTCTTGAATCGCCTTGGCCGCATCTCCCTTAGCCTTCAAGAGTCGGGTCCAACACATCCGCGTCGCGTCGTCGAGCATCACCAAGAGGAACCGCGCTCCTCCCTTTGATGCATGCCGCATCGGTCCACACACGTCCATGTGAACAAGCGCAAGCGGGTCCTTAGCGAGGGGAGAGGTACGGCTACCAAATGGCTTGCGAGCCATTTTTCCTTCGACACACGCCACGCACACGCCCTTCTCGTCGTCGCCGGCGATCACGTCGACTCCCTTCGCGAGTCCTTTGTTGACCAACTCCTTGACCGAGTCGTAGTTGGCGTGCGCAAGTCGATTATGCCACGCCTTGAGAGTTGCCTTGGAGCCTTGCGCCACATTGGATGAAGCAACGTTCGATGAAGCCGCTCTCGGGTACGTCTTGAGTTGGTAGATATCTCCGTTGAGAACACCTTGCGCGAATTGCTCCCCCTTCCAAAAGAGGTTCATCTTCGCACCGTCGATCGTGGCGATCACGCCCTTCTTCGCAAGTTGTGGGATGGATAGAAGGTTCACCTTCACCCCCGGGACGTGATGCACGTTCGTGACGTCCACCGGTCCGCTATCGACGATGAGGCGCGTACTCCCAACTCCAACCACCGGTAGCGATTCGTTGTTTCCGAACACGATGCTCGTGACGTCTCCCGGAGCGCCAATGTTGTTGAGGAGCGACGCCGAGTGTGTCATGTGTTGCGTTGCGCCGGTATCGAGGAACCACGCGTCGCTTGGAGTTTCGTTCCCGTTGCCGGCCACTAACACGAGCGACTCCTTTGAATCCTCGGCTTCGCCGGATGCCATGTGCGCGTTGCCCTCTTCGTCCCGCGCCTTCGATGGAGTCCAATCGCTCGGGCGCTTCCGACACTCACGCCAAAAGTGTCCCGGTTCGCGGCAATAGTGACACTTGCCGCGATGCTCGCTCCCACCGGACGATTCATTCGTCGCACCCTTGCTCCACTTGGACTTCTTTCCGGAACTCCCTCCGGAGTACATGGCGGTCTCCACGCTCTCATTAGCGAATTGTCGGCGACGTGATTCTTCATGGAGAAGCCGTCCGACCACCATTTCCTTTGTCCAAGTACCTTGCACGCTATCGAGTGTCGTAATCACCGTCGACCACTCTTCCGGAAGGCCGCAAAGCAAGGTGAGAATCCAATCCTCCTTGGTGACCGTTCCACAGAGGTCCATGAACGTTTCCCCGAGTTCCTCCACACGAGTCGCATACTCGTGCATCGATTCGCCCGCGCGCAACTTCACCGTGTAGAACGCGTTCCGGGCTAGGATCTTGCCGTGGAGAGTCTTGTTCACGTGCATTGTCTCGAGCCGCTTCCACGCTTCATGCGCTGACGCTTCGAGCTTGATGCACGTGCGCACCGAGCTCACGAGGTTGATGCCGATCCGCGAGATTAGCGTAGCGAACGCCTTTTGGTCCTTCTTCTTCCATGCCGCGATGGCGCTCTCGTCGTCCGTCGGCTTTTTCTCCGTTCCATCGAAGAGACCCCAAAGTCCCCGCTCCATCATGAGCACTTGGAACTTAAACTTCCACGCGGAGTAGTTTTGTCCCGTGAAAATCGGTACCGCCGACGTGTCGTACATCGTCGCGGCTGCCCAGGGTTCGCCGGAATTTACAACGACACCATCCAAGGAAGTGCGGGAGGCCTCGCTTGAAGTCGGCATGCTTGCTTCTCGTCGCGCGCGTAGACTCCTCCGACCAGCTCTGATACCACTGATGTAGAGGCGTGTCCTCTAGTGGGCAGGAACTGGGAGTTATACAAACCACTAGAGCCCTGTCTTAGCTTTCCAACGAGCCGTCAAGCACTTCGTTCGCCTAAGTAACGAGAGAGTTATGGCTGGAAACGTGAAGACTATGCTCTAGGAATAGAGATTAGAAGGTCTCTTGATTTTCTGGTTGAATGCACTTCACACTAAGTGATTCACAATGTTCACTATGATCCATGCAATACAAAGCAACACAATTTTATATGAACTGCAAACATCGAGTCGCATTTGTAACCTCGAACCGCGGTACACTCGCGAATGTTCGAGTAACATTTCGAAGGGGTGAAATTCGTCACCCGAATTTCATTGAACCGAATTCTACCTCAGTCTCGATTGTTCCTGGTGTTGCCATGTGGCACCGAACTTCAAGTCCCTCGAAGTCAAGCTGCACTTTCTCGAAACCTACAGCTCTCGCAACATGTGAGCACCACAAGCAGCACCGTTCGGTGGTTGGGGGCAAAACCTAGCCCCACGCAACCTCCAACAGTGGCTTGAACTCATTCGCTGCCGCTTCCACTGCCGCGGCGAGCGTCTTTTCATCCAAAGACGTGGCAGTGCCTGGGAGGTTGGCGATCGGACGGTAGCCCTTGATCCCCTGTTAGAGGGCCCTACGACAGCAAGGGCCCTCGCGAAATGTTAGACTTGGCAGGTTGACGACCGACGACCTGGTCTACTCGGCACCGTCGCACAGGTTCGATGGCAGTCAAGTGTGACTACGGGTGAATGCGAGCTGCAGTAAGGAATCTGCTGAAGTCGGTGCTGGGAAGTAGAGTCGTGGGAGTCTTTGTGTGCTTCCTTATGAGGCACGCCACTCCCAAGCTGAGTCGGATGGAGTTGCGTGCTCGGAAGGTTTTCGCTGCTGAGTTGGATGGAAGTTTGGCGGGGCGCGTTCGCCAACTCCCACAGCACTTTCGTGTGGGTTGGGTTACTCGCAGCGCCCTCGCTACCTTTTGTGAACGCTTGCTTGCCTTTATATGTTTGTGTTTGCTTGTGTGTTTCATATATTCTATTTTCCTAGTGAAGTCCAATCTCTACTCAAATTCTCACTTAGTCATTTGAGACCAACGCTACCCAAACGCTACCGAATTCCTAGCGCAACATCATTCCCATAAGCAGAATCTCTCTCGCCGTCGTAGTGCTCTCCATAATATTCCTTCATGGTGCGGTGAGCGTGGAACGAACACGCATAGAATTCCGTCGTCGACTTTCTTAGCGTTCGTAAACTCGCCTTGGCGTGCGGCGTTAGTGAAGGGCGCATATTAAATTAAGTTGAACCTCTCTTAATTTCCCTCCAGTTACGTTCTCGGACCCAAGGATAGGGCGTTTGGTAATTTATTACCACTCGTCTGAGGACCCTTGTGAGGTGACCCCGAGACGAGGGATTTAAGGAAGGAACAATTTATTTTAATTTGTGGCACCTTATCGAGGCGTCGTAGAGGATGAGTTCGGAGGAGGCGGACGTTGAGGCCGTTAATTTTCGCGCACTAGAGGAGGAGCTCGTGGCACGTCGTTCCCGTGGCGAGCTTAGTAATGTAGATTACGAGCTCATGTTGGAGGGATTACGCTCTCGTCAGCGTCGCGATCATCCCTCGCCACATGTAGAGCAAGCTGCGGGAGGCACTAGTGCGTGGGACATGGCTGTCAATGACGGAGGTGACGATGACGAGGAGGTTGATGGGTTGATGTCGCGTGGGGTCCTGCGAGGACCAACTCGGTTTAGTACGACTAGCGTCGGCGGTGTACAGGAGCGTGTTCATCGTGCGGCGGCGTCACACGAGCGTACGAACTTAGGACGACAGAGCGCTGCTGGAGGAGGGAATGCGGAGGAGTACGATAGTGGAGCTATGCCGGGCATTACCCCGATTGGATCGATGTCGAGGGATGAGGGAATAGCCCCCAACTATGGCTACTTCAAATTCACTCCAGACAGAATCGTCGTGCCTAAGCCGCTCGAAGGACGCCACGACCTATCGACGTGGGTAGAATCGATCGAGCCGCAGCTTGAGATCGCTCAACTAAAGCGATTCATTGACGGTACCACTCCTATTCCACCAACGCAGGCAGTTGCGCATCTCACTCAGTTCCGCGCAATGCAGTTACTGACGTTCACCACGATTTCCCGATGCTGCTCCCCAACCGTACAGATTGCCCTTAAGGGGTGTCGCATGAAGGTAGATGCCGGCTATCAGGCATGGCAGTTTATTATGCGCACGTACATGGCGAAGGACGATCTGTACATCGGTCAGTTAGAGCAGGCGCTCACTAACCTCGAGATGGGTGAGCACGAGTCCGCTACGTCCTATTGCAACCGTGCGCAGCAGATCCTAGTGAACCTGAGGATGGCCGGCGTCGATTACTCGCAGGCGTCGTACATTACTCACGTCGTGAAGGGGTTGCCGCAGCAGTACAACCTCTTACGCAGGATGCTGAAGCTGCCGCAGGTACGCAAGGAGTTGGACGAGGACACCCTCGCTAGCTACATTATCGAGGAGGAGTGTACGCTGGCAGCGGAGGGACGGAAGGACCAATTTCTTCCCCAGGCCAACCAGGTCTTTACCAAGAAGGGTAAGCCCCAATCCCAGCAGACTTCATCCCCTTCCCCTCCCACTACGGCACAGCAGCAGCAGCCTAAGACTGGGGGTGGGGTTGGAGGTGGAGGAGAGAAGTGGAAAGGGGCTAAGGATGGTCCGCCAAAGGGGGGGAAAGGTGGCTTCAAGGGGAAGTGCTACGTGTGTGGACAGACAGGGCATGTTGCTAAGTACTGTCAGCAGCGGGCGGATAAGGAGGCAGACACGGGTGGAGAGGGTTCTGGAGGCAGCGGCGCGAGTGGCAAGGGGGACGATGGCTCTAAGGGGAGCGGGCAGTCATCATGTGCGATGGTGAAGCCCGTTGTAGAGCAGACTCCTCTTGTCGTGCTGGAGCCTGAGGCCGGGGAGGGCTTACAGGCTCTTGCAGCTGCTGTGAAGGCGAACCCGAGCGTCGTGCTACTTGATAGTGGATGCTCCCACCATCTCATGGGAGATCGTTCTGCCTTTGTGGAGATGAGCAGCGGCGGTAGTATCAAACAAGTGAAAGGCTTCAACGGCGCGCTTCAGGACGTGCAGGGGCGAGGCACAGTCGCTCTTCTTGGAGAAGGGGGCAGGCGTCTCTTGGTGTCTGACGTGCTGTACGTACCTGGAGTGCAGGCGAGTCTTCTTTCTGCTGGGCAGCTGCGTGATAGTGGTGTGCAACTGCTGGATGCAGGCGACGTGACTCTGCTGCGGGCACCAGATGGGTCACTTCTTGGGCGTGCAGAGTACAAGGGGCGTGTTCTCTGCACGAACTTCCAACCGTGTTTGTCGCAGCAGCAGGAAGGCGAAACGGTGGCACTTCGTACCTTGACGACGGGCGTGCGGTCTAAGGTGGACATGTGGCATGCGCGTATGGCACACGTTGGTATTGATGCCATCGAGCGCACTGCGTCTCACGGGTCAGTGAAGGGCTTGGACCTGGAGAAGGGGGGCAAATCAGGCATACCGTGTGTCTCCTGTGTTGGGGGGAAGATCACTCGTCATACCTTCCCGCCAGTGGGTGCGGAGGAGGATGAGTTGCTTGGGGTGGTGCATGCTGACCTGTGTGGCCCTTTCCGTGAAACAGCTAAGGACGGCAGCCGCTACTTCCTGGTGCTGAAGGATCGCAAGTCGCGGTACGTCTGGGCCTACCCTTTGGCTCAGAAGAGTGATGCGCTGGCGGCGTTCCAGAAGTGGCTCCCGATGGCAGAGCGGCAGTGCAAAACCACGGTGCAGGCGCTGCGCACTGATCGAGGTGGCGAGTTCTTGGGGCATGACTTCACGCTCTTCCTCGACGGCAAAGGCATCATCCATGACCTCACGTGCCCGTACACGCCGGAGCAGAACGGGATGGCCGAGAGGGAGATGCGCAGCATTGTGGAGGCGGTGCGGACGATGCTACTGCACATGGGTGTACAGCATCATTGGTGGCACCTGGCGTTGGCGCAGGCCGTCTGGGTGCGCAACCGCGTGGAGCATGCCTCGCTGCCCTCTGGTGTGACGCCGTACGAGCTCGCCTTTGGACACAAACCCGATGTCAGTATGGTGCGGGTATGGGGCTGCATGGTGCAGTACATGTTGCCTCAGTCGCAGCGGGGGGGGAAGCTGGCACCTAAGGCTCGCTGGGGGTTGCACTTGGGGGTGTCCGCAGCGAGCAAGGGCTGGACCGTGCTGGACTTGGAGTCCAACCGCCTCATCACCACTGTGGAAGCTGTTTTCTATGAGACCATGTCCCTGGCAGGATGGAAGGCTTGGCACCAGCAGGAGCATGCGGGGCGTCCGATGCCCTATGAGCCCGTTCCCTCCCTCTTCCCGATCACTCTTGAGGAGGCGGTGGCAGAGGAGGAGGTGGTCGCACCTCCTGCTATGCCCTATGTCCCTACCTCGGTCCCCACCCCACCTCCGCCTTCAGTTTACCCTCGTGTGGTTCCCCCTGCCCCACCTTCTTCATCCTCACCCCCCTTGGCTTCCCCTCCTCCTCCTGTTATTCCCTCTCCCCTTCCACCCTCCATCCCTCCTGCACCTGCTCCACCCTCCTCTTCATCTTCCACGGCGCCGCCCGTTGGTGAGGGGGGGATAGTGGTGCCACCGTCTGTGGAGATCACCGACGGGCAGCGCCTTGAGACTGAGCAGCTGCAAGACAAGAGCAGTATGGATGGAGTGCAGCAGAGTGGGGGGCAGGAGAGAGGGGAGCAGCAGTTAGGGGAGCAGCAGAGTGGGGAGCAGCAGATAGGGGAGGAGCAGATTGAGGAGCAGCAGATGGTGGAT